AGATATTGATCTCACATATTCCTAATTGAAATAAAGAAACTCAAATGATATTAAAAATTAATTTAAATTATTACATATTTCCAACTGGAAAGGAAATTAAAATAAATAATATAAAATGTTAAATTAAATCATCACATATTTATTTTTCTTTACATAATTTTCCTTTTTAAACATGTCAAAATCTGATCGATAAACTTGACACCTGTTACGATAATATGAGTTACTAAATTTGAAAATCAAGCTTTCTATAATAAGATAATAAGATTGTACAATTTCTTAAATCCTTTTTTAAGTTTTAAGGAAAAAGTAATCCTTTTCTTTTAGAATTAGTAGCTTTAAATTAGAATTAGTAAATAATTTTTTTAATTTCTATTTTTATTTAATAGTATAAATATTTTTTCCTTATAATTATCTTCTTTAATTTTTTTAAAATTTTGTATATAAGATATATAGATATTGTTGCCTTATAATTGTTTTTCTTAAATTTCTATTTTTATTTGATAAGACACATCTAGTTTCCTTATAAGTATCTTCTTTATATTTTTAGAATTTGTTTTATATAAGATATATACGTATAATTTCCTTATAATTTTTTCCTAAATAAATAAGAGAAAATTTTTGTTTTACACGTGTTAAAATCTGATATCGATAAATTATACATGTGCATATAGTTTTCTTATATTTGTTTCTTAAAAAAATAAATAAAAGGATATTTTGGTTTAACACGTGTCAAAAATCTGAGATCGATAAATTTGACACATGGCACGATCCTACGAGTTACTAACTTTAAAAACCATACTTTATATAATAAGATATAATAATATTAACCAGTGTTTTCTCGCTCAGACCGTCTGATCCGGCCGCTTAATCCGCGACTTGAAACAGTTGCAGAGCTAGGAATTTTTATTATAGGGGTCAAAAAAATTATAGGACAAAATAATATTTTAGATTTTTCTAAAAATAATTGACACGTTGAAGAAAACAATGAAATATTTATCTCAAAATCAACCAAAATTGATATTAAGAGTATTTTTAGTTGTGTTCCACAAAGATTAACAAATAGATAAGAAAAATTAGATTTTGTGGGTGTTTTAATAATTAAATATAATATTAGATAATTAGCTGGATTATTTTTTAATTAAGTCAGGGATTTTCTTATATATCACCATCTAAGATTGAAAAAAAGTAAGAAGAAGCTAAAACGTTTTTAGACTACAAAAAAAAGTTAAAATATAAGGTTAATTTATATTAATGGGCTTAATTATAGTATATTTACTTCAAACAAATCTTATCGGACTTACTATTATTTATAAGTACAATATAATTATTGGGCTTAGATATTTTAATCTTGTAACGTAAAATTCTACAAGGGTCAAAACTTTTATGGGATTAAGATCAGTTTAATAATTTTAATAAAATTTTAGCTAATTTTTTTTAATTCCACCAGGGTCAATTGACCCCTATGACTGTGCACTCCCTCCGCCTCTGTCTTGGAAACTTTTTCGGTTTGAGTTTAGTGCTAATATCCGATACTCTTAACATCGGAAAAACCCATAAAAACTCGTTTTAAATCCGCGACCCAGTGAACCGGTTGAACTGGCCGGGCACCGATTCAAGAGAATTCATTTGATTTTTGAAATAAAATATAGCGTTTTAGTGTATATCATTTATGTTGAGAACCTTCTCAATTCATTTTAAGCAGCAATATATGACTCAACACACTTCTCTCTTATTTGATGGCATCTTTCGTCTTATCCAATTTAATTTTATTAATTTATTTTCATCACTAGTGATCTCCTATTATTTTAATGTTTTTTGCAGTTTTAGTTGGATTTAAAAATTTTAATCACTTTATTATTATTGTTAGATTTCATATCTTGATAAATATGGTATGCTTATTTTCAATTTTACATTTATAAAACTATATAATTTTTATAAATACTTTAAACAAACTTTAATCAATTGACCCGTGATCAAACATGATTGACCTACTGATCCGATGACTCAGAAGGTAGTATGGTTTGTCATCTGGATTGGGTTTTAAAACATTGATATTAACTGCTATGATAAACCATTTTATTATCACAGTTGAATTCGAAAGATGATGGCTTGGTCTTCCAGAATTCAGCGGCTGCTCCACAGATTCTTCGAAAGCTTGCCGCCGAAGCAACATTATTCTCTTTAGCGAGAAAGAAACAACAGACTCTGAGACTCCATAATCAAGCTGCCTCAATAACAGCGACCAGCATCACTAGGTAGCTCGATCGTCTACTTCGTTATGTGATTCTTTCAAAGATATGTTGGAAAACCATAGTGATTTCCTATCTCCATAGCTCTCTCCGTCTTTAGATTATCAATCTTGATGAGATCATAACCAGAGTAAACCGAGATTGACTTTGTCAAAGATTGAATGAGAAATGACGTTGTGTGTTCTCCTATATTAATGGAATAATCTCTCACTCATTCACGTTTTTAGTTGGCAGTTTAGTTCATAATGTATTTAAGAAAAGGGAAAATGTCATTTAAATCATTAGTTTACCATTTTTGTTGGTTTAAAGCATGAACTCGAGACCTGGTGATTTAAATCCTTAATTTTATGTTGATTTTCATTTTAATCATGAATTCTCATTGACAAAGCCAATTAAGGCACATCGTTAACTAGCCAAACGGATCAATAAGACGATATCATCATATAACTGGCATTTCGAAGCCATCGCATAATTTTTCTTCTACACCAACATGGTTTTCATATTTCTCTTCAAAAATTATGCGAGAAAATCTCCGTTTAGCAAGTTAATGATTTGTCTTAATTGGCTTAGTCAACGAGAATTCATGATTAAGTTGAGAGTCAACATAAAATTAAGGATTTAAGTTACTAGGGGCACATAAAATTGAGGATTTAAATCACAAGATCCATAATTCATGCTTTAAACCAACGAAAATGGTAAACTGATGATTTAAATGACATTTTTCCCATTTAAGAAACTAGATTTTAACCCACGGTACACCGCAGGATGATTTATTTTTAAAGTTAGTATAAGAATATTTTGTAAATTGTATCTCCTTATAAAATATTTATTTATATTATAGTGTACAATTGTTATTAAGTAACGGTATACCACGAGTCCACGAGACAATTGTTAATAAACTGAGGATTTAACCCGTATTAAAGCGGCATGTTCATGATATTTATAAATATTGATTCAAATTTGTCCGCCATATAAACCCATTCCAAAATATAACTCGTTCCGTAATTTCTTAACCCGTCCCGTGATTTATTTTTATTTTAAAATTTAATAAATATTTATTATAGATAAAAGCTTACAAATCATATCATTCTCTAAGACATTTATATTTTAATAAACTGAAGATTTAATCTGTATTAAAGCGGCATGTTAATGATATTTTAAAATTTTATAAATATTGATTCAAACTCGTCCACCATATAACTTAGTTCCGAAATATAACCCGTCCTGTAACTTCTTAACGCGTCCCGTGATTTGTTTTCTAAAAGTAGTAATTTTTAAAATTTAACGATTATTTATTATATATAAAAATTTGTAAATTTTAAAATTTTTTAAGATATTTATATTTTATAGTTTACAATTGTTATTAAGTAACATTATACCACGGGACAATTTTTGGTTTTATACAATCTTTTCTAAATGAGACTGATTTTATATGTCTAATATTGGTGGTATTAAAAAAAATTAAGGATTTAATCTGTATTGAAGCGGCGGATTAATGATATTTTAATCTTTTTATTATTGTTGATTCAAAAACCCGTTCCGCCAAACTCGTCCCGCCAAAAAACTCATTTATTTTATTAGTGTTGATCTTATTTATGATATGATTCTGAATCATTGTCTAAATATTTTAATCGATGTAGAACGTTGAACACACATTTTCGTCAATTGGATAATATATGTCCGTTTTTAAAATATCGAACCACAGTATATGCAGAAAAAAAAGTTGATTTTTTTTACTTATGTATTATATGATGATTCAAAACAGTTAAAAACAAATCAAACAAAGATGATAGGAGAATCATAATTCTAAATCTTAATCAAATCTTCTAAATATCTAAATTATTAAATATAGAATATCCGGTGTATGAGTTGAGTTTTATTTAACCCGATCCAAGTATTTTTTGTGAAGAAATTTAAAAAACGGGTCGGATATCCGATTAACCCAGAAGCATGTTTATCCACCCGTCACCAAAGTGTTGCAAATATACTAGTATAGATGATTGTCTTATTGAGTAAAGAAAGAGAAAATTTTTAGTAACTTGATCGAAAGTCTTTGAGAACCAAAGTGTTCTTGTTGTTCTTCTTGATCAACATTGATTGTCCTATAACTGGAACTTATCAAATCTCAAGTCCTCATGTTTTCCTCTTTGTTAAGTTTTTTTTGGCAAAGAAAAACTCTCTAGTCCTAGTTCTTTTATAATTAGTTACAAATCTTCTCCTTCTAATGGAAACTTCTTTCATATAAAAGAAAGAAGAGAAGATATATCACACAATATTTTCAAGAAATGCAATTTCACAAGTCCCTACAGGTCCTAACAAGTGACGGGAGTCGGCTCCAACAGTTTCTACTCTAGTTGACTATTCATATAAGCATAAATAATCATACGCAAATAAAGGGCAACTCTGAGAACTCGGTTACCTTTAGATGCCCAAGCTCATTTAACCTCACACAGAATCATCAAAATCAATTCTAACATCAGCTTCTCCTCAAACACTGTGGGAGTAGTAGCAACAAAACCAGTACTCGTTGTGGTATATAGACATAAGGTCACTTTAAGATCACACCCCTTAAACGTTGAACTCTTATAAACCCTAGTCAAGCATTACACAAAATAAGATCTTTGAAGGACAATCTTTTTTAATCAGAATCCTTAACACGTCGTTTGAAACAATAACTAAAAATGCAATCCAACTAATAGAATATAAAATGCAATCCAACTAATAGAATATAAAATGCAATCCAACAAATAGAAGATATAAGTACGACTACGAGAGAGAGTGTTCAGTTCAGTTCGGAACTTCTTCAGCTTGCTTTTGCTGCGAGAGGGTCTCGCAAAACGGGACATTCCGAGTTTCTTTTAGGAAGAAACTTACAAGGCCGGTTAAAACTGATACAACGCCGAAGGTTATGAAGGACCATATTGGACTTTTTCTTCCTACTGCAACTAGCCATGGCGCCGCAGCCGCTCCTAGCATAAACGCCTGACGGAGAAGTGAAACTGCTAAGTTTCTCACAGCTGTTGGAAATAATTCAATGCAGTACGTGTACAGGATATTGTACGCGAGTCCAGATGCGAAAAAACCCAAAGCCACGACGGCAAGTTGCAGCCATTTTGTGGCTGTTGTGTCCTGGAGGGAGAGTACCCCACAGATTATACAGAAAAGTCCCGCAACAAATGACAAACTTGAAAATAAAGGGCGGCGGTTCATGATTCCAAGTAGAACCGTGCCAACAAAAAACGCCAGAATCTCCATCACACCATTAACAAGAACCGCAATATAAAGATTGAACTTTAGATTCTCGGCGTTTAGTTGAATCCCATAATACACAAACCCAGTACCAAACCCAGCGATCATTACCATTAACACCCTTTTCACTGCCCATTTCCTCTTCCATAGCTTTTCTGATGAACTTTGATTAACTCTTTTCGGAGGATCAATAAGCTTAAGATCCGCTGGAAGTTTTTTCCCGTTGAGCCTAGCCAATTTCTTCAACACCGTTATCGCCTCGTTGTTGCGTCCTTTTATAAGGAGCCAGCGTGGAGATTCCAAGGAAAACGGTAGCATAAGTAGGGCGTACCCCAGAAGCAGGTAAGACATCGTTCGGTAGAGATTTCTCCATGAACTCCTTTCGAAATATGCCATCACTGGCAACGAAAGGAGTCCCATCGCGAAGAAAAAAAACCCATATTGCCCGGTTTGGCCTCGCCACTTTTTACCAACCGTCTCGGTCGCGAGTACAACACAACATGACCCAATTCCCGATCTGAAAAAGCCATTCATGAAGCGCAAGAATGCATAGATCCATATGTTTGGAGAGAAGGAGATAGAAAATGCCGTGCTGAACGCCAAGAAACAAGAGAGAAACAGAGTTTTTTTCCGACCAAGTGATGAATCGGCAAGAATTCCGGAGACACCGGAACCTGGCAAAATATAAAACACAACTATTAAACTCCCAACTTAGATTAGATGAAAATTCAGTACAAAGATTTAATTGTCCCGTCTAAGTAATCAAATGGTTAATATTATTATGAAATCAAATTTTACAAATCTTAAATTTCATACCGACAAGTGAGCCCACGAAGAATAACGTGGAGGGAAGAGCAACTAGAAATTTATGTTGACATATGAGATTCCATTCCGAAACGACACTGCTTCTCTTTCCTCCGATCCACTCCCATTTATCGGTGGGCAATCCACACAACGATGAACTCTCTATAGCGGTGCCGGTTGCTACAAGTCTCGCAGCAGGCTGACGGTCGGAATAGATTGATATGAAACTGGTTTGGGCGTCGAAGAGCACAGGGATAGAGACGAAGAGAGCATGTAGGATCTCAGCAAATCCAGATGGTCCGATGTGTTGCTCGATCACCTCGTCGATTGTGAGTTCATACTTGTTGTTAGGATTTTCTTGCATTGTTGCTTCTTCTACGATCCCTTGAGTATCCATTATGTGTTTTCGTTATCGTATGTCTGATATCAGTTAGACATAGATGTTATATACATGGATGGGTGTGAATTGTAAAGACCATTATTGATAAATGAGTCAATATTAGGTGCGTAATCAATATTAGTCATTAATGTTTTCTTTAACGGGGAGGATTAGTCAATAATACCATGAATACTATTAATATTGTATGCTTATATAGGAACTTAACAGCTGTCAAAATAATAATATGGGAACTTTAAGATATAGTCTAGTTTGGTGTTCAAAAAAATAAAAAAAAGATATAGTCTAATTAAATGTTTGATTTTATTGATATTGGAAAAATAAATTAGCAACAATAATTGTTTATAAATAATTGTTGCTAATGTTTGATTCGTTCGTGTGATTTTATGTAATTTAGAGGGAGTAGGTCTGGGCATATGGGTAACCCGTTCGGGTTCGGGTTAAATGGGTAATGAATTTACGACCCATTCGGGTATTTTTAAATATTCGGTTCCGCTCTGGTTTGGATATCGTCGGGTTCGGATCGGTCTGGATAATAAGTATGAGAACTGAAAAAAAAAACCCGAAAAATTAGGGTCTCCATTGGGTTCGGGTCTAAATGGGTAAAATTACCCATAAACCCGAAATATGTCTCAATTACCCGAAATTTTAAACCATTTTATATGCACAATTCATCAAATACAAAGAATAGAACATAAACATGACACCTAAATCCAATCCAAAGTCACAATAATTAATACTTAAGAGTTAAGAGTAGAGAAACCCGAATATGAATATGAAAACATAAATCCGATTATCCAAATATCAAAAACATTGAACTAGATAGAAATAGAAGTAGAATTGTAGCCTTGTTGGAAGTTGATAGATGGGTGATGACTGAAAAAATACCTCTCATAAGCTCATCTTCCACCATGATATAAGACTATATGACTATATCTATATACGTATATAAACACATATGTATTCAGTTTCGGGTTTATGGGTACCCTATATGGGTAACGGGTAATTCCCGACCCGAACCGATACCCACGGGTTGACCAATACTCTATCCAATGAGGTAATTTCCAAATACCCTAACCCGCCCCAACCCGGTTTTTTCGGTCCGGGTATCGGTTCCGATTTTTTTGCCCAGGCCTAAGAGGGAGTTTGGGTTTATAAATAGTATTGGAAAAATAACTTAATAAATTAGCAACAATTACTATATGTAGCTGTAAATTAAGAGAGTAAAACTCTTACATAAATGAGTCAATCAATATTAGGTGAGCAATCAATATCAGTTGGTAATGTTTTCCTTAACGATACGGACTACTTAGTCAATAATACCATGAATACTATTAATATTGTATGCCTATATGGGAACTATAATACTAGTTGTCAAGAAATATATATGGGAACTTAAGATATAGTAGTATAATGAGATGTTTGATCTTATTAGGTAAAATATAGTAGTCTACGAAATTCGTGTGATTTTGTGTTATTTTAGAGAGAGTTTGGGTTTAAACAAAGTAATACTCTATACTGAATATTGAAATAATCAATTAGCGACAGTTCTTTGTCAAAAGTATTAAAACTTAAGTTATTTTCGAAATCTTTTTTCTTATGCATGGTAACTTTTCTTGAAAAAATATTAAAAATTGAGTCAATAAAATGATGATTACAATGAAAATAGTTATTGTGGGAGTATATTTCCATAAATATCTAAAGTCACAGAATAAGACGGTAATATCTTAGTCAATAATTTTGTCAATGATGAAGATTTCTTTCACCAAAAAGAGTACAAATATTTGGGTTAAATTATTTTTTAAAAAATAATCATATTTGAATTAGTCAAAAAGATTAAAAAAAAAATGATAGTTTTTGGCATTATATCACTAATAAACTATTTAGTTTGATGTAACAATTATTTTCGGGGAATAAATTTTTGTTACCGACTTAATTAAAAAAAAAAAGAAAAAGAAAAAAAGAGAGTAACGTTTGTAATAATAATATCCGTTGCAACATATATAACGACGGATTGATAATTATAAATCACTGATATTGGACAATGGATTGATTATTCAGTGTCCATTATGCAGACATTGGCGAATATATAGTGACAGTGACAATCGCATTGGTCTGTAATAACATATTCAGTGTCCGTTAACTAGTAGATAGACCAAGCAAATGAGAACAAAGGTCCCTCTCTCTCTGTATGTCCCCATCTACCATTTTGTAGTATTCCTTGGTTTGGAATTGGATCACATTTGTCCTGCCAAAAAGCTATTAGTATATTGTCGTATCTTTTTCCTTTTTTTTTTTTTTAGATTGACTTCTCTACCACGGCGTAATAGTTATTTACATTCTGTAGATATTGAACTTGAGATTTGGTGTGAAACTTTAATGGGGGACAGACTCGGTCTAATTGTTAATTAATATCGAACCAAAAACGCTTTCCACTGATTATCTTTCGATTTTATAGCACACTAAATTAGTGAAGAGTAAAACTTATCATCTCAGTATCCATCATGTAGTAATCGTCCCCACATCTTAATTATTATTGTTTTCATTACCCAGTTCAGAATTGACAGCCTCTCACGATTTATAAAATTTAAGTATCATAAATTCACGGAGGAAGGTTTAGTGGCTAGTGGGGATAGTTAAGTTAAAAAAAAATTAATACTATGCAAGAAGAGGGAGAGAGAGATAGAGCACTAGTTAATGAGATTGTAACTTTAGTTACTTAATTTGTTTGTTTTCTATATATACTAACGTTATAGATGAATAACATAGAAATGAATGAAACCTATAAAAGCAAAAATAGAAATAGAAGAAGAGTAGAGTGAGTCACGGGTGTGTGTAGTGGCAGAGGGCACGTGTCGAAAAGAGAAGACCCCATGTCCCTCTGACCCTCTCTGTATGTCCCCATCTACTTGTTCATAGCTTTGATCTTATGATTTTATATCCTTCATCCTTAAGAATTTAATCTGTTACATTTCATTATCAAATTGAACAGTGAATTTCTCCTTCCAAAAAGCTATTATATTGTCAGATCTGTTTTATTTATATTGATTTTGCTACCATTGTTTTCATATTCCGAAGACATGTTTTGGATGATAAATATTTCCAAATGCTTACTATTGAACTATCATGTATATATTACTTGTATTTGATCCATCCATCATTGGTCTTTTTCATGAACGACATGCATCATCATTAGAATTATCTTCCCAATTAACAGCACCTGGTAGCCGCATCATAATCAGATGAATCCAACCATTCATATATATATATATATGATCTTTTTAAAAAAATATATATATAAATTTATAGTAGTTAGTTTAACATAAAACAAATCCCATCTCCATTTGTGTAAACATGGGATCTAAAATATTCTGTTTGTTTTTATTTTGTATGTTATGATTTGAAATACACCTATGGGCTTTTTTCAATAGTTTTTTTCATCATTACTTATAAATTTTTGACTTGATCCAAAGTCCAACACCAATTTAAAATTACAAACATTCTTTATCAAAATGACAAAAAAGGTCTGGACACAAGAATAATATCATCGATCATCAAACCGTAGTAGTAGGTACCCACAACGTCCCCATCAGACAGAACCTTGTGAACAGACTCACAGGGTTGGAGTTCTAGAACAGTCTAGATCCTACCGAGGACCCTCCTGGCTGCAGCAACCGTAAACTCTATATCCTCCCGAGTGTGAGCCAAACTCGTAAACCCAGCCTCAAATTGAGACGGTCCAAAGTAAACACCTTCTTCCAGCATTCCCCTGAAAAACCTACCAAACTTCTCGTGGACTAATAATTTAGGAAAGGGGAAGAAAATGGTATTTAGAAAAGAATGTAGGAAACTTTTCACAAAAAAAAAAGAAAAAAAGAAGAAAAGAATGTAGGAAACTGTGGTATTTTTCTCTTATTTTTTTTCTTAATTTTGTTTTCAATATTAAAAAAAAAAGAAAGAAAAACAATAATGATAGTAGTAGCATTCGATGGTCTAAAACTCTAAATCAGAAAATAATTTTTTTATACACAAAATGAATGAATTTGTTTCAATTTGTGTATATATAAGTTGGAAAGTGGCTAGAGTATGACACTATTTTAGAAAAAGTCCATAAGATAGTACTAATAACTATTTGAATCTATTAAGTATAAATTTAAGCCAAAATAATGAAATCAATACAATAAAACTACTAAGAGTCTCTCCAGCAGTGTCACATCAGCTTTTTCAGCTTTCTTGGGTGTGACACATCATTAAAAACGAACTCCAATCAAAACATTTTAAATAATACAGCTCAATTTCTTAAACCAATAATAGCATTCTATCCTCCACGTCACTATTACTCTATCACGTTATAAAGAAAATAACAAGGGCCAAGGCCCAAATAAAGGAGAAGGCCACTCCCAAGTAATGTCGAAACTGATTTTGTTGTCGATCCAAAAACCACCTTAAAACGCCGAAAATTGGTTGTTGTGTGATGTCTAGATTGAGATAGATTTTAAAGTGTGTTGTTTTGTCTTGATCAAAGGTTATGTTTGGTTTGTTTTCTTTTAAATTTTCAGCTTCAATTGGGTGTGGATGAGATTTGTACATTGATGGTGTCGAAGAAGAACGAGCAATCGATTATTGGAGCTGCCACGATCGAGGTTTTACTTCTGCTACTCAAAACACAAGCTCACATTGACAGGAGCAAGGTTCTTCCAGAAAATCGAATGGTTGATATGACCTGCACAATACAAATACACTCCATCAATTTTCATTCTCTATCACAAAACAACCTCAATTCATTTCCAATAGTTTCTCTGCGAAATTTCCCTTCTATCAATCAACCTGGTTCGGAGCTCAAGAAGCAACAATCCTAATTTCAAACTATAGTCATCAAAATTAATCATCAGCTTCTATGTTCAAACCACACACCTCCGCCGTTGAATTTGATAGCGCTCTGCAAGTTAACAACAGTAGAAGCATCTCCCTTATTCACAGCCTGATCCAACTGCTCAAGAGCATTATTGTAATTAGTAACATAAGCCTGGTGATGCTTCTGGTGATGAATCTGCATGATCTCTCCACTAATCGCCGGTTCCAATGCGCCATAATCGTAAGGAAGATCAGGAAGCATAAAAGTATGGATTCCTCTGAATCCTGAAAGCCTCGATGATGTCTCCTTCAAGCCGGCTAGGGTTTTTCTACTCGCTACACAACGAATCGCCATTGTTAGATTGATTGATAAATAGACCACACAGCGAAGATGATTCTTTCTCCTTCCTCAAAAATGAAAATGTGTTTGTGGAAGGGAATGATAAATTCACTGCCTGTCACGTATAAATTAAGTAACATTTTGACACGTACACATGTGAATGTGATCGTGGTTATGTGTCCTTATAGTGGGCCGAACTATTGGATTAGTAAGCCCAAGGCCTTAAGATAATTATAATGTTTATTTTTGACGGATGTTATTTATAATTTTGATTCGAGGAAATATAAAGAAAAGAAGAAAGTTGACTAGAATCGGAGAATTTCCAAATGTTGAAATTCGATGCATGTAAAATCCAATTTTATTTGGTTCCTCCTTGATAATCTTTGAATTTTGTGATAAACTTTAGCTATAGGTCTACTAAAGTCTCTTGGTAAAAATTAAAGGGAGACTCACAAAAATGCCCCTTTTCAAAAATGCCCCATTTGACTGTCCATTTTTTAAAATACCCCTTTTTATGTACAAAATGACTAAAATACCCTTCTTTTAATAAAAGATATCACAAATATATAAGGAAATATAACAAAATTAGGTCCACAAAATACAAAATATTTTTTGGCGGGAAAAGTGACGCCAAAAATTTTCCCGCCAAAACACTTGTAAAACCTTTAAAATACCTTGTAAAATTTTCCCGTAAAATGTTTTCCCGCCAAAAAATTTTCCCGCCAAAAAATATTTTTTGCGGGAAAAGTGATTCCACAATTTTTTTTGAGTTAAATTTTTGGCGGGAAAAATTTACAAGGTATTTTAAAGGATTTTTACAGGGTATTTATAAGGTTTTACAATGTATTTTAAAAGGTTTTACAACGTATTTATAAGGTATTTATAAGATATTATAAGATTTTACAAGCTATTTTATAAGGTTTTACAAGTTATAAGGTTTTACAAGTTTTTTATAAGGTTTTACAAGTTATAAATACCTTATAAAACCTTATAAGTATCTTGTAAAACCTTTTAAAATACATTGTAAAACCTTACAAAACACTTGTAAATACTTTGTAAAACCTTTAAAATACCTTGTAAATTTTTCCCGCCAAAAATTTTCCCGCAAAAAAAATTTCGCCAAAAAAATTGCGGAATCACTTTTCCCGAAAAAAAAATTTTTTGGCGGGAAAAATTTTTACGGGAAAATTTTACAAGGTATTTTAAAGGTTTTTACAAGTGTTTTGGCGGGAAAATTGCGTGATCACTTTTCCCGCCAAAAAATATTTTGTATTTTGTGGACCTAATTTTGTTTCAAATAATGGTAAAATGGTCATTAAAAATTAAAAGAGGGCAAACTTAAAAATGGACTCTCAAAGGGGGCATTTTTGAAAAGGGGTATTGAAAAAGGGGCATTTTTAACAATTTCTCAAAATTAAAATAAGGAAAAAAACTATAAAATGAAGATAAAAACTATAAAATAAGGAAAAAAATTAATTCTAAATTTTGTTCAAACTCCTATATATTTATAATAGAATAATTTTTTATATTTAAATGTAAAAAATTTAAAACAAATAATAAGTAACTTTACATTTCGAATATTAGCTGAATTTAAAACAAAATAACTTTTTTTTTAACAAAAACTGATAATATAAAAAAAAAAATCAAAATAAGTTATTTTCTCTGTTTTCATATGTTTTTCTAATAATATTTTTTTTTAATATATATATGTTTTAAATTCAGATAATATATGAAATGTAAACAAAATATTGAAATTCAGCTAATATTCGAAATATTGAAATTTTGCAAAGTTATAAAATTCATATTGAAATGTAAATTCAGCTAATATTTGAAGCTTAAAATACGTGTATATATATATCACTTAAAAAACATACATTCAAAAATATATCCCGCGGCGGAGCGCGGATTTCGCCCTAGTTACTATAATGGTGAAAAGGGACCTAACAAGATTAACTATCGTCGAAATTAAGTTTGTTTAACATGGAGTACTTTTTATTTTATTAATCCATTAAATGTTTGTTTCATACGTTTATCGTCGCCAACTTGCATCACAAATAACCGAAAATTTCTTTTAATCCGCCGCTAATGACTAGGTGAAACCATAAAAGTTAAAATAAAAATAAAAAATTTAAACTAAATTTAAGAAAGTAAATTGAATTAATATAATGATCAATAGACCTAACATAGTTCATTTTTATCATCTTGTTAATTTTTAATGATCGATTAATTTATTTTGTTTTCGTAGATGGTTTTTTTTCTGGTGAAACAGATGAAAAACTTTTTTTTCCGTCTCACTAGATTGTTTAGCCGTGATACTCGCGGCTTGTTACATAATTGTTATGCTTTGTGTAAACGATAAAAAAAAGTTTTAGAAAATATTAAAATAAGACAAAATTACATATTATATAATATTTTAAATTAAAACATTGTTATCAAATCTTAAAAGATAATTTTATCTTTTTCTCTCTTTTTCATATTTCACAAAATTTAAGTATTCAAGTAAGCGCTAGGCGCTAAGCGAGCGGTGACAGAGTATCTAGCGCCTAAAAAGCTTAATCGGGACCTAGGCGATTTTTAGACGGTTTAAACGTTTATAATATAAAACATTTTAAATATGATATTATGTATAAAATTTATATAAAATATCTAAAAATACTTAAAATATGAAATCATATGTGGCTTATTCACGTTCTTTGTTGGAATCCTATGTGGCTTATGTGAGTGGATTTATGACCCTATGTTACAGATGCTTGAGAGACACACCAAATTAAAAAGGGAGAGATTGTTCATGTAAACACACTTGATGTACCAGTGACAAAGTAGGAGGAAGTGAAAAAATGAAATTAGATATTTTAGAGAGAATGAGAACTGTAGAACTGAAGCTTCAATTTGGGCTGCATCATAACCAGATATTTGAGAGGTATTTATTCCTTGGTGTGGCAAATCTTGATCATCGTTTATCCGCGTTAGAGGTTTGACCCAACTGAAACAGTTCTTTTCCTTATCATACTTTCTTATGCTTTTGTTATGTGATCAGAACCATAACTGCACATCTTACCGACATTTTGATGTGATCACAAGGGTGGCAAACAAATGCAATGATGGCACTTTGGTCTTGGAGATAGCCAATTTTAGCCTTAACCTCTCAGTTCTCATAATCTTATCACTACAAGAATATTGAGTTTTAATAGCATTATAAAATAGCGTTTATGTGTGTTTTGCTATTGTTGACTTATTCCTAATTTTTCTATAGCGTTTTGAAATAGACAAACGCTATAATATATTGGGCTCGTAAAAATATTGGGCTTCCGCTTATTTTATGTTTTTAACATTCTCTGTAATAGCACATACAATTTTTAAAACGTTACCATAGAGGAGTTAACCCTAATAATTATTTAGTGCCCGCCTCTATTTTTCATGGCCGCCAATATTTTTTAGTACAAAATTTTTTGACTTATTTTTATCTGTGAACTAAAAGACTGCTTCTTAACTAGGTGAAAAGGAGAGAAACAAGATAGAGAGCATATGAAACATCGATTATCTTCTACTTGAGCGAAAATCAATTGAGTGAATCAATTTCTCGTTTGCACTTCCACATCATTTACCCATCGCCGGTTCCTCTTCCGCTTCATCTACCACTTCCCAATCTTTTTCTTTCACCAAATCCTCAAACCCTAGTTCTAGATTTGGCTGTTTAGGATCCACCATTTCGGATCCTGCTTCGTCCGCAACTTCACCGGCCTCTTAACATGCGCTTCAATCGACTGTTACACCATCATCTCTGTTCGGAGCCTCTTCTTCCTCATATCCACATTCATCTCTCTTCGAAGCAGCGCCAGCGATTGCTTTCAAGTCACTCTTGTCGTCTCTCTCTCTATTCTTATCTTCATTCGATCTTCCTCTCACTCTCAGATCTGGTTGTTTTCAGATGAGAGTTCTTAAGGTCGCTCCTGTTTCTCATATGGTTTATGCAGATTCAATTTTGGGCGCTAGAGATGGCGGTGGTTGTTAGTCTCAGTTTTGGAGAATCATCTCTACTAGAGAATTGATTAGGTTTCTTCCTCATACTCGTTCCTCAAGGTTTAATTTTTTCAGTTTGTTATGAGTTATGTTGATTAATTGAATTGAGCTGATGTGATTTTTTCACTCAATAGATCTATTTATTCTACTCATGCCGACAAAGCTATGATTTAAAAGCAATTCGTGTTTGTGTTTTTGGATCTGAATATGGACTTTGTTTTCTTTACTAGATTCTTTTTACACAAAGTTTGAGTCTTCACGTTTCTTTATTGGTCTTGTTTTGTTGTTTAACTCTTGGCAAAGGAGGAAGCTAATAATGATGATGATATCGGAGAAGACGTTTCAAAGATTGAGGTCCAAGAGGTCTAAGGGTGTGAAGAATTGAGAAGTTAAAAACAAGAGTTTGTATGAAATTTATCTTTAATTTGTACTTTTACTTTGTAATATAAGTCTTTTGTATATGATTTTCATATAAATGTAATAAAATATGACATTTTTTTTTAATTTGTCAAATTATCCAAAAAATCAAAAAAGAAAACCTAGAGAACAATTACAAGAGTTGTTACATATATAAAATGAATAAAACAATTTGTAACAAAATATAATTGCTATCGTAAAATATACAATTACATAAAAGAAATCGTTATATTTGACTAAGATACGATAACAGTGCTAAAAACCGCTATCGAAAGCGGCGGACCTATTATGACGGGAGCAGATACAGCGCTTGTCAAAACGCTATGGAATAGTTAGATAGCATTATTCAGATGCTACGAAAAGCCATTTTTCTTGTAGTGTATTCACTTCCACCCGAGATTATCAATGCAGTAATTTCTATCTACAGGTTATGCTACACTTCCTAGTCAAGGCGAACTTGATAGTTCTTGATGCTTGGCTTGATCTTCAAGATGGATTTGTTCATGGACAAAATCATGAAAGATCAACTTCAACATTCGTTCCACTTGTTGTGTCTCCATAGTTCAAAATGATGAAAGCCTATTAAATCAAAATTCCTACTCATTTAGATTTGGTGTAAAAAAATTTTAATAATTTTTTTTGAAACACCACCCAAAATGTTTAGCTGACGTGGGACATCATTTAAGTTTTTTTCCACTGATTTGAAGGTTTTCTGCAAAAAATCTTCAAAGTCGCTAATTTTCATAATTTTAACTTCCACCTCCAAAAAATGCAGAATTATTTAGCCCTTTTCGCTATTGTCAACTCTACCTTTAGAATTTTAAAAATCAAATGTATGTGATCGTGAAAATGTTTACAACATATGTATAAAGAGTATATTAAGTATTAATTATTTTTACTTCATAGAACTATTCTTCATTTTTTAAAAGTAGAGAGTAAAGTTACAAAAATTTGCGACTTTGAAGATTTTTTTATACAAAAACCGTTTTCATAAATTCAAATTACAATATACGCGAAAAAGAATCTAGATTTTTATTTATTTTATGAACTATGTATTGATTTAAATATATTTAAAATATAATTGACCAAAGTAAAGACGAGATGTGATTTTTTTGTTAAAATCTTCAAAATACCTTTAAATCAATTAGACGAAATATGTTTTTGACAAAATCAGAAAAAAGAAAAAAATTAATATTTTATTAAAAAATGATTTTGATTTAAACTATTTTAATTCTAAGATTACCCTTTCTAATTGCAATTAAACGCTTCGACACATAATTTCAATGATAATCGAAGTTAGTAAATGATTGGATTTGGAAAATGTTCAATATGTACTTCGCTTTTAATAAAAAGGAAAACTAATGTAAAAGAATAAAAATGATAGAGTAGTATTGAGTTTATACACGGAAAATGGAAAGATAATATTGATTTTATTTTTTATTTTTTTTGTCAACAAAAATATTAAATCATTGTTAAAATTTGATGTTGTTTAATGAATTATATAATTATTTGATGTTTTCTAGTTCAGTAATATATTTTATTGTTTGATGTTTTTCAATTTAGTATATACTTATTATATATATTATCCTAAAGTTTTTGAGAAGTAATAATTTTAAAAATATTTCGTATGGGGCACTTGCTATTTCAAACCCGGTCTTGAGAGTTCAAATTGGAGTGTTTGGTTTAGAGTGGAGCAGAGCTAGGCCTGGCCCAAGATATTTAAATGTGATAGTGCAAAAACTTTGTATGGCCTTTCATTACAGCCTAAATGTTATGGGCCATTTTCAATATTTATTTTAACAAAAATGAGCCATTTTGCCAGGATATATATATTTCTTTTAAACGAAAATAGATTCTCATTTGTAAAGAGTACAGTAAAATCTGCTGCATAGATTAGTGTTACATAAATTTAATTACTATAACTTAATAAAAATTTCTGGTTCCAAATCAGGCGAACATAATATCTAATACAATTCAATAATACAAAAATATTTTTTTTAAAAAACATTATGTAAATATATGGTTCCATCAATGTTATAAACTAATAAGTATATCAATTTATCAAATATATATTGCTTTTTTTTAATTTGCATTCTTATGTATTTTATACTACAAAAAAATCTGGTTTTATTTTCTCCAATTATATAAAAACATTAGGAAGCTTTCTACGTGATAATTTTTACTTACATGAAATTGATTATAAGATAATATGAATTTTAACAAACTATTTTTTTTCCAAGAAATCAAGAAAATCTTTCTATAAGTTAATAACTATAAATTTTTCTTTTAAATTTATCTCTGTAGGTGTAATTATGAATGACGAAACAGTACACCAGCTGTGTAAGCAAGCTGTTTCCCAGGTAAATCTTGTCGATATCAAAGAGTCAAAATATTTAAAAAATTTTCTTACTAATGAGATATGATCTCTCCCTCTCTCTTTCCAGGGCAGAGCTGGAACTTACGTTGTCAGTCCGAGTGATATGATGGATGGGCGAGTAGGTGAAATCTGTGCAGCTTTTGATGCTGAAGGATTTCAAAACGTCTCTATCATGTCCTACACAGCCAAGTAATCATACATTTCATTTTTACTTCAATAACTTTTCTGGAAGCATATTGTTGTTTGTTCTGTTTAATTTTATGACTCTTCTGCCAACATGTATGCAAGTTCGTTTTACGGTCCTTTCCGTGAAGCCCTGGACTCAAATCCACGTTTCGGAGATAAGAAAACGTAACTCCCATCAACCCATTTGCATTTATTTTGCTAACCCTAACGTTTACAAACTGACTTTGTGAACTTTTTCTGAAAGTTTGTTTGATAATTGATCGGTTTTATAACCAAGTTTTAATTATTAAAACAAAATATGAACAAGCTAGAGAAAATTTGAAAAAAATATATATAAATATGAGCCAAAGATGAGCAAAACATAAGCGAATATACATATATATTTGGTATTTAACAAACCACTGATTTGGTAGTTGGGCAAGTTTTCAAAGATAAAAATATGAGTATGAATCTTGAACGAGTTAAAGGTTATTTTTTTTCTTTTTTGTTAAAACAGTTTCCACCACAATTAGTTTTAGATTTTAATGTTCATATAATTAAAATGTTTATAGAAAATTAGAAAACAATTATTTGATGGTAAGAATGAAGTGATTATGATACATCATTTGAGAAAGAAAAAAAAGTCTCATCAAAGAGTAAAAAAAAAGTGAAAAAGAAACTAATAATGATTAACTAATCTACTATATAATCAAAATTACTTTTTAAAAGAAAAACATTTAGTACTTAATTGCATGATATGTCATTAGCAAATAGTTAAACTAATTGAATTAAGATATGAAAATTATCTTTTAATTTAATTAAAAATATTTCTATTTGCTTTTCCATTTTTATCTTCATGTTTTTCCATTCCATTAAGTATGTCTCCCATATTTGGACATCATATGACTTCTCATTGAAAAATCTCTCTCATCTATTGCTTCATATCCATTAGTTTTTTTTACCAAACATTGCTTCTACTCTTATCAACACCCTTTTCAAGTTTTTTTGATCAATCCTCTCCATAAATTTGCTTTTATCTGGAGAGTCCTCAATGATCATATAGCATAAATTTGCTTGAAGATTAGATGATTGATGCGCGAGTAGGCGGAATCCGTGCAGCTCTAGATGCTGAAGGATTTCAAAACGTCTACATTATGTCATACACAGCCAAGTAAGTAATCATTCATTTCTTTTCTGGAAGCATATTCTTGTTTGTTCCATCTAATTGTATGAATCTTGTGCCAACAGGTATGCAAGTTCGTTTTACGGTCCTTTCCGTGAAGCCCTGGACTCAAATCCACGCTTTGGAGACAAGAAAACGTAATTCCCATCAACCCTCATCGATACTGGATTTGCATTTCTTTTGCTAATACTAGCGGTTACAAACTGACTTTATGAACTATAGGTATCAGATTGACCCAGCTAATTACAGAGAGGCCTTGATTGAGGCACGTGAAGACGAGTCTGAAGGAGCAGACATTCTCTTGGTAAGTCCTTTATCATCCTTTAAACTATGTGAGACAATCACGAAGTTTGCCTTGTTCTTATCCAAGTTATCTAATATCGTACATATGTGTTATTGTGTTGTCTAATTTGTTATGATGTTTTCGAATATATTAATCAGAGCATAAGTTGAGCTGGTGGTGACATGATCTTACCTACTTGTCTGATAATTAGTATAAAATGTTAAATAAGTTTTACAACGTCAATATTTTTTTTGAAAAGTTTGTTTGATAATTGATTGGTTTTATAATCTAGTTTTAATTATTAAAACAAAATATGAACAAGCTAGAGAAAATTTGAAAAAAAATATATATATATATATATATGAGCAAAACATAAGCAAATATACATTTTTTGTTTTTTTTGTGCACCGCATAAGCAAATATACATATATTTGATATTTAACAAATCAATGATTTGGCTGTTTGGCAAGTTTACATTTTCAAAAATAAAAATATGAATATGAATCCGGAACGAGTTAAAGTTTATTTATTGTTTGTGTTAAAACAGTTACCGCCACAATTAGTTTTAGATTTTAATGTTCATATAATTAAAATGCATATAGAAAATTAGAAAACAATTATTTGATGGTAAGAATGAAGTGATTATGATACATCATTTGAGAAAGAAAAAAAAGTCTCATCAAAGAGTAAAAAAAAAAAGTGAAAAAGAAACTAATAATGATTAACTAATCTACTATATAATCAAAATTACTTTTTAAAAGAAAAACATTTAGTACTTAATTGCATGATATGTCATTAGCAAATAGTTAAACTAATTGAATTAAGATATGAAAATTATCTTTTAATTTAATTAAAAATATTTCTATTTGCTTTTCCATTTTTATCTTCATGTTTTTAAATTACTTTTACTAAAGATGTTCTTTCTAATTTTTATAACTGAAAGATTTATTTTCTAATCAATACAAATCAATACAAGGAAATAATTGTTCTTTATGAAGAAAAACAAAATATTTTTCTCTATTATATATATTCTACAACTACATTTTAAACAATGACTTTCCAAGGCTCAGCAAAAAAATCAATGACTTTTCAAGTGTAAAATAATACTTTAACTGCCATTAGAGTCAAAAGTAAAAAAAAGTTTTTATCAAGGGTAAAAATTCTAAATCCTCTAATTTTTATCTGTATAACCAAAAAAGTTTCAAAAGAAATTTAAACCTTATTCTCACATGTTATTACCAAATTTGTCATGCTGACGTATCGCTCTCAGAAAGATTCTTAATTCATTTAAATACCTAGAACGAAAAGTAATTTTTTAGAAAATATTTTTTAGTAGAAACATAAATTGTAATAATTAAATCAAATGGTATGTACGTAAGTTTTTTAAGTGAAATGTACCTAAATTTTTTTTTTGTCAAAATGAAATGTACCTAAATCATCGAATATTAACTGAATTTACAGATTAATATGATTTTTAATAACTTTGTTTTATAAAAACCATAGTATAAGATTAATCCTCACCTTCTGGTTGTGTTCGAGATGCTGATCTACCAATGTTCCGGTTCAGCTCCGGTTATAATCGACTTCATTATTTACCAAAGTACCATTCACGCCGGTTTGATATAGTAGTAAGATTTGTAAGCCCATGGCCCTTTAAACGATGGAACGTTAATGGCGGCAACATAAGCGTTTCAGAAACTTCGAGAGGCAGCCAATATTGATAAACTGTATCAGTCTTATCCTTCTTATGTAGAAATTGTGATGGATTAACCAACATATACCCGAAGAGATTGATATAGATAGCTTTAGTGTTAAGTGTCACTACCATGTAAATTTTAAGTCTTTTTAGATTGTTTATAAGATTATTGAACTGTGTTGCGCTATGGAGGTGCTGACTGTTAAAATGATTATTCGATTGTGTTGCGCTACATATTATAAAAAAAAGATAAGAAGAGAAGTACCTTTAAAGCACGCTGCCCAGGGAGCGATCAGCAAAAACATTAAGAATAAATTGTTACCATCACATAATGTAAAGTTTATGATTCGAATTTGGTGGTGATATATCAATAGATCAAGGATAATATAAAAACAGGTAAACAACAAGAGTTAACAATCAGACAAGGTCAATTTAGGATCCACCTTTCAGACAAAAAAAGGTAAAACAGACAATTTATTTTAAAACATTTGGACCATTTTTCTGATTCTAGCATCTAGACTTCGATATGTAACATGCCCTTTTATCATGATTCATGGCAAATTTATTTTCGTATACATTGCCAGCAACATTTATGACTCCAATTTATCATAATTCTTGTTGGTGTTTTGAAGGATGAAAAAGAGTAAGAGATAAAAAATTATCTCTTCTCTTTTAAAGAAGAAAAGTACACGAAAGAAATCTGACAACACTCATTCACTTATATACATACCGTACGGTCTTAACCGTTCGTAACTTGTGGAAACCGACAACTGAAACAACACAACTCATTAACACACACCCGTTACTACACATTCATTCATATATTAATATATGTAAAATATGTGACAAACTCAATTATCACTATACCTCCCTCTTAATTGAATTTCGGTCTAAACCCAAGTTTGCTTCTTATCATATCAAACTCCAACTTCTTGTTGACTTCTGTTCCTTCTCTTCACGACGTTTTCTTCTTCCTCTTTGTTGTTGTCTTTCTCTTTGTTGCACAATTTGACACTCTTTTGTCAATTGTATTTGTTTTCTGTTGACATATGAACTCTTGGAATTTTTCTTTCCCGCAAATCTTCTCCATGTCACCTTCAAGTTTACCATGACCTTTTCCACGTTTTACTTAAGTCTTCATGAGCTTTCCTCACGTCTTCTCCGTGATCTATTATCAAGTTTTCGTCGATTGTTATTGCAACCTTCTTCCACTCCCTTTCTCTTAGGTGAGCTTTCTTTTTATTCCCTTTTGGTGTCCTCGTGATCACCAAATATGTGATCATTTGATCACCATCACGTTTCTTTGACGTCTTGTGCGTGATTATTCTCCATGTCTTCTTTGGTGGTCTCTACGACCAAGCAATGCTTCCTTTCACTCTTAGGGAAGCATCTCTCCTTTTTGCTTGGTATCTTCCTTTGATCACCATCACGTCTCTGTTACGTCTTGTGCATGAACATCTTCACGTCTTCTTCGGTGTCTTCCTTTGATCACCATAACGTCTCCATGACGTCTTGTGCGTGAACATCTTCACCACGTGTCCTGGCTTGTTACATGCAAAGCACCTTACACCCGTAGGCAAGCTAACATCCAGGGCCCTAATCTCCAATACCAACACTACAACCATCCAGATAGCCTAGAAAGGGACTATTCATGACCAATCCATTTTACATGCCTTGTTTTGTAAAACATTAATTTTGATTACCTCATAGCACGAACGATCTTCCTCAAGTTTTCGCTGGACAAGATAGAGTTGTCCAAGGTTGTGTAGAGTCGCACCAACAGTGCAATGTTAAGAATAAGGTTGAATGAATGAAGGAACATACACAAGGACCCGTCACCAAAAATATATAAGACAATTCTTGATATTTCTAAGTGTCGCGTGACTTTCAATCTAGCCCGTGGGATTCATAAAGAACACTAAACAAACAAACAAAAAAGCGTAAAGACTTAGAAAATTTTAAATGGTCATGTCAGGGAGAGGCATAAAGGGAAAAGTAAGCAATCTAACAGGGGCATATAACTAAAATGTACTAGAAAACCCAGCCAGTTTCTAGAAATGTGATGGGTTCTCACTAAACTATAAGAGTGATCACAAAGATATGAAGTTGTAGAACAATAGTATTAGTCAGGTATCATCAAAACTCAAAAGTAAGACTTTACAATATGTGTGGTGAAGTTCATGCGAATGGCAATCATTTAATTAAGTATCAACTCAAAATATAATGATGACTTCTCACCGCACATCTTCATTACCATAGAAATCCTCCAAGATACTAACAGCTTCTAGGTATAAGGGCTCTGCTTTGTCGAATTCTTTCTTGACTCTATATAACTATGCCTTACATAGAGGAAGGAAAAGATAGAGCAATTAGTCTAAGAAAACAAGATATAACAAGTGTTGAAAAGCAGAGAACTGTAAGAATGAAAATTTTAGGAAGATATGACTTTCCCAAATAAGAATGGAACAATTCTCAGAAAGAAATTGATCATGAATCCATTGTGCTAAAATATATACAGATATCAACATACAGAGAAATTGTAAATTAATAAGGATATGTCCGAATACCCGAACGCCGAGGACTAATGAGTTTGGATGAAATCTAACTTGTTATATAAGATTCGATAGGCACAAAACCACATGTTTGTTTATTCTCTTTTGATAGCTACACAAACATATAATTATCAAATTTGTGGTACACCAACTTATAATTCTCAGATCATCCAGTTCCATATTTTCCAATATATTCAAACGACTTTGGAAATCATTTGACATATATATCACCATATAATGGATTACACAAATATGCCAAACCACATAATTTCAGCCCTTCATTTAAATCCAGCTTCCCTTTCTTCTTCGACCTCTTTAAGATTTTGTTGTACTCCACACAAAATGCTTTCGTACTCACACTAACCTGTTTTTTTTTCTGAAAATAAGTTGGAAAATCATTACTTAACAGAAAAAAATTAGAAACATATAGTAAGTTGTTAACAATTTTACATGTTAGATAATATTTTTTGTGTGGTTTGTGGAGGAAAAATCTTTTTGGTTTTTCACAAATGATTTTTATGCGTTTGTGAATTGAGTAATAAATTTTAAAGGATAGAAAATATACGTTACCAAATAAGTAGTGATACGTTCCCTTCAATTGATCTATAAATAAACAAAGAGAGTTGGATTAATATGCCGACACAATAGAGTTTATGAATTTGTAACTTAAGTAATGAACCTTCAACCCGTTCACGATTCAGAGGACCCCTCTCTCTCTTATCTCTCTCTTATCTCTCTCAAATCTTTCAGAGAGAGAGGGCGATCTTATTTCATCTTTTGTTTCCGATTAATATCGGATATATGTCTCCGGCTAAGTCCGGTTAGTTTCTTCTCGCCTAAGTGCGAGTTTTCTTTTAGCCGTTTTTGGCTAGTTCTTTTCTTTTGTTTTTGACAAAAACTTTTTGTCTTCTCCTTTTGCAGTGATTAAATCTCTTTCAAAAAAGAAGAGAGAAACGCCGAATGATTGAATCAAAGCTTCCTGTGATCATCAACCGCTCGATTCCTTACATGAAAGCATAAATCCTTCATACCCCCTATTGGGGCCGTAGATCGGCTTTGGATGAAGGTTCCTTTCTATGTATGTGGATCGTGATGTTTGGAATTTGATGGCTGGTAAAGAACAGATACAGGAGAGCGTGTTTTGCGACTGTTCTGACCTCTTGCTTTGTCGTCTTTTCCGGCGCTTCAAAACTTGATGGTTTAAGGATCTCGATCTCTACTCATCCGGATGAATTTGCAGAAGGAGACGTGGGGTGAATCGGAAGAAGAAGCTGCTTTGGTGGAAATCTTACTCGAAAATCCAGATTCTGATCGGCGGCCAGCTTCGGTGGTGATGGCGGTGACGAGCCGGTGATGAGTCGGTGAAGAGTCAACTGCATCTTCCACCTCCAACCTGCGCAAGAACGTGTAGGCCACACGTGTCCCTTCTAGGCCAGCTTGCATATTCTGTAATTTTAATTATGGGCTAATGTTGGGCTTTTATTGTAAGGTTAGATCCGTTTCATCTTGTAATTCTGCCCTATTAGGCTTTAATGAAAAAGTTTGCCGACAAAAAAAAAAAAAAAGTAATGAACCATTCAAAACAGAAAAAAAATGAAGTGGAATATTTGCACCTGTTTGCACCTGTTTCACCTGTTTGCAAGGCATGATACAATAAGAGTCATATTTGCTCTTGCAGCACAAATGAAGTGGAAGCTTTACCAGATGGATGTTAAGTCAGCATTCCTAAATGGAGAACTTAAAGAAGAGATCTATGTTGCACAACCACCTGGGTTCATAGCCAAAGGAAAAGAAGACAAAGTCTTATTATTACATAAAGCTCTGTACGGTCTTAAGCAAGCCCCTAGGGCTTGGTATGGGAGAATTGATTCGTATTTTCTCCATCAAGGTTTCCAGAGAAGCATGAATGATGCAGCACTGTACGTGATGAAGAAAGACAAAGACATCCTGATCGTGAGTCTCTATGTTGATGACTTAGTGATCACAGGAAACAACTCTCAACTCATTGATAGATTCAAAGAAGATATGAAGAAGGAGTTTGAGATGACAGATTTGGGATTATTGAATTATTTTCTGGGAATGGAAGTAGTTCAAGATGAGAATGGCATTTTTCTATCACAAGAAAAATATGCCAACAAACTTGTGACAATAAATCTGCAATCGCGATTGGCAAAAATCCAGTACAACATCGAAGGACCAAACACATTCAGATCAAATATCACTTTGTTCGGGAAGCAGAAAACAATGGTCTGATTCAACTCAAGTACTGTGAAGGAGAAGTTCAAGTCGCTGATCTTCTGACAAAGGCACTTAGCGGATCAAGGTTTGAAGAATTAAGAAGGAAGCTTGGAGTAAAACCGAGATATGATTAAGGAGGAGTGTTGAACAATAATCATATCTCATATAGTTTTAAGTTATTTACATTAGTTAGTTATTTTCATTAAAAGACACAATTGTGTTTAGTCGTGTTTGTAAGGTTGTATTGTTTCGTTCACAGTCATGTCGATTCAAAGAACATGTTTCACTTGTATAAGTAGATCGAGTCTGGTCCTTAAAACATTATCGAGTCTGTAACACATTTTTTTCCTTTATCAATAAAGTTCTTGTTTCTTCTTTATTGGTGCTCTGATTCTTCCTGTTCATCTTCGTTTATCATACTCTGTTAAAACAGAGCTTGCTTTTAACAAAAAGATCAACAAATTCGAGGATGAATACTCCCCCTTTCCGTACGGGTCAGTTCACATAAAAACCCTAATAACTTCAAAGGGATGCTCAAGCGACGGAGAAGAGCTTGGATCACCTTTAAATTTGACGGATACCTCTTTTTACGTTAGCCAAAGAAATACACTGATAGGGGTTGGTTGCAACAACATGGCATCATTGACAAATGTCGAGCCAAGCATAGTTCAATGCAAATCAAGCTGCGGCACAAGTTACCGTACGCCTACAAAAGATTATCTTGCCGTACTTACTTGCAATACCAAGTATGGCTACGATGACATGTATTGTAATCAAAGCAGCATTATGTATGAAACAAGTTGCAATGGTAATAGATGCTGCAAGGCAAACATGCCTGATAGGATTCAACAGACTGTTGGTGTCAGAGTAGAACACACCACGACAACGGGAGGGTGCACAGTTGCCTTAAACAGACGAGGCATACATTTTTTCTAATGTATCTAATCCGCATAGGCTTCATGCTAAACGATACGGTACAGTTGAGCTAGGATGGTTCATCCATACGGCAAATCGTTTGTTTGTTAAGTCCCTGGCTCGAAGATGTTATGATATAAAAGAGTACTTAAATCTAATATAATACTACCCAGATAGACGGAATAGAAGGAATACCATAAGTTGTGTATGCGACAACAATGCTTATCTAAGCTATGCAAGATGCTCATGCAAACGAGATTTCAAAGGGAACCCATTTAGGCGGATGCACAGGTTAATAATTCTTCATTAATTATTCATGTTTTCATTCAAATTTTATATGGACATGATGATCTAAGTATACCTATGTGAACCATCGTTTGATTATAATCTCTTTATATTTTGAAAACTAGATATTAATGAATGTGAAAATCAAAACAATGGGTACTGTTGGGAAGGCACCAGATGTGTCAATTTATATGGAAACTATGACTGTATGTCCACCAATCATCGGCTACTTGCTATAGGTAAGTCGTGGGAACTTTTTACCACAAATGTATGTGTCCATTTAAAGCTCTTTTACGATGGTAATGAGCAACATTTTTTCTTTTTCAACAATGATGATCAACTTTGATCAACTTTATATTACCATTTATTCAAGAAGTTAAGAAACACAAAAAGAGATTTTGCTTTTCTTTTCTATGTTTGCAGGTCTTGGTACGAGTTTCTGCTCAGTGATATTTGTGGGTGGAATATACTTGTTATACAAATTTATTAAAAAGCAAAGGAAGTTAAATCAAAAGAAGAAGTTTTTCAAGCGCAATGGGGGTCTATTGTTGCAACAACAATTGACTTCAACAGAAGGCATGGTCGAAAAGACAAAAGTGTTCAGTTCGCGAGAATTGGAAAAAGCTACTGAAAACTTCAGTTCAAACGGAATACTTGGTCAGGGTGGTCAAGGTACTGTGTACAAGGGAATGCTTGTCGATGGAAGAATTGTAGCTGTAAAAAAATCCAAAGTCGTGGACGAAGACAAGCTATAAGAGTTTATCAATGAGGTTGTTATTCTTTCACAGATCAACCATAGGAACATCGTGAAACTCTTGGGATGTTGCCTCGAGACAAATGTCCCAGTTCTCGTCTACGAGTATATACCTAATGGTAACCTTTTCGAACATCTTCATGATGAGTTTGATGATAACATGATGGCTACATGGGAAATGCGTCTCCGCATTGCTATAGATATTGCAGGAGCTCTCTCATACTTGCACTCGTTTGCAACGTCTCCAATCTATCATAGAGACGTCAAGTCTACAAACATAATGTTGGATGAGAAATATCGAGCCAAGGTATCTGATTTTCGAACGTCAAGAACGGTAACAGTAGATCATACCCACTTGATAACGGTACAGTTTCAGGTACGGTAGGATATATGGATCCAGAGTACTTTCAATCTAGCCAATTCACCGACAAAAGTGATGTCTATAGCTTCGGGGTCGTGCTAGTAGAGTTAGTAACTGGAGAAAAGTCGATTTCTTTTTTGCGGTCTCAAGAAAACAGGACATTGGCAACTTATTTCATTCTTGCAATGAAAGAAAACAAACTCTCTGATATTATCGATCATCGTATAAGAGATGGTTGCATGTTGAGTCAAGTGACTGCAACGGCGAAAGTTGCAAGGAAGTGTCTCAATCTGAAAGGGAGGAAACGACCAAGCATGAGAGAAGTATCTATGGAGCTTGATCATATTAGTATGTCTTCTGGAGATATGCAACTGCAAGAGTATGTTAGCGAAAACGAGGAAGAGGAAGAAAAAAAAAGGAGTTGTGGAAAATATCGAGGGTAGAATCAAGGAGCAATGAGGTTGTTACCGCTCCAGCTTCTCAATACAATATTGGTGCTGCCTCATCTTCGTGGTCAGATGTTGAACCATTGTTTCCTCTTCAAACACGGGTAAACTTCAACTTCGAACATTGTCTTTGCTTTTACGTTTGTTTTCGGTGTTTGAGTTCTGTACTAGCCAAGTGTGTGTAATAATAACGACTCTCGTTTGTATCCATTTCCCAACAAAAAAAACACATAAAAATAATTTGATATTTTGGTTATTACGATATGTTTTACGCAACAACTATACAAAAATTAAATGTCATAGAGATAACATCCATAAAATGCATAAACTTTTCCGAATTGTACTTGTTCCACCCAAACTTTTGTCTTCTTGAATTACTACACAAACCTCATGAATCGTATTGGTTCCACGAAAACTAGCAAAATGCTTTATTGAATATTGACTTGAAGATCTAAAGAGTTTGTGAATCAAATCAGGACAATATAAGACGAAGAATCTCCCCGGAAAACTTGAACGATTTCTCTGTCTCTTCCAAACAATGATTCTTCTCTTCTCTTGTCCAACACTGCCATTTAAATATCAAAATTCACATTAGCCATTAGAATGCACAAACTATAATCTTTCTTGTTCACAGTAGTGTTAAATTCACAACACCTCTGCAACTTTGTTCAGTTTTTGCCTCACATTCTGCAACAAATGAGAAAGTTGACCGTCCCATTTATAGAACTCGAGTTCTTTATCATCGAGTATCTTCTCAGATACCTGCAAAACTTGTAAAACTTTCAGAAAATAGTTCCAACTTCAGTGATTTTGGTGCATGAAGTTTCTTTCTTTACCTTTGTTCCAATCATTTGGCCACCGGCGCTATGAGCAAAGTAAATGTTGTAGAAGTGACAAATGAATGCTTGAGGATCATACTCTGCTAAATATTTTAAATACTCAGAATATGTTTTACCAGGAGCCATTGGCTCTGGAATCTCATAACCTTGTTCCTTGAACCATTCCATATCCTTCCGCAAACTCTCTGCTCTTTCCAATCCCGTATTCTTGAAACCGGCATCTACACATAACAAAAACAGAGATTTTGACAATGTTACAGAAGAAAAAGAACCCACTTTTCACAAACCGGTATTTATTTCTAATACATTATAAAGAACCATGATCCCTCAGATTGTTTCAAGAGTCTAATGTGTGCATATGATCCAAGAAGTTTGGTCTCACTTTAAACGCAAATCAAGTCCAAAACATTCAGTAGACATTCTAGAACAAAAATTTTAAAAACTATCCTCCAAATCACTCAACTTCTGAAATGAATCAACATGATACTTTAAATTCATAAGAAATGAGAAAGAAACTCACAAGTTGGGAAATCGGATTCGTCGATGATCCCCTCAAGCGTGTCGTAAACCAACTTACTATCCACTAGAAACTGTAAGTATCCTTCCACCGTCGGCTCCCATTTAGCCACCGGACCTTCCTCCGGAGATTTATTAGATTCTTTTTCTCCTTCCCTTGCCTGATCTTTTGTGTGCAATCTCATCGCCACAAACCTCATCTCTTCCACAAAACCCTTTGATTCTCCAGGATACTTCTTTTGTTTCTTCTCCGTTATAGCCATTGCAGTCACCACGGAAGCTTGACCACCGTTTGCTTTTACAGCAAGATAGCCACGTGGAGCGGTTAGGGTTCCGGCATAACTAATCCTCGCGGTCGTTCTCAGACTTAGATAGCTCTCACAATAAAGTCTTGTGCTCGATGGAAAGTGGCAAGAGGAGTTAAGTCGTGTTGTAGCCATGAATCTGCAACATAGACACACACGAATTGAGGATTTCGTCAAGCCATAGGATATAGCATCAAGCTTACGAAAAGAAAGAAAAATGAACAATTGACGGATTCGAACACCAAAAAATGTAAATTTTCAAATCAAAGCTAAGAAACAAACATTTTTAATAATGTAAAAAACAAATTACAACCATACCTCGAAATTTTGCAGATTGAATGAGAAAGATGATGGGAGATGAAGGGTTTCTCTGGGGTTGGGGATTTTTCTTAAACAATTCGTTTTGTAACAATTTAGTCAATTACCAACATCATAAATTGGTATTTTTTCCTTTTCTGTTTTTTTTTTTTTTTTTTCTAAAACAGTCAGATAATTTTTTTGGGAAAAATCGAAAGTCTAGATTTGTTCTGTTTTCTTAGTTGTGTGATTGACCTTTTAGGTCAACCATTACAATGAAGTAGTATCTCTACTTACTCTGATTAGAAGTTTGTTTATCATAAGGAACTAACAAATACTAAAGAAAAAAAATAAGTTTAATATATAGGGGGTGTTATTGGTTTATTAATTTGTAAATCCATATAGGATTTGAAGATCTCTATTAATTATGAAATCAAAATATATGGATTTTGAAATAACATGTGTTTACCCATGGATTTGAATCCTTCTATTTTTCTCTTTCAATTCCATTCAAATCCATTTAAAACATAATTTGGATTCTCAAATCCAAAAACAAATGACTAAACGAATAACATAGGAATTTAACTAGTATTTATAAATCATAGAACCAATAACACATGATTTTAATTAGGATTTTAAAATCAATGATTGAATAACAAATGATTTTTGTTTGGATTTCTAATTCCTTATAAATCCATGAACCAATAACCCCTCCATAATTTACTACAAACATTTTTTTTTCTATGAACATTAGAAAAACATCATGTTCCAAATAAAAATCTGTATCCATGTTTTTCTCTATTTATTCTATATGTCACTATCTTTTCTTTATCTCTGTTAGCCTCTCTCTCTATTGAAGAAGGCATTAGGAGTCCTAAGAAACTAGAATGTTGTGGCGCTCACACACTTTAGCTCCATTTTCACCCCCCACCACTTCTCCGCTTGTTCTTCGGTAAATTGTTTCCGGCTGAGAAAAGAAAACAAAGTCTTAGCGAGCTTGAACGAGATGTAACATGATATGTCATTGTGGAAGTCGAAACTAACACAATCGAGATTTGTCTAGGGTTTTATTTTAGGGATACGATATGTAAGAATTCTCAAAGAACAACAGAAAGAGCGATAACCAAAGATGGTGTTCTTGATATTATTGATGAAAAGTATAGCTTTGATCGTACAAAGAGTTAGATCGTAAAAAAAAAAGTGTTTGTTTTCTTTCGAGAGTCAGAGCTTTTGTAGTCTGAAGTCTAGAGCGTTTTTGCTTGTGTCCTCTGTGAGAGTCTCGATTTGCTTTATATAGGGGTGGTAAACCGGCTCTCCAGCGATATTCTCGGAAGATTTCCATTTATCTTGAAGTCGGCCTAGAATATCGCGGATTAGGATACTTTCTTTATTCTACGGAGTTTTTCGGAAGATTTCTTGATTCGAGTCGATCCTTCGAGATCCTTTCTTATCATTTTCGAGTATTTTGGAAATGATTCTTCTTTCTCGGAAATGCTGTTATGATCCTTCGAGAAGGCATTTATTCACTAAGTCTTTATTCGGGGAATCTTCAACATTTCTCCTCGGGTATCTTCGAGGCCCCGCCTCGGGTAACTTGATGTATTTGGCTCGGGTGGCTTAGAGGCTGCCTCGGGAAGATTTCCCCTCGGACGCACTCGGCTCGGGTGGCTGGTGACTTCAACTCAGGTGGACCCGAGACCCCTTGCCTCGGGTAGCTTCGTAAACACCACGGAAGGTTTGAAGAGTCAGCTCGGGTGTCTTGGAGGCTCGGCTCAGGGTAATTAGTGCATTCGGCTCGGGACAGGTTGATGGTGTGACGTTCAACCTGAGCCGAGGCACCGAAAGGGTACCCGAGCCGACTGGTAGGATATCCGAACCGACTGGCAGGGTACCCGAACTGACTGGCCGAGTACCCGAGCTGTCGGTCAGGGTACCCGAGCTGTTGGACAGGATACCCGAGCTGTTGGACAGAATACCCGAGCTGTCGGACAGGATTCCCGAGCCATCGGGCAGGGTGCCCGAGCTGTCGGACAAAGTACCCCGAGCAGGTTGGCAAGGTACCCCAAACTGTGTGGTTCGGATCGGACTCAAAGGCTGGGTGAAAACCCGACCCCAACAGTTAGCCCCCCAGCTCGCTAACTTGAGGTGCAAGTGTGGCGAGCTTCACGATTGTAAGTCCGAGCAGTTTAAACTTTGTTCCGAGCTATCCTTGTATGCCGAGGCGATTTGTGTTTCAATGACGGTTCATATTCTCTTGACGCTTCATCTTCTTCTGGGGTGTCACGGTTGGGTTTCCTTCTCGAGAAGTGGAAAGGTCTCTTGCTGATTCGCGTGGTTTGGGCGGACGCGAAGTATTTTGTTTGGTGAACGCGTACCCGACGCGCCTTGAATTTCTATAAATACCAAGCCTCCAACTCGTTTTCTCATTTTGCAATCTGCAAAGGAAAACTCTTTAAGGTTCGCTTCTCTTCTCTCTGATCTTGATTTTCTGTCTTTTCCTTTGCTCCGTTATATTTTCCGTCGTATCGCCGCCGTGGTTAGATCATAAGTTTGATTTTTCCGACCTGGAAAATCTTGTTTCTCCGATTCTTCCCAATCCGTCCCGAGGCCAATGTCGCTCTCAGATTCTAGTGGTTCATCCCGAAGTGATAGTCTTCCTCCGATTCACAAGAGAAGAATGGTGTGGAGTAGTTCTGAGCCCGAGGCGGATGCGTCAAGCCGTGGGGACAGCGATGCTGAGTCGTCGTCCAATAATCAGGAGGACCCGAGCCGATTTGTGGCTCGGGAGGATACCATCGCGGATATGGCCCGCAAACTGGATCTGCCCGAAGAGCCCGAGGAGACTCTTCGAAGGAAAGGTAAGCGCCCTCCCGTTATAGATGAGGCTGGGGGTTCTTGTTGGCAGGATGTGCCCGAGGTGCCAGTTATACCCACACTGAAGGACAAGGAGGTCTTCTACGATCCCGAGGAGGCAGCCAGGTTGCTTCAGCTGGCGGTACAGGGCGCGAAGATGGCTCAAAAGAAGAATAGACGAGCCAAAAAGGTGAATAGACCCGACCCTCCGGGTTCTACTTTGTCCACCGAGGATTCACTACGGGACTTGAGGGCTCGGTTCGGTTTTGGCGAGGCGGTCACTCTGCGGCTTCCGACCCCGAGTGAGAGAGCTGACAATCCTCCCGAGGGGTTTTTCACGTTGTATGAGGGGTTCTTCTACTTCTGCTTCCTCTGGTTTCCGATCCCGAGGCCGATTATAGAGTACCTTTGGTCATACAAACTTGCCTTAGCTCAGATCACGATCCGAGGTCTACAACACCTCATTGGGACTCTAGTGCGTGGTATCGAGTCGGACAATAACATCACGCTCGTGCACTTAAGGAATCTCCTCGAAATCCGACGTATCCCGGGCCTGATGGAGAGATACTACATTTCTCCAGTTAAAAACATCAGGGTTATCGGCGGGTTCCCGAGCAAAGACGAGAAGTATACCGATCATTTCTTCTTTGTCGCCCTTGACGAAGATTGTGTTCCCGAGGGCTGCCTTGGGAAAGTTGTTTGTAAATGGGGCAAAATTGGTATTTAATTTCAAAGTTTGTGCTTGCCTTGCCAACTGTTGTGATTTAGCTTTTGTCTAACGCTTCATTGCTCCTTTTGCAGACCGAGCCACATCTTTCCTTGAGAACTTTCCCGAGGATTTCCTTGATACGCACGAAGAATTAGCTGCCAGGAGGTATCATTGGCTTAACCACTTCACGCGCGAGAGAGTTGATAGGGTTCTAAAGTTGCACCACGGTGTACCCTATCCTTCTTCTTCAACCTCTTCGGACAGTCGGGAAAACTTCTTTGTGGAGATGCACGGCGCTGCGCAATCCCTCCGTGAGAAGAAGGCTGCGGAAAGGAAAGCGGCCGAGTAGAAAAAAGCTTTGGCTGCCGTTTTTGGGAGCCCCTCTCCTCCCGAGGCTGCTAGAGAGACCGAGGCAACAACTACTGCTGATCCTGTCGTTGACGCGGCGGGTCCCGAGGAGACTTTAATCGCCCCGATTGAGACAACGGGGAATTCTACCAAGGTGGCAGATGCCACTGCGGTCATGGCCCTTCCTGTTACTGGAGAGGACAAGGCGAGAGGGAAAAGACAATTCAAAGCTAAATGTAGAAATCAAAATAAATATTCTAAAAAAAAAAAAAAAATTATAAATAAAATAAAAATTTATAAGCATGTTGATATATAATTTTCAATAATTGAATGATGAAAATAAAAATTTTTAAAATAATCTAAAATTACCACAATTATAATTGACAAAAAAAATACAAATATAAGTAAAACATATTACAAAAAAAAAAGAAAAAAAAACATATATTAATCTCACATATGCCTAATTGAAAAGGAAACTCATATATATAAACCAAGCTTTCTAGTAATTTTAATAATTCTTTTTCATTTTACGATTAGTAATTTACTATATTATTTTTATTTACCTTTTCAAAATAAAGTAATTGTAATACTTTTAGTTTTAGATTTCTTATATAATAAAATTTTCATCATTCTTTTTCATTTTACGATTAGTAATTTACCATATTATTTAATTTACTGTATAATTTTCTTCTTTTCTATATTTTATATACTTTTTTATTAAAAAAAAATTAGAATTTGTATTTATTATATAATTTTTCTTTTTACACGTGTCAAAATCCGTTCAATATATATGACACCTGTCATGATCCTATGTGTTACTAACTTTAAAAATCAAGCTTTATATAATAAGATCCTTGTAGATAATGCCCAAATTTATCCCGTTAACAAAACATTTAGAATCCATCCACAAAATAAAGAGCCTCTCATTTAAAAAGAAATTTTAAAATTACTAGGTGGATTAATTCAGACAACATATAGCACTCCGGTTTCAAAAATATTGTGGTGCATGCAGAGGTTTAAAAAAATTCATTTGGTCATCTATGTCACCAAAGTGCAGTTCTCTTTTCGGTTCAACGTCCTGAGAAAACTAGTTAAACGTGCTTAGACTTGAGCAATTTCAGGATGAGTGACCTTTCAGGAGTAATTATCGGAACCGTGTGAGTGAGGACAAAACACGGAGAAAAATTATGTGGTGATTTTTATGGTGGGTAAACAAGTTTTTAAAACCTCCCAGACGTAGAGGACCGACCGTCAATCAGGAGGCCCACATGTCCAAAGGAGGAGTGGGTACACCGCAGGACGATTTATTTTCTGAAAATAGAGAATTTTAAAATTTAATGATTGTGTATTATCTATTTATCTATAAAAATTTGCAAATTGGTATCATTTTATAAGATATTTATATTTTACAGTTTATTATTGTTATTAAGTAACGGTATACCACGGAACATTTTTGGTTTTATCAAACTTATCTAAATCTGGCTGATTTGATATGTCTAATATTGGTGGTGTTAAAAAATAATAAATTCAGGATTTAACCCGTATTGAAGCGGCGGGTTAATAATATTAGTAATATTTTAAATTTTATTAATGTTGATCTCGCCATATAAACTCGTCCCGCAATATAATATGTCTCGTGTTATTTTTTTTTTTTTATTTGTTCAAATGTTTATGATATTATATAAAAAAATTTGATTTTAGATATATCAATTATAATTAAAAAAAAATTTTAAATTTTAAAATTTAATATTTTCGGTAAAATTAAACAGTTAAACTAAAGACCGAATTAAACTGTATATAAAACTTTAAAAATTTGGATGCTTGTTAAGCTAAGTTTCATGTTCATTCGGATTTGGATTTATTTTGATCTTATTTATAATATGATTATGAATCATTGTCTAAACATTTTAGCCGATGTGGGATATTGAACACACACATTTTTTATCAATTAGGTAATATATGTCCGTTTTTAAAATTTTGAGTCACAATATATGCAGAAAAAAATGAAATTTTTCTTAACTTTATATATTATATGATAATTCAATACAGTTAAAAAAAATAAAACAAACATAATAGAAAATTTATAATTTTAAATCTTAATCAAATTTTCTAAATATCTATATTGTTAAATATGGAATAGCCGGTGTAAGAGTTTGGTTTCTTATAACCCGATACAATGAAAAATATGGAATATCCGGTGTAAGAGTTTGAAGTAAAATTTTAGTACCGGGTCGGGTACCAAAAATTTCGGATATTTTCTAATCTATTCGGTATAAAATGTATTTCAAAAATACTAATATAGATATTTTTCTGGTTTTCTTTTTAAATAACTGCTTAAAATAGAATGTAAGGGTACATTAGTCGTAAGTGACAATTTTATATAAAAGATGTATATGGATAAACTTTTTAGTAGACATCCTATATTTATAATTTTCCCAAAATTAAATTTATTGGTAGTTTTATATTTTAAAATGATGAAAATGCAACATTACATGTCTTTTATATACTGTATAGTAAACACAAAGTGATTCATAACGGATGAGCAAGTAGAGAAAGCTTAGACCTAGATGTTAGTTTTCTCGGTAAATTTTGGCTTATGAAACAACTTTTTTTTTCTTTCCCATACTCTATGTGTTTCACATTAAAAGTTTAGGTTTACCAAATCCTATTCTCAAATTTTGTTTGATATTTACTATTACTACTTACTATTGTTAGTTTCGATGCTGAAATTTTACTGATGTGTATATCTTCACTCATATATTTTGGAAATACAACGCCTGAAGAAAACACATGAAGTGTGTGAGATGGAAGAGGTCGAGTCTGTTCTCAAACTTTACGTTTAGGAAACTACTGTAGAGGAAATTTTGCTGCCTTCTCAAAAGTGAATCTTTAACTGTGAGCAAATGCTGACACACCATCAGACAAAGTTATTGATTACATCAAGAGAAAATACAAAAAGTTACATGGTTGTTTAGATTGACACTAGTTAACTCGATGTTGATTTGATGAATTAAACTTGAGCAATTTGCTAATCAGAACTTTCAAAGTATAAATACTTTCAACGTTCAAAGCATGTATTAAATCTGGGGTTTAATTTTAAATTTTGAACCTATCGAATAAAACTTTAGTTTTCGAAATACCGATGTTTGGTTTGTCGAGAAAAGTTTTTTAGAACATCAAACTTGAATTACAAAAGGAAGAAAAAAAAATCAAATATTTTACTTGAATATAAGATTAAAATATATTTTATCTTTATGGATACTTCAATCTTATTATTTATCTTCGGAAAGTTGTAAAACTAGCAGGTATAACATGAAATTAAAAAAATACATATTTATATTTGATGAATAATTTATCTGCAATTGGGACATATCTTCTATAAGTAGAGATGTGTATGTGTGTGTCTCTATTATCACTTGGATCAGATTCTTCTTCCTCTCTCTAAACAACAACAACAAAAAAGTTTTTTACGTTTTATCTTCACATCTTTCACATTTTCCTCTGTTTTTTCTACAAACAAAAACTCAAACTCTAAACAAAATGACTCGCTCCTCTAGACTACTTGGTGCGGCGGCGCCACCGCCGGAAGAAATCCTTGCTACCGAAACCGACATGGTTGTCATCCTCTCAGCTCTTCTCTGCGCGCTCATATCTGTAGCAGGTTTAGCCGCCGTAGCTCGCTGCGCTTGGTTCCGCCGTCTCCTTGGCGTTAATTCTATCACCACCGGAGAATCTCCTCCACCGAACAAAGGCCTCAAGAAAAATGCACTTCAAGCTCTCACTAAATCCACTTACACCGCCTCTGCCTCCACCACTACAGACGATTTACCGTGCTCTTCCGGCGACAACGGTGATTCCTCCACCGAGTGTGCAATCTGCTTGACGGAATTTTCTGACGGCGAAGAAATCAGAATCCTACCCCGCTGTAGCCACGTTTTCCACGTAGCGTGTATTGACAAATGGTTGACTTCAAGGTCATCATGTCCTTCTTGTCGTCGGATTTTGGTTCCGGTGAAGTGTAATAGGTGTGGCCGCAATGCTTCCACGGCGGAGACTTAGATCAAAGATCAACTTCCTCATCATAACCAACATCCTTCACAGTTCACTTCCGCGATTATTCCTGCTTTTCTTCCTTGAAAAGTTCACTTTCTTTTACTTTTTAATTTGCAGAGATATATCCGTATGATTAAAATAAAGTATTAATTATTTAATTAGGAATTAGTGATCTTTAGTTACTACGATCTTTCGATCTTTCTCCTCTGTAAGACTGTAATCCAAGATAAATTCTTTAACAAAAAAAGTAATCCAAGTGAAATTTCGAAGTTAACCTTTTTTTTTCTTTGCCCAAGTAGTTCATAATTCGATATGATTGTAGTATTGTAATATTTAACTGGGACAATAAGATTGTTATATGCAAATTAAACAAAACAAATAATACAATCATGATAAATGTTGGTGCGTATTTAAAGTCTCTTATTTTCAGTCATCATAACTCATAAGTCAAAAGAGCATGTATATCTCCTTTACCCGCAAATAAGGATGACTCAGTCTCATTTTCATCCAACAACACCCGAATGATAATGTGCATGATTTATGCGTAGCTGCATGTATTTGTCTGAAAGTAATTGTGATAGTGATCTACATATGAAAAAACTTGCGAGGATGATATTTGCATAAGTAAGCTTATACACAGACCACAGTGTCATGATAACAAATTAGGTTTATACTCTGAACAAATTATATGCAAAACACATGTCATATAGATCTATAGTATTAAAATCATCTACGAAAACGAAATAAATTAATCGATCATTAAAAATTAACAAGATGATAAAAATGAACTATGTTAGGTCTATTATCATTATATTAATTCAATTTACTTTCTTACATTTAGTTGAAATTTTTTATTTTTTATTTTTACTTTTATGGTTTCACCTAGTCATTAGCGGCGGATTATAAGAAATTTTCGGTTATTTGTGATGCAAGTTGGCGACGATAAACGTATGAAACAAACATTTAGTGGATTAATAAAATAAAAAGTACTCCATGTTAAACAAACGTAATTTCGACGATAGTTAATCTTGTTAGGTCCCTTTTCACCATTATAGTAATTCCATTATTTTGGCTTAGATTTATACTTAATAGATTCAAATAGTTATTGGTACTATCTTATAGAATTTTTCTAAAATAGATACATACTTGTGTCATACTCTAGCCACTTTCCAACTTATATATACACAAATTGAAACAAATTCATTCATTTTGTGTGTAAAAAAATTATTTTCTGATTTAGAGTTTTAGACCATCGAATGCTACTACTATCGTTATTGTTTTTCTTTCTTTTTTTGTAATATTGAAAACAAATTAAGAAAAAAAAAATAAGAGAAAAAATACCACAGTTTCCTACATTCTTTTCCTTTTTTTTTCTTTTTTTTTTGTGAAAAGTTTCCTACATTCTTTTCTAAATACCATTTTCTTCCCCTTTTCTAAATTATTAGTCCACGAGAAGTTTGGTAGTTTTTTAAGGGGAATGCTGGAAGAAGATGTTTACTTTGGACCGTGACAATTTGAGGCTGGGTTTACGAGTTTGGCTCACACTCGGGAGGATATACAGTTCACGGTTGCTGCAGCCAGGAGGGTCTTTGGTAGGATCTAGACTGTTCTAGAACTCCAACCCTGTGAGTCTGTTCACAATGTTCTGTCTGATGGGGACGTTGTGGGTACCTACTACTACGGTTTGATGATCGATGATATTATTCTTGTGTCCAGACCTTTTTTGTCATTTTGATAAAGAATGTTTGTAGTTTTAAATTGGGTTTGGACTTTGGATCAAGTCAAAAATTTATAAGTAATGATGAAAAAAACTATTGAAAAAAGCCCATAGGTGTATTTCAAATCATAAAATACAAAATAAAAACAAACAGAATATTTTAGATCCCATGTTTACACAAATGGAGATGAGATTTGTTTTATGTTAAACTAAATACTAGTGTTCTCTCATTTGCATGGGGTCTTCTCTTTTCGACACGTGCCCTCTGCCACTACACACACCCGTGACTCACTCTACTCTTCTTCTATTTCTATTTTTGCTTTTATAGGTTTCATTCATTTCTATGTTATTCATCTATAACGTTAGTATATATAGAAAACAAACAAATTAAGTAACTAAAGTTACAATCTCATTAACTAGTGCTCTATCTCTCTCTCCCTCTTCTTGCATAGTATTAATTTTTTTTTAACTTAACTATCCCCACTAGCCACTAAACCTTCCTCCGTGAATTTATGATACTTAAATTTTATAAATCGTGAGAGGCTGTCAATTCTGAACTGGGTAATGAAAACAATAATAATTAAGATGTGGGGACGATTACTACATGATGGATACTGAGATGATAAGTTTTACTCTTCACTAATTTAGTGTGCTATAAAATCGAAAGATAATCAGTGGAAAGCGTTTTTGGTTCGATATTAATTAACAATTAGACCGAGTCTGTCCCCCATTAAAGTTTCACACCAAATCTCAAGTTCAATATCTACAGAATGTAAATAACTATTACGCCGTGGTAGAGAAGTCAATCTAAAAAAAAAAAAAAGGAAAAAGATACGACAATATACTAATAGCTTTTTGGCAGGACAAATGTGATCCAATTCCAAACCAAGGAATACTACAAAATGGTAGATGGGGACATACAGAGAGAGAGGGACCTTTGTTCTCATTTGCTTGGTCTATCTACTAGTTAACGGACACTGAATATGTTATTACAGACCAATGCGATTGTCACTGTCACTATATATTCGCCAATGTCTGCATAATGGACACTGAATAATCAATCCATTGTCCAATATCAGTGATTTATAATTATCAATCCGTCGTTATATATGTTGCAACGGATATTATTATTACAAACGTTACTCTCTTTTTTTCTTTTTCTTTTTTTTTTTAATTAAGTCGGTAACAAAAATTTATTCCCCGAAAATAATTGTTACATCAAACTAAATAGTTTATTAGTGATATAATGCCAAAAACTATCATTTTTTTTTAATCTTTTTGACTAATTCAAATATGATTATTTTTTTAAAAATAATTTAACCCAAATATTTGTACTCTTTTTGGTGAAAGAAATCTTCAACATTGACAAAATTATTGACTAAGATATTACCGCCTTATTCTGTGACTTTAGTTATTTATGGAAATATACTCCCACAATAACTATTTTCATTGTAATCATCATTTTATTGACTCAATTTTTAATATTTTTCAAGAAAGGTTACCATGCATAAGAAAAAAGATTTCGAAAATAACTTAAATTTTAATACTTTTGATAAAGAACTGTCGCTAATTGATTTTTTCAATACTAGGACTCAGGACCCCCGCGATGTCGCGGGATAATATATTTTAAAAATTATTTAAAAAATATCAAACGAAAAAATCATAATGAATTGTAATAATTTTGAATTTTTTTAATAACAAATCAATATATATTTTACAAAAATTATGATAAAGAAAACCCTCACAAGAATTTATTAAGTATATTAATATTAGAAAAACAATAATTTGTAACTAAAAAACTATTCCCAAGTGCAAAAGGCATAAACTAATAAAACAAATATTACAATAGTTTGATAAATAAGCCTAAACGTTCAACATCAAATAAACCAAATGCTATTGTGTTAAATTAAACGGTAACAACAATTCATTTAAATATATTTTAGTATTTAAATATTTTTTTAAAATATGACGAACTTATCCGAGAAACGCAACCGTAGATATCAAATATTCCAAAAACTGCAACGGTTCGTCAATTATACCAAATGTTGCAATAGTTCATCAAATATACTAAAGATAACAATGGTTCGTAATACAAAACCAAAAGTTGCAATAATTCGTCAAATAATCCAAATGTTGAAACAGTTCAATTAAATAGTTACAATCTCATTTAAATACATTTTAGTAATTAAAAATTAAGAATTAAAATAATAATTTATGAAAAGTTACACCGAGAGACGCGGCGGTAGATAATTAAATGTTATAGCTATTTATAAAATAAACCAAAAATTGCAATTGTTCGTAAAATAAACTAAATATTGCAATGATTCCAATAAGCGGTTTCAACTGTTTATGAAGAGTTACAGTAAAAAACGCAACCGTAGAAAATATTCCGAATGCAATTTATAAAAAAAATATAACTGTAAAATATATATTTTAATTAATAAAAATATTAACGAAAAGTTGCGATAAAAAGACGCAACCGTTCAGATGTGCAAATGGTATTTATTAGATTGCTATTATATATAGATTATGTATACAGTATTACTTTGTTTAAACCCAAACTCCCTCTAAAATAACACAAAATCACACGAATTTCGTAGACTACTACTATATATTACCTAATAAGATCAAACATCTCATTATACTACTATATCTTAAGTTGCCATATATATTTCTTGACAACTAGTATTATAGTTCCCATATAGGCATACAATATTAATAGTATTCATGGTATTGTTGACAATAATAATACTATTATTAACATTTTTTTTGAATCTTTTTGACTAATTCAAATATGATTATTGTTTATAAAAATCATTTTACCCAAATATTTGCACTCTTTTTGGTGAACCATTGACAAAATTATTGACTAAGAGATTACCGTCTTATTCTGTGACTTCAGTTATTTATGGAAATATACTCCCACAATAACTATTTTATTGTAATCATCATTTTAATTGACTCAATTTTTAATACTTTTTCAAGAAAGGTTACCATAAGAAAAAAGATTTTGAAAATAACTTAAGTTTTAATACTTTTGATTTATAACTGTCGCTAATTGATTTTTTCAATGTTATGTATACAGTATTACTTTGTTTAAACTCAAACTCCCTCTAAAATAACACAAAATCACACGAATTTCGTAGACTACTATATATTAGTACCTAATAAAATCAAACATCTCATTATACTACTATATCTTAAGTTCCCATATATATTTCATGACAACTAGTATTATAGTTCCCATATAGGCATACAATATTAATAGTATCCCTTATATATTAATAGAGAAGCACTTTATAAAATAAACCTTATCTTGACGTGTTATTAACTAAACTGCTATGCTGACATGTCGTTCTCAGAGTGAATTTTCACCCATTTAAATTATTACCCAAATTTTACTAGACTATTTACATATTTTGCCATTAGTCTTAATACATACATATATCATACAAATAACAAAAAAACGAAATTATAATTAAAAAGCAAATAATTAGGCAACTGATATCATATTTATATTTAACAACAAATCACGGGATCTTTGTTTATTTATATTAATAATCTATTTTCAATAATTAAAAAGGAAAAAAATTGTGTTTATCTTATATTAATAAATTTTTATATTTATATTTTTCTTTATATACATTTATATAAATCTTCTCTAGCCGATGGGTAAAAAATCTTTTTATTTATATATATGCTTATATTTAAATGATAAAAGATATACATTTTGTTCAAGAATCTCGAATTCAAAACTACAAAATCTCTAAATCTTTCATAAAATTTTATATCTATTGTACTTAAATAAATAAGATAATCTCTTTTCTATACATGTTACGGATACTTAAAATCCGATTTTTTTGGAGTGGTTCTAACTTTTCGAAGAAAAATATTATAACCACATTTATATATAAACCAAAATCTGGCCACATTATAACCTCTTTTTTTGTCAAACGGTCACATTATAACCATTTCGTAAATAATCCATTCATAATATAAGAATCTTATATTTGGAACACTACAAAATCTTAACTCGGAAATTATCAAATATCATCTTTGCTAAATTTTTGGATTTCTTATACTTAAATAATAATAAAAAAATTATTTTTATACTACAAAATCTCGAAATCTTTAAAACATACGGAAAGACATATTGCCATAAATGGTAACATTTCGTCAATAATTTCTTTATCACGTTGAAGCTTTATTCAAGGTTCAAATATTCCACGGGTAAAACGTATTCTTATATAAATAGTCCCAAGTTTGAATAAAACAAAAAAAAATTATTACATGTTACGTTTTACACAAACGGATCTTGGATCCCAGATAATAATTTTAATCATAATAATTTTACTTGAATCACTTCATCCCGCACTATGTGCGGGTTGTTATCTAGTTCATGGTATTATTGACTAGTACGTAGTCCCTATCGTTAAGGAAAACATTACCAACTGATATTGATTGCTCACTTAATATTGATTGACTCATTTATGTAAGAGTACGAAGTGACTGAATAAGAGAATGACGTCTTTAAAAATACAAACGCGACAAAATATATGTATATTTTTTTTTTTTACTGTTAAAGAAAATGTTAGAAGAGCGTCGTAAAAAAAAAAAATTCAGCTTGAAAAAGAATTACTAATGTTGTTAATGAGTCACTTATGTTAAGAATCCATTTATGTAATAGTTTACTCTCTATTTTTTTTTTGCTAAGATAGTTTACTCTCTATTTACCTTTAACCCTATAGTCTCTTCATTTTGTGTTACATATATACGTCGAATCTCTCTTCAAAACTATTGGTTGTGAAGGGAAAAAAAAAACGCATGCACTGCCTGACAACTGACGTCTTACCTTGAAACTCTTGCATTATGGTTCTACGTATGGAACTTCAAACAAAAAACCAACAAGAGACATTGAAGCAAGAACCAAAATTGATGGACTTTTTTTAACACCCCATGAAATCGTTCCAAAGAGCTTAAACACTATCATTAAACTATATGCCACAAGATTTTTTTTTTTTTTCTTAAAATATGCCACAAGATTTATTTACCCAATAATCATTTGGTGGGAAAAATTTAACAGCCTGTCTTTAAGAATTTATGATTTGACTTTTGTCCCAATTAGTCATTTGCTTGGGTTGTCTCTTTTAGACACGCGCCCACTGCCACTACACACCAGTGAGTCCGTGACTCACTTTATTCTTCTCCTATTTCTATTTTTGTTTTTAGAGGTTTCATTCATTTCTAATTCTAAGTTTTTATTCGAAAAACGTTGATATATATAGAAAACAATCAAATTAAGTAACTAAAGTTACAATCTCACTAACTAGTGCTCACTTTCTCTTCTTGCATATTTAAAATAATTCAAACTACCCCCACTAGGTCACTAACCTTCCTCCGTGAATTTATGATACTTAAAATTTATAAATCGTGAGCCTGTCAATTCTGAGCTGTGGGCAATGAAAACAATAATAAGATGTGGGGACGATTACTACTTGCAATTAGCCTTTAAACAACAGAGTTTCATTTTTTTCTTGTTTACATTTGTGCCATTTGCTGGATAAAATTATATAGTTTCTTATATGTTAGTTTTCTCGGTAAATTTTGGCTTATGAAACAACCTTTTCTTTTCTTTTCCATACTCTATATATGTGTTTCACATAAAAATTTTAGGTTTACCAAATCCTATTCTCATATTTTGTTTGATATTTACTATTACTTCTTATTATTTTAAGTTTCGATTTTGAAATTTTACTGATTTGTATATCTTCACTCATATATTTTGGAGTTAATTCGATGTCAATTTGATGAATTAAACTTTAGATATATATTTTTTTATCTCTATTTTCAGATTTTTTTTGTAAGAACGTGTTATAATGAAAAATGAAAACTAATAAATAAGCAACCAAAGTAATCGGTTTTTTTTTTGTTTCTCTAATCAGTTTTTTATTTGTCCATTTCAAAAAAAAAACGTAAGTGTCTATATAAAATACTCATTAGATGTTATCTTTCAGTATTAATAATAAATATAAAACAAGTTTCACATTTGAAAACTCCAGTTTTAGAGTTCAAAGTTGGTAGTTTGAGTTTTGTCTATCGAGTTTAACGGTTAATTCTTAATTCGGATACTTTCAGATATTTTTGGGTAGTTTTATTCTAATAGTTTTGGATATTAACCGATCTCCGAAAACCGAATTCGAAATGTAAAACCCTATCCAAACAGAACTCGAAATAAACCAAACCTAACTTGATCTGAAAATTAAGAATATTGAGTAAGACTTATGAGCCTCATACCGAAAACCATACCCGAACTCCAACATGTACCCGGACAGCCAGACCTAGTTCAAACAACAATAGTTGGTCATATATAATGAGATTATACAATACTTTTTTTCTTTCAAGTCAATTATACATTTTTCTTTTAGCCACTTAATACTGGTAGTAATGTTATGTAGACTAGTTGATACAGTCTGTATAGTAGTATAACACGAAACCAAACTGTATTATTTCTATTCTAATTAGGGTACGTAGCCTTAAATTCCACTTATGTTGTTCTTGACTATTCTTTAAGAAGCCACCCACTTTCAAACCAACCAACTCCGACCGCGAGAGAGAGACTGCGAGTTACAGAGGGCAAGATGTCGGCGACACTTACAGGATCGGGAATTGCGCTGGGGGTTTTGAGTTCCTCGAAGATCCCGAAGAGAGTTTCTTCTTCGCCGTCTAACCGGTGCTATATCAACATGTCTGCTTCCGCCGACAAGAAGAAGACAAGTTTCACTCTTCAGAAATCAGAGGAAGCTTTCAATGATGCTAAGGTTAGTGATTGTGTATTTTTGTGAGCCATTTTCCGGTTGATTGATTGTGTATTTCTTTTGATTCTTGTGGTTTTTATTTTCTTTCTGGTTAAATTAGGATGACTTTTCGGTGAGGTAAAAACTCGTCGATTAGAGTCTCGCGTTTTCTTCAGAATGATTCATTCATGTTTCTGAAAATGTAATTCGTTGTTATCTTTACTCCTCACTATTGAAAACCTGGTTTCTCTTCCTGACAGAATCTTATGCCTGGAGGTGTGAATTCCCCTGTCCGGGCCTTCAAATCCGTTGGTGGAACACCAGTTTTTGTTGATTCCGTTAAAGGCTCAAGGTTGTGGGACATTGATGGAAATGAGTACATCGACTACGTTGGATCTTGGGGACCAGCTATAATTGGCCATGCCGATGATGAGGTTCCGTTATTCCTTTCTTTCTTGTAAACCAGAATTTTCTTTACTTGTATTTTAATAAAGAAACGAATCTACTGTAGGTTCTCGCGGCTCTAGCTGACACGATGAAAAAAGGAACAAGCTTTGGTGCTCCTTGTCTCTTAGAGAATGTTCTTGCTGAGATGGTTATATCAGCTGTTCCGAGCATTGAAATGGTTCGTTTTGTCAATTCGGGTACCGAAGCATGTATGGGTGTGCTACGTCTTGCCCGAGCCTTCACTAATAAAGAAAAGTTCATCAAGTTCGAAGGATGTTACCACGGTCACGCTAACGCCTACCTTGTTAAAGCTGGTAGCGGTGTAGCCACTTTAGGGCTACCAAATTCACCAGGTGTACCCAAATCAGCTACTTCAAACACTTTAACAGCTCCATACAATGATATTGAAGCTGTTGTGAAGCTATTTGAGACGCATAAAGGCGAGATTTCTGCGGTTATTCTTGAACCTGTTGTTGGTAACTCTGGATTCATCACTCCTACACCAGAATTCATCAACGATTTACGCCAGCTTACTAAAGACAATGGTTCTCTTCTCATCTTCGATGAAGTCATGACGGGATTTCGTTTAGCTTATGGTGGAGCCCAAGAATACTTCGGAGTCAAGCCCGATTTGACAACTCTGGGAAAAATCATCGGCGGCGGTCTTCCCGTGGGAGCATTCGGTGGAAGACGAGATATTATGGAGATGGTAATATGTACACTTCAATTTTTATTTCCTGTCTTTTTTTTTTCTTTTTTCTTTTCCTGTTGTTAAAAATCTATACCGAACTAGGACCGAGTTTTTTTTCTTTTGGATAATATAATATGTTTGAAAAAATAGGATAATTGTTTTTTAGTATCTAACTAATTAAAAATGTGAATTTCGATTTGCTGAATAGTCCGGTTTGGTTTTTATGTCCATCTCGATCCAAAACTTTAAGCATTGTAGTTAATAAAATTTATGTTCTTATTTTTTCTTGTTGCAGGTTGCTCCCGCAGGTCCGATGTACCAAGCCGGGACTCTAAGTGGTAATCCGCTAGCAATGACTGCAGGGATTCTCACTCTGAAGCGGCTAAAGCAGCCAGGAACATACGAGTATCTAGACAAGATCACGAAGGAGCTAACCCGCGGAATCTTAGAAGCTGGAAATAAAAGCGGGCATTCCATGTGTGGCGGTAACATAAGCGGGATGTTCGGTTTCTTTTTCGTGGAGGGACCGGTCTATAATTTCGCAGACGCGAAGAAGAGCGACACCGAGAAGTTTGGTAGGTTTTTCAGGGGAATGCTGGAAGAAGGTGTTTACTTTGGACCGTCTCAATTTGAGGCTGGGTTTACGAGTTTGGCTCACACTCGGGAGGATATAGAGTTTACGGTTGCTGCAGCCAGGAGGGTCCTCGGTAGGATCTAGACTGTTCTAGAACTCCAACCCTGTGAGTCTGTTCACAAGGTTCTGTCTGATGGGGACGTTGTGGGTACCTACTACTACGGTTTGATGATCGATGATATTATTCTTGTGTCCAGACCTTTTTTGTCATTTTGATAAAGAATGTTTGTAATTTTAAATTGGTGTTGGACTTTGGATCAAGTCAAAAATTTATAAGTAATGATGAAAAAAACTATTGAAAAAAGCCCATAGGTGTATTTCAAATCATAACATACAAAATAAAAACAAACAGAATATTTTAGATCCCATGTTTACACAAATGGAGATGGGATTTGTTTTATGTTAAACTAACTACTATAAATTTATATATATATTTTTTTAAAAAGATCATATATATATATATATATGAATGGTTGGATTCATCTGATTATGATGCGGCTACCAGGTGCTGTTAATTGGGAAGATAATTCTAATGATGATGCATGTCGTTCATGAAAAAGACCAATGATGGATGGATCAAATACAAGTAATATATACATGATAGTTCAATAGTAAGCATTTGGAAATATTTATCATCCAAAACATGTCTTCGGAATATGAAAACAATGGTAGCAAAATCAATATAAATAAAACAGATCTGACAATATAATAGCTTTTTGGAAGGAGAAATTCACTGTTCAATTTGATAATGAAATGTAACAGATTAAATTCTTAAGGATGAAGGATATAAAATCATAAGATCAAAGCTATGAACAAGTAGATGGGGACATACAGAGAGGGTCAGAGGGACATGGGGTCTTCTCTTTTCGACACGTGCCCTCTGCCACTACACACACCCGTGACTCACTCTACTCTTCTTCTATTTCTATTTTTGCTTTTATAGGTTTCATTCATTTCTATGTTATTCATCTATAACGTTAGTATATATAGAAAACAAACAAATTAAGTAACTAAAGTTACAATCTCATTAACTAGTGCTCTATCTCTCTCTCCCTCTTCTTGCATAGTATTAATTTTTTTTAACTTAACTATCCCCACTAGCCACTAAACCTTCCTCCGTGAATTTATGATACTTAAATTTTATAAATCGTGAGAGGCTGTCAATTCTGAACTGGGTAATGAAAACAATAATAATTAAGATGTGGGGACGATTACTACATGATGGATACTGAGATGATAAGTTTTACTCTTCACTAATTTAGTGTGCTATAAAATCGAAAGATAATCAGTGGAAAGCGTTTTTGGTTCGATATTAATTAACAATTAGACCGAGTCTGTCCCCCATTAAAGTTTCACACCAAATCTCAAGTTCAATATCTACAGAATGTAAATAACTATTACGCCGTGGTAGAGAAGTCAATCTAAAAAAAAAAAAAAGGAAAAAGATACGACAATATACTAATAGCTTTTTGGCAGGACAAATGTGATCCAATTCCAAACCAAGGAATACTACAAAATGGTAGATGGGGACATACAGAGAGAGAGGGACCTTTGTTCTCATTTGCTTGGTCTATCTACTAGTTAACGGACACTGAATATGTTATTACAGACCAATGCGATTGTCACTGTCACTATATATTCGCCAATGTCTGCATAATGGACACTGAATAATCAATCCATTGTCCAATATCAGTGATTTATAATTATCAATCCGTCGTTATATATGTTGCAACGGATATTATTATTACAAACGTTACTCTCTTTTTTTCTTTTTCTTTTTTTTTTTAATTAAGTCGGTAACAAAAATTTATTCCCCGAAAATAATTGTTACATCAAACTAAATAGTTTATTAGTGATATAATGCCAAAAACTATCATTTTTTTTTTAATCTTTTTGACTAATTCAAATATGATTATTTTTTAAAAAATAATTTAACCCAAATATTTGTACTCTTTTTGGTGAAAGAAATCTTCATCATTGACAAAATTATTGACTAAGATATTACCGTCTTATTCTGTGACTTTAGATATTTATGGAAATATACTCCCACAATAACTATTTTCATTGTAATCATCATTTTATTGACTCAATTTTTAATATTTTTTCAAGAAAAGTTACCATGCATAAGAAAAAAGATTTCGAAAATAACTTAAGTTTTAATACTTTTGACAAAGAACTGTCGCTAATTGATTATTTCAATATTCAGTATAGAGTATTACTTTGTTTAAACCCAAACTCTCTCTAAAATAACACAAAATCACACGAATTTCGTAGACTACTATATTTTACCTAATAAGATCAAACATATCATTATACTACTATATCTTAAGTTCCCATATATATTTCTTGACAACTAGTATTATAGTTCCCATATAGGCATACAATATTAATAGTATTCATGGTATTATTGACTAAGTAGTCCGTATCGTTAAGGAAAACATTACCAACTGATATTGATTGCTCACCTAATATTGATTGACTCATTTATGTAAGAGTTTTACTCTCTTAATTTACCGCTATATATAGTAATTGTTGCTAATTTATTTTTCCAATACTATTTTTACTCAATTCCCATTTCATTATTTTGACAACTGTTAAGTTCCCATATAGGCATACAATATTAATAGTATTCATGGTATTATTGACTAGCTAGTCCGCCCCGTTAAAGAAAACATTAATAAGTTCATAATCTCGGAATTGAGTAAAAACTAATTAAACAAACAAAACCAAAGAGAAAACCAAACAGATCCTATGATTATCATAATTTACCGCTACATAAAATAAAACAAGACAATTTCATGATATGAAGACGAGAAAGATAGGCTTTCACGTTTAAGTCATAGTCTGGGGCTTATAAGAGTATATTGATAGATACATCGCACATGTCGTCGAGTCGACCTCAGACGATTTAAAAGAATGAAAGACCATAAATTGTACTGTGGGGGCTTATATGACTTTATGATAGATAGATAGATACATGTCGTCAACAACATGGGATTTTAACATCAATATATTTTTATGAAATAAATCTTTCATCATTAATAACGTACGAAGTGACTGAATAAGAGAATGACGTCTTTAAAAATACAAACGCGACAAAATATATGTATATTTTTTTTTTATTGTTAAAGAAAATGTTAGAAGAGCGTCGTAAAAAAAAAAAATTCAGCTTGAAAAAGAATTACTAATGTTGTTAATGAGTCACTTATGTTAAGAATCCATTTATGTAATAGTTTACTCTCTATTTTTTTTTTGCTAAGATAGTTTACTCTCTATTTACCTTTAACCCTATAGTCTCTTCATTTTGTGTTACATATATACGTCGAATCTCTCTTCAAAACTATTGGTTGTGAAGGGAAAAAAAAAACGCATGCACTGCCTGACAACTGACGTCTTACCTTGAAACTCTTGCATTATGGTTCTACGTATGGAACTTCAAACAAAAAACCAACAAGAGACATTGAAGCAAGAACCAAAATTGATGGACTTTTTTTAACACCCCATGAAATCGTTCCAAAGAGCTTAAACACTATCATTAAACTATATGCCACAAGATTTTTTTTTTTTTCTTAAAATATGCCACAAGATTTATTTACCCAATAATCATTTGGTGGGAAAAATTTAACAGCCTGTCTTTAAGAATTTATGATTTGACTTTTGTCCCAATTAGTCATTTGCTTGGGTTGTCTCTTTTAGACACGCGCCCACTGCCACTACACACCAGTGAGTCCGTGACTCACTTTATTCTTCTCCTATTTCTATTTTTGTTTTTAGAGGTTTCATTCATTTCTAATTCTAAGTTTTTATTCGAAAAACGTTGATATATATAGAAAACAATCAAATTAAGTAACTAAAGTTACAATCTCACTAACTAGTGCTCACTTTCTCTTCTTGCATATTTAAAATAATTCAAACTACCCCCACTAGGTCACTAACCTTCCTCCGTGAATTTATGATACTTAAAATTTATAAATCGTGAGCCTGTCAATTCTGAGCTGTGGGCAATGAAAACAATAATAAGATGTGGGGACGATTACTACTTGCAATTAGCCTTTAAACAACAGAGTTTCATTTTTTTCTTGTTTACATTTGTGCCATTTGCTGGATAAAATTATATAGTTTCTTATATGTTAGTTTTCTCGGTAAATTTTGGCTTATGAAACAACCTTTTCTTTTCTTTTCCATACTCTATATATGTGTTTCACAGAAAAATTTTAGGTTTACCAAATCCTATTCTCATATTTTGTTTGATATTTACTATTACTTCTTATTATTTTAAGTTTCGATTTTGAAATTTTACTGATTTGTATATCTTCACTCATATATTTTGGAGTTTCGTAGTTAACTCGATGTCGATTTGATGAATTAAACTTGAGATATATCTTTTTCTATCTCTATTTTCAGATTTTTTTTGTAAGAACGTGTTATAATAAAAACTAATAAATAATCAACCAAAGCAATCGGTTTTTGTGTTTGTCAAATCAGTTTTTTATTTGTCCATTTCAAAAAAAACTTATGTGTATATATAAAAATACTCATTATGTAGATGTTATCTTCTAATACTTTAAAATAACTAATAAAACAAAGTTCACATTTGAAAATCCTGTTTTAGAGTTCAGTTGGTAGTTTGAGTTTTTTTCTACCGAGTTTTTTTTTTCTTTTTGAAAAAATCATTTATATAAAAGTTATTCCCAAAACATAAATATTTGATAGTTTAGGGAAGAGAAAGAATCCGAAAAAACCGATATCTAATTATTTTTTTGGCCGTTTAATACGTGTAGTATTAAATTTGGAATAAAAATACATCATTTAATTTTGGTTGACATTTAAAACTTTCGTTTTTTAAAAATTGGTAAAACTGAATTAACGACCGTTAACTTTGCCAACGGAAGCACTAACTGCGGTTAAAACTTAACCCATAGTGTTTAAGAGTATATATATACAATATCTTTCATAACTTTACGAATATATTGACTTAGTCAGGTGGTTAAATGCGAGTTAATTGTCCAATTGAACAATGCCTTCAACCCAGAAATTCAGAGATCATCTTCTTAAGTAATTTTTCTAATTACTTAAATTAGTTTCACTAATCCAACTTAAAAAAGCCCTTCAACTAACCTTCTTCCGTGCCCAACGACCTAGAAATCATCAAAATCTCCCACCCATCGAAATCTGCAGAGCCTTCTTCATCTTCTTCTACAACAATCGGTCAACACATCAGACTCCAACGACCTAGGAATCATCGAAATCTCCCACCCATTTCCACCGCCGTCGAACCTCTAATCCCCAAACCTAGCCGCGTTTCTAAATCCGCCATGTCTTCCTTTTGCCGGAAACCACAAAGAAGAAACTCCAAACGGCGTCGTTTCATGGGATAGGCTGCACAACCTCCGCATCTCAGCGATCAAAAAAATAGAAGAAAAAAAATTAAAAAAACATCTTAAAAGAGGTAGGGGGATTCGAACCCAGATTCAGTTGGATTATTAACCTACATTTAACCACGAGACTAAGTTAATATATTCATAAAGTTAATATATTCATAAAGTTATGAAAATAAATTGTATATATATACTCTTAAACACCATTGGTTAAATTTTAACCGCAGTTAGTGCTTCCGTTAGCAAAGTTAACAATAATCGTTAAATCATGGGTACGATTTTACCAATTTTTAAAAAACAAAGGTTTTAAAAGAAAACCGAAATTTAATGAGATATTTTTATTCCAAATTTAATACTACACATATTAAATGGTCAAAAAAAATTAGATGACGGTTTTTTCGGGTGTTTTCCTCTTTAAGGAGGGAAATGGACACATAACTTATTATAAATTGTGAGGCTCTGAATTGTGAAGCTTGAACTGTGGGTAATGTTTGTTTAGTTTTATGTTTGTTTCTCCGTTGTTTGGGGCTTAGTTTCTGGGGGTTAAAGTCCCGCCGGCTTAGTTTTCCGGGGGTTAGAGTCCCGCCGGCGATAGTATTCCACCTTGTATCCCAACTTTGTATTTCTCCTTTGGTTCTATTTCATGAATTATTCAGACGAAAAAAAAAAAACTGTGGGTAATGGAAGAAAATACTTTTTTTTGGATAAGTATTGATTAATGCCTCATTTCTGAACGTCACCGGTTTCAAGCATGCGCCTAAACAAAAAAACATTTATATTTTTCTTATAAAATCCAAAATACCCCTAGCCTTCCTCCTACAGTCCTACTTCATAGTTAAATACTTAAATCAGGATTGTTTCATACCGGTTCTTGAGGTTTTGGACTAGTATCACTGAGATTATTAAAAAGGTGAAATCGGTTTTTATGATGTTTCATTTTTAACAGACTTCAAATTTGGGCCGGTAAAGTATGTTTCAAATCGGTTTTGGCAAAATCATCTCCAGATTCGGATTTACCTCGTCAAAACTTTTCAGATGGTTTACGTAAGAGTTTTTTTATAAAAAAAAAACATTGATTTTAGGTAGTGTTTTCACGTCCGACCCGAACCGCCGGGTCCAACCGGTTAATCCGTGACCCTAACACTTTTCCAGTTTGGAGTTAGTGCTAATATCCGGCAATTTCAAAATCCAGAAAACCCACAAAAACCCGCCATTGACCCGTGATCCGATGAACCGGTTGAACCAGTCGGGCCTAGGTTTAACAGAATTCATCTCATTTTGGTCTTTTAGAATAAAATATAAGGTTTTAGGCTTTTAGTTTATTCACTATTCAATTATTTTTTGAACTTTTTCGGTTCTTCGGTTCTTCTCAAACGGTTTTAGTTGGATTTAAAAATTTTAATCACTTTCCTATTATGACTTGATATTTTGTTAAACATGTTATGATTATTTTTATTTTTATATTTATATAACAATATAATCTCTATAAATATTAAATACATTAAATAAATTTGAATCAATTGACCTGTGGTCGAACCCGGTTGATCCACTGACCCGGTGACCCAGAAGGTAGTCTGGTACACCGTCCGGGTCGAATTTAAAAACATTGATTTTAGGTGAATTAATTAATGTTTGGAGACATCTTTAACCATTTCATATTTAACCCTCTTATGATTGGTATACATTGGTAGTATAACATATTAAGAATTTATTTCTAAAAGATTTGACTAATTTACTCATTTTGGATATCTGGGTCTAAAAATAAATTGGTAAAGTCATGTGTTGGAAACATACTTTTCCATATATTTGTTTCCAACACACTAATCCTTTTAAACTTGAACAATCCTCTATATATTAAAAAGATTTTATTATGATCATGTGGCAAGCCTATAATTATTTTCAGGTTTTTATTTTTCATTTAATTAATTCTACTATCACATTCGTCAAATACATTGTTTTATATCCTTATTCCCTTTAACCCAATTATCAAACACATTTTAATTTTTTTCTAATATGTAAAGTTACCAAATTTTGATATATTTAATTCCTCTATTATTGCCAAATTTAATATTTCGAATTTCATCTCCACTAAATGCTTCAAATTTTTTAATGCACATTAAAGTGAAATATAAATCATTCAATAATATAAAACCTAAATTTAGATTATATATCTAATATATATGTTAAAAATTATATTAGAATAAAGTTAAGTCGATAACCCCCAAAATATTAGAAAAGTGATAAAATATTATCTATACTATATATGAGTATATATTTGTTAAAACATTATTATCAATTTACGACGGTCATACAAATTCGACTAGAAAGCTCAATTATTGGATAAATACTACGGTTAATTTCTGTGTTATGTTTCCAAAACATATTATAAAAAAGGGAGACTCACAAAAATGCCCTTTTTTCAATATCCTTTTTCAAAAATACCCTTTTTTAAAAACCTTATAAAAAATGCTCTTAAAAATATAAGATTTACCCAAATATGTATGTAATATTATTAAAACATACACAAACTACATTTCTATGTATCTAAAATCTTATAAATACTTTATAAATACCTTATAAATGCATTTTAAATACCTTTAAAATATCTTGTAAAACCTTTGAAAAACCTTAAAAAAACCTTAAAAATCCTTTAAAATAACTTGTAAAACCTTTAAAAACACCTTATAAACCTAATAAAACTTTACAAAAATTTCAGATTTAAAAAGGGGCATTTTTGAAAATGGACATCTAAAAGGGGCATTTTTGAAAAGGGGCACACCAAAAGGGGTATTTTTAACAATTTCTCTATAAAGGTTTTTTACAGGGTATTTATAAGGTTTTACAATGTATTTTAAAAGGTTTTACAACGTATTTATAAGGTATTTATAAGATATTATAAGATTTTACAAGCTATTTTATAAGGTTTTACAAGTTATAAGGTTTTACAAGTTTTTTATAAGGTTTTACAAGTTATAAATACCTTATAAAACCTTAGAAGTACCTTATAAAACCTTTTAAAATACATTGTAAAATCTTACAAAACACTTGTAAATACTCTGTAAAACCTTTAAAATACCTTGTAAATTTTTCCCGCCAAAAATTTTCCCGCCAAAAAAATTTCGCCAAAAAAATTGCGGAATAACTTTTCCCGCAAAAAAATATTTTTGGCGGGAAAAATTTTTACGGGAAAATTTTACAAGGTATTTTAAAGGTTTTTACAAGTGTTTTGGCGGGAAAATTGCGGGATTACTTTTCCCGCCAAAAAATATTTTTTATTTTGTAGACCTAATTTTGTTTCAAATAAGGATAAAATGGTCATTAAAAATTAAAAGAGGGCAAACTTAAAAATGGACTCTCAAAGGGGGCATTTTTGAAAAGGGGTATTGAAAAATGGGCATTTTTAACAATTTCTCAATTTTTTATGTACTTTTGTTTGAAAATTAAAAATTTGGCTTATTTTTTTGGGAATTGTTTGCCTTTTTTCCTACCTTGACTAATATAGTGTGCTGTAAATAAAATAATTATCAGTGGAAACATTTTTGAAATCTATAAAAATACGATGTAAAAAACTGATGGCGTTTTTAGGACATCTCCATTAAGAATATCCGAATATCTAATTTAGATACTTTCTACTAAAATAATAGGAAAAAAAAAAGAAAAAAAAAGCGAGATAGAAATGACTATCTCCAACCCACTCTATTTTTTCTTCTAAACTCTATTATAGAGTAATATTTTCTCCAATCCCATTTTATATTTTACTCTAAAATAGAGTAAATGATAGGATTGCTTTATATATAGATTAACTCTTTTTTTTATATACTAACTCTATTTTAGAGCAAAATATAGGGTGATATATTGGAGAGAAATTATGTTCTATTTTAAAATAGAAAATAGAGATTTACATTGATGATGGTATTAGGATACTAATTAGAAACTCTCTTTGATACGGAAGGAAAAAGTGTTTGTGATTCAATATTAAAGATGCAAATGGTTGTCACTTAAAATGAATAAAATAAAAGATTAAGAGAAATAAATGACATGAATAATTTTTCATTTCTTCTTAACTTATTCGTCTATATTTTTGGAGATGAAAAAGATTCCTTATTTTTCTTTTTTTAATCTAACTGATATAAATTTACATTTCCATAGTTACTGGTAAAATTAAAGAATTAAATCAGTAAACTTAAAAAATAAAAGAGAAAAAGGTTTTCGTGATTCGAGATTTGGATTTGAAAAAGTTTATGCTCTCTCTCTCTCTCTCTCTTCTCTCTCGCTCTCTCTCTCTCTCTCTCTCTCTCTCTCCTCTCTCTCTCTCTCTTCTCTCTCTCTCTCTCTCTCTCTCTCTCTCTCTCTCTCTCTCTCTCTCTCTCTCTCTCTCTCTCTCTCTCTCTCTCTCTCTCTCTCTCTCTCCTTTCTGTTTTTGTTATTCTTTCTTTCTCTCTTCAGACACAAATGCACTGCTTCTTCGTTACCAAAATGGAGAAAGAGATAGTTTTAGGCCTCCTTCGCTCAGACACCTTATTTGGGAAGTCTGGGGGGGTGATGATAACTCAATTATTATATAGCTGGTGGAGCATGTGTCTCTCCTCTTTTGTATTTCGGCCATCTTCATCTCTGTAAAGACTCAACATCTGTGTCTGGTAAAATTTTGATGGCGCTTTTTATGGCAACGTTTCCGGCAACGATTTGTGGAAAAGTCAGAACTGCTCATGGTGACTCTCTCGTGACATCATTTGGTCTCAGTGGGATTCGTGCTCTTCCGACGAACAATAGGACCAGGCGAGGTTTGATCCAGAGGGCCCGTTGCGATTCTGATTCTGATTCTGCGTCTAAGGCAGTAAACATCACTGCCCTCGAGGAGCTACAAGATTCTACCGCTGACAGTATCCTTTCTCTCTCTTTTTTTTCTTTTGGTCTTTCTGAAAAAAAGTGCTTGGTTTTTGTTGGTCATTTTCTTTCGTTGCGAATTTTGAATTCTTCTTCAATGACTACGTCTACTTGTTAACTACTAACTCACATTGGGATCTTTTTTTGAAATTTTTATTTATCAGAGTTGAAAGTGCTTAGGAAGAAGATGGGTAGTATCTAGGTTTTTTTTTATGTGAAAGAAACCTCGTATAACGATATTTTCATCTTCTAGATACTTAACAACTTATGAGCTGTATCTAGATGCCTATTGTTATTCTGAAGTTAGAGACGTGAATTGTGAAGCCTATTTCTTCATTCATCGCAATTCTGACTCTATCTCTCCCAAACCATTGTGGTGTCAGGTCATACAAAGCAAAGAAGCAGCATCCTGGTGATCGGACTTAGCATTCACACATCTCCTGTCGAGATGCGTGAGAAGCTTGCCATTCCAGAAGCGGAATGGCCACGAGCAATTGGCGAATTGTGTTGTTTGAGTCATATCGAAGAGGCTTGTGTACTTAGTACCTGCAACCGCACGGAGATATATGTTTCTAGCTCTATCTCAGCACCAAGGAGTGAAAGAAGTGACCGAATGGATGTCAAAGGTGCCTCTTCTTTCCTTAAGCTTTATAGTTCTTCTTTGTCGTATTTGGGATTATTTTCACTACTTCTATGGGTGTGGACTAATGCCTCAAAACACGTTACAATTGTCTTTGTTTGCTCAAACCCAACGCAAAATTGAAGTTTTATGTTTGCATATGAAGAAATTATATGTTTAATTCTGTGCTGTCTACTTTAGATCAGTCATAGCAGTTTCAGTGACATTTATATTCAATCTGTTATATACTACAAGTTTTTATCATGGGTTTGTTAAAATTAGTAGCAAGAATTATTTTGTTTCATCAAAACTTAATCTTTACACCAAAGGTAAAACTACATAATCACAAAACTTTCTGGCTCGAAATCTATAATAATTGATACAATACTTACCACAATCACACATTCCCAAATATAATGAATCGTCAACAGTATTAACAAAACCCCTTTCTTATTTCAGACAAGTGGCATTCCAGTTTCAGATATTTCTCAGCACCGTTTTGTGTTGTACAACAAGGACGCTACGCAGCATATATTCGAAGTCTCAGCTGGTCTCGATTCGCTTGTCCTAGGAGAAGGTCAGATCCTTGCACAGGTGAAACAAGTCGTTAGAGTTGGTCAAGGAGTGAATGGGTTTGGGAGGAATATCAGCGGGCTGTTTAAACATGCGATAACCGTTGGGAAGCGTGTCAGAACAGAGACAAACATTGCTGCTGGGGCGGTTTCAGTTAGCTCAGCCGCCGTCGAACTTGCTCTAATGAAGCTTCCAGAATCTTCACATGCATCCGCTAGGATGTTGGTAATAGGGGCAGGAAAAATGGGAAAGCTTGTGATAAAGCATTTAATGGCCAAGGGGTGCACAAAGATGGTGGTGGTCAACAGAAGTGAAGAGAGAGTTACAGCTATCCGTGAGGAGATGCCGGGTGTTGAGGTTATATATCGACCTCTGGATGAGATGCTAGCTTGTGCTGCAGAAGCGGATGTTGTGTTTACCAGCACAACCTCTGAGACTCCATTGTTCTTAAAGGAGCATGTAAAGGATCTCCCCTCTACTGGTCCCGAGGTTGGAGGCGTGAGACTTTTTGTCGATATCTCTGTTCCTAGAAATGTTGGATCTTGTGTTGGCGAAGTAGAAACAGCACGGGTTTACAATGTTGATGACCTCATGGAAGTTGTTGCTACCAATAAAGAGGAAAGGGTGAGGAAAGCAGCGGAAGCTCAGGCCATTATCACAGAAGAATCTATAAAGTTTGAATCATGGAGGACTTCATTGGAGACGGTTCCCACGATCAAGAAATTACGAGCTTATGCGGAGAGAATCAGAGTGGCAGAGCTCGAGAAGTGCTTGTCCAAAATGGGAGATGACATCGACAAGAAAACGAGGAGAGCAGTTGATGACCTAAGCCGAGGTATTACGAAGAGATTCCTTCACGGTCCAATGCAGCATTTGAGATGTGACGGGAGTGACAGTAGAGCGCTGAACCAGACTCTAGAGAATATGCATGCTCTGAACAGAATGTATGGTCTCGAGAAGGAAATGTTGGAGGAAAAGCTTAACTAGGGCAAAGGTGGGACAACATAAATAAAGAGAAGAAGATGATGTTTATCTCTTGTAACAGACAATATTAATTCGAACTAGCTTCCACAAAACCAAGTAAATTGCATAGATCTTAAAACTGAGCGAAAATAAGTTTAACTCTAGAGGGACTCTCGTCCATTTAGATGTATACTTGGACACCCAAACCCCAGAGGTAAAAGTGAGTTATCGTACCCGAATAGTCCTGGTCAATGAATAGGTAATTGTGGGGTTAGGCAAACTAGACTTCTTGAATGATGTTGTTCAGCTGTTGGACCACTCATCGACGAAATCTTCCTAAAAACTTGTCACGTAACCAAGTGTTCAGAGGTGAGAGAACACAAAGTGAAGGTGAGATTTAAAAAAAAAAAAAAAAAAGGTGAGATTTTAAGTAATTTAACAAAATGAAGTTACACAGATAAAGTTAAAATAGTGTTTGGCTTCCTCTTTTTGACTATCTTTAAATTGTGTAGTTTCAATGTTTTGGCCTCGTTTTTGTAGAGTAACAAAGTTGGGGGTAGAAATCATTATTCTGAAATATGGGGTTAACTAATTAAAATAAAAAGTGTTTGTATGATTGTAATATATCCTACTTTCAAATATAAAATTTATAAAAGTAAACTAAAACAAACAAAGCATCTCACGTTTTCATCGAGACAAAATCTCTTTGTATCCATGATTCCATGCATATATCTCATAAAAATGCAAATACAAATTGTGGAGAAAGGCATTTGTCTTAGATCCCTTATTTTATATCAAATACTTGAAAGAAAAAAAAAACTCAAAATTAAAACGGAAACAAAGACTAAGGGACCGATTGGTAACGGCTGTGATAATACTGAAGTTTCTAATAATGAACTGCGGATTTAAAAATTGAGTCAATTAAATGAACTTTATAAAATGAACTGAATTTTAATACAGAAAAAACAAATGAAACTTATTTTTAACATCATTTTAGCACATCTTAAGTACATATGTTCTTAAAACCATGATACAGATTATACCAACTAATCATGGTTTTTTTTTAACTTTTCGTCATCATTGCGTCGCAAAGCCTTGCCGCGTCTACATTATCTCTAACATTATGAACTCTAATGATATTAGCACCTTTTAATATCCCTGCAGTAACACAAGCAACAGTTGCAGCATCTCTTTCACTTGCTTCAGGACGACCACAAATATCTCCCAAAAATCTCTTCCTTGAAGGTCCTATAAGTATAGGTGCATGAGACAAACCTATACTCTTCTTACCCATCTCTCCCCTGATTTTTGGTAGCTCCATGATAATATCTAAGTTATGATCTATTCCCTTAGAAAATCCAATTCCTGGATCAATCATAATCCTCCAAGCTGGGATTCCAGAGAGTTCTGCCTCTTTTACTCTCAAGTAAAGCTCTGAAGCAACATCTTTGCATATATCATTATACTCCAAATTCTCTTTGTTTTGCATTGTACATGGATCTCCTCTCATGTGCATGATCATATAAGGAACATCGGAATCCGCAACAACTTTATTCATATTCGGGTCTAAACTTCCTCCAGAGACATCATTCAAAATGTCAGCTCCATTTCTTATTGCTTCTAAAGCAACCTCAGAGTTAAAAGTGTCCACTGATATGAGCTTTCCTTTCATCTCTGCCATACCGCGAACAAATTTTAAAACCGGAATTAGTCTATCTATCTCTTCTTGAGTAGAAATTCTTGAAGCCATTGGCCGTGTTGATTGTGCACCGATATCAATAATATCGACACCTTGAGAGATCATCAAGAGAACTTGAGAAACCGCGGAATCTATAGATTGAAACTTACCTCCATCACTAAAGCTATCAGGAGTAAGATTTAGTATACCCATCACAAAAGTTTTCTTAGAAAAATCCCATAATTGATCTCCTATTGGTATAACCCTTTGGATACCGTCTTTTGCAAGCAATGATTCACCACCTAACCGCTCCCACGCTTGGAAAATTCCACCTGGATGGATTGAGAGTGAATGCCAATATGAAACTATATGATCATTATCGATATCTTCTGTTCCAAGCAAATCAACCAAAGGTGCTAAAACAAATGGTCTCTCCCATATTCTCTCATGGGGGATGATGAGTTTATCAGAAGTTATTCTATGCTTCCCATAGAACAATATGTCCAAGTCAAGTGGTCTTGGTCCATACCTTAAACCATTTTCTTCACGACCCATCTCTTTCTCAATTTTCTTGAGAACATTCAAGAGTTCATGAGGTTCGAGTTTTGTTACACCTCTTATTGCAGCATTGAGAAATCTTGGTTGGTCTGTCATATGAACAGGTTCTGTTTCGTACAAACAACTGTGTCTGATTATACTGATCCCATAATCTTTCATCAATCGTAAAGCTTCTTTGAAATTATTCATTCTGTTTCCAACATTGCTTCCTAAAGCAATCACGACTTCTTCTAAAGTTGTTGTTTCCAAAGATGCGAAATCTGAGTCATATACAAAACATGTTTCGAAGGTGAAATATGATTCAAAAATTTTATACTTTTCTAAATAATTACTTAACAGTAATCAAACGTAACAAATGAAAATGAAACGGATGAAGAAGATACGAACCCATTTTAGATTATTATATTCGGTTCCGACCAAAATAAAAGTATTATTTGCTTCGATCTGACCTGAAAGTAGACAAAACTATGAGTTTAGTACTTTTTTGTGTGCAAAAACTATGAGTTTAGTCTTAGATAAAAAAACAACTATTAGAAACACAAAATGGGTTCTAATATTTTAAGAAGAACCAAAGAAGTAAACAATACTTTTTTTATGAAAAAGATAAGATGGTAGCCAATTTTCACATACTTTTCTCTGAACTAGTTGTTGTTATTCGAGTACCTTATGTCTTTCACGCTCGTCAAAAATCAACTTCTTTCGAATTAGATATAAAGGTTTAGAAAGAAATAAAAAAGAGAAGAATACTTTGTTAAAGAGATTTTGAAGTTGGTAGTGAATCTCTCATAGTTGGGTGATGTAAAAAAGAGGGATGTCACCAATTAAATACCAGTTCATCTCCATAGTAAACAATTATGATCAGTTCAATCTAACAATGAAGATTGAGGAATATGCTTATTCCTCATTTATTTACATTTTACTGTATTTAGATAAAGGGTAATATCTTTTACCAAGTGCACTCTTTCTACTTGACAAGTGTCATACTTTGCTATTTTAATTATTATTTTGTCTTTTTTATTTGATTTATTCTGTATTATGACTTGATATCATCTAATTAACTCTTATTGTTAAAAAAAGTTCTATTTAACAAGTTTCCTACTTTGATATTTTAATATCTATTCTTATCTCTTTCATATGATTTTTTTTCTATTAATGACTTGATATCATCTAAATATATTTAGTTTTCCCACATCTAAATGTATTTAGTTTTCCTATTTTTCTGTAGTTGTTTTCTTATATCAATTTTGTATTTAGAAAATTATTATTTACTTTCATTCATCTTCATTATCTATTCTTTTTTTTTTACTATTTGGATAGATGATGGAAAAATGTGTGTTACACTTACACTCCAGCTATTTAATTTGCACCTTTAAAACCACATCATTTTTTTTGCCAACCACATCAAATTTTTCATTTATAGTGCCAATGTTATTTTCATTTATTTAGCAAAAAAATAGCCGTTTTACCATAACATTATTCTTCTCGTGTTAGAATTTGTATTAAGTTTTTCATCACACCATATGTATATGATTTCAATGAATCGTAAGTTTTTGTGGCTTTGTTGGAAACCAATTAACTTCACAACGAACAAAATTTATCCTTGCAATAATTTTTTTATAGCAAACGATTTCACGAAAAACTACACAACAATGCAATTCTACCTACACTTAAAAGTATATGTAATATAGAATATAGATAATTCTAAATGCACTATGCTTACGGTGTAAAATTAAATCATATTTCTTTATGTATCACTAAAAGTGTAAAACTATCATATTTTTCTTACTGATCAGCGATCACAACAAGAAAAATGAGCCGTAAATAAATTTAGTAAAGAAGAGTATGGACATCTTGACGTTTTCACATATTTAACATAGAACGCGTGCCGTTTTGTTAAAGCGCTAAACCTCTCCCTCATCCTCTCCCAGCTAGCTCTCCTCTTGCGGTTTCAGAGCTTAAACCCCAATCTCCCTCAAACTCATAATAAACTTATTGCTCTCCTGTCTTGATTTCTGGGTTTACGCTTCTTTCGACTTTATGGGTTTCGGAGCTTAGTTTCAATACAATTTCGTTTTGGAAAGAGCTCTTATTTGATGTCCATGGCGTCTCTCTCCTTCACCCAATTCTTATCATTCCCCAGGTCCCTTTGCTTCTCTCTCTCTTGTTTTCTAATCTTAGGGCATTTTCATCTATGGATTTTGCGTAGAACTACTTTGCTACCCATAAATGTGCGAACTTTAAGTTGTGCTTTTCTTATCTTTCTACAGAAGAATGAGTAGCAATGATTTGAATTGAGTGTTATATTATTCTTTGTTGTCACTTTCTTGTTCAATTTAGTGGAAAGTCATGTTTTTCTGTTTGCAAATTCCACATTTTGATGGTCATGGTTTTCTCATAGCTGTGCTTAATTTTGGCAGATGCAATGCAGATGTTCCTTGTCTGCAATCACTTGGTTTTGTGAAGTTTAGAGGTGAAAGATGGAATGGGAAACAAAGCTTTTCTATGGCTGCTGGTAGGAGAAAGTTATCAGAGTCAGCCCCTCTTGAAGAAGAAGGCAATGATGGAAACGGAGCGGTTGGGGGAAAGAAAACATCAAAAAGTCCTAAGAGAGGTGGTGCTCGAACAACGAAGAAGAAGGTGGTAGCAACTGATGAACCATTAGAAGAAAGTTCTCAACTTTTGGTAGATAGTGATGATGTTTTAGACAAGGAAAGCAGTGTCTCAGCTTCGAAACCAAAGACAAGAACTAGAAAGAAAGGTAATGACTTTACCATTTCTGAATGATGGGCCTCACTTGATGACTCACAAGTGCATAATTTGAATTCTACATATTTACAGCTGCAGCAGCCTCTTCTGATGTGGAGGAAGTAAAACCCGAGAAGAAAGTGAGACGAAAGAGGACTGTTAAGAAAGATAAAGAAATGGAGGATGATTTAGCTACTAGTACTCATGATGAGGTTAGTGATGTCGAGGAAGCCTTGGCTGTTGAAAGCACTGATACCGAGAGTGAAGAAGAAGAGATTGATCTGAGTAAACATGACAGTGAAGATATTAGTCACACATATGGATGGCCTCCGCTTGTGTGTTGCTTTGGATCTGCACAACATGCTTTTGTGCCCTCGGGAAGGCCAGCAAACAGGCTATTAGATTATGAACTACATGAACGGATGAGAGACGCAAAGTGGGCCCCGGAGAAGTATATCCGGGCTCCTGGAGGATGTGCAGGAGGTGTTGCTATTGCCCTTGCAAGCTTGGGTGGTAAGGTTGCCTTTATGGGCAAACTCGGGGATGATGACTATGGTCAAGCCATGTTGTATTACCTGAATGTGTGCAAGGTCCAAACTAGATCAGTTAAGATTGATGGTAAAAGGGTTACGGCGTGTTCTACTATGAAGATTAGCAAGAGAGGTCGCTTGAAATCGACTTGTATCAAGCCCTGTGCAGAGGATTCTCTTTCAAAATCTGAAATCAACGTTGATGTGCTCAAAGAGGTAAATATTGTCTTGGAGATTTGGAACATTGAGTTTTTTTAAATCTTTTTCTTGTTCACCAATCTCTTAACTTTGGTGCAGGCAAAAATGTTCTATTTCAGCACGCATTCTCTGCTCGATAAGAAGATGATGTCGACTACGATACAAGCCATCAAGATATCAAAGCAACTAGGCAATGTCATTTTCTATGACTTGAATCTCCCTTTACCACTATGGCAGTCCAGCGAAGAAACCAAATCTTTCATACAGGAAGTGTGGGATCTTGCAGACATAATTGAAATCACAAAACAGGAACTTGAATTCTTATGCGGAATCGAGCCAACTGAAGAGTTCGATACAGAAAACAATGACATCAGTAAGTTTGTCCATTATCCGCCAGAAACTGTGGAACAGCTTTGGCATGAAAATCTCAAGGTCTTGTTTGTGACCAATGGCACTTCTAAGATCCATTACTATACCAAAGAGCACAATGGTGCTGTTTCTGGAATGGAGGATGCTCCCATTACTCCTTTTACAAGGGATATGTCAGCATCTGGAGATGGCATCGTTGCAGGTACATTTTTCGCTTGTGTCTTTTTTTTCATGGCAATTGGAAAGTTATGCTGGCGTTAGCTGAACTACATTACTCTCTGTTTCAGGTCTAATAAGAATGCTTACGGTTCAGCCAGATCTTATGAACAATAAAGGGTATCTGGAACGCACAGCGAGATATGCAATTGAGTGTGGTGTTGTTGATCAATGGTTGCAGGCACAAACCCGAGGATATCCTCCAAAGGATGACATGGAAGAAGAAGATGATGATGAAGAAGATGAAGTAGAATCAGATCCAAACGGTATAAGATCGATAACAGAGAGGGAATACCGAACCTCAAAACCTTATGATGAACCAGATGGTCCATACGTTATGAAACCGGTAGAGGAAAGGGAATACAAGAAGTTAGAGCTTGTTGGCACAATGTTTGAAGATGGTAGTTTATGATTTTCATAAGATTTGATATTGTTTCTGTTAGTCAGCTTTTTTTCCCTGTTCGCATCTTACAACATCTTAGAAGTGTGAATTTTTGTCATATGTTTTAATATCTAGACCATTATATGAAACGCAACCTAGTATAGTGAGCTTAGAGAAGATGTGTCTGACGGGATAGAGAAATTATCCAGAAACAGCAATGTTAAACCGTCAGTGACAATGAACTTCCTTCACTACCAACTCTACTTCTACGGCTACTTAACTAATCCAAGTAGAGATTTATCTTCTTGTGATCTGTGAAAGGCAGTGTAATTCTCAAGTCCTTTTGTTTCCGGCTTAACGGTCTGCCTTTGCTTTCGGGATCTCTGTTCTCCTTCACATCTGCTAATTTCCAGACACAGTTATCTGATTCTGCATCGATAGACTCCAAGAGAAACACTGCAGTCTTTACTACTTTCCTTGAGTTGGTTTCCTCTACATAGCTTACTGTCATTGGCATCTCCTTAAATCGAGGCAAGTCCTCTGGAACTCTTAGCAGCCTCTCAGCTCCTGGAGATGACACCTTTACAGAAAAAACCAACACGGACACAAGATTTAGAACAAATTGACCCTGAGTGATCGTTGATTCATGGAGAAAGACTCTTTTTACCTCAAGGGCTAGATCCTCTGGGATTACTTTTTCAGCCCCAGCATCATCTAGTCTTTTCTTAAATTCTCGACTAAATTCCTCAAGCTTATCCATGGTAGGACATCCATATCTTTGTACAAGGAAAAACAAGAAGCTTTCTTTAGTTTCTGAAACATACTGCTTTCGCAATGGTTTGATATAGAAGGGTGAAGAATCTTACTCATTTGAGAGTTTGTCTAGTCTGACATATATATATCCACGCGGTGAAGTTTTGAAAGCAAACAATTCCAACTCTTCCTCAGACTGTTTCAAAACTTCTGCAGCAATAGAGAGAACTTTTTCACCCCATGGCACATCTCGAAGAACAATTCCACCACCATCTCCTCCATCACCAAGCTGTAAAACAGAAGAAAGATTAGCTTAAAAGAATCGAAGAATCAGAGTAGCGAAGTGATGAGAAAATGTAGGAGAAATATACATAAGATTCAACTTCCTCATCTTCTTCTTCTTCCCAATCTTCTATGACCTCAACATCATCAGTTGTTTTATCTGCCAATTGGATTGGAAGCAAATGTGTTATGAGATCAACAGTATCTTATGACCTTTAGGAAATACCAGCTTCTATGGACAAGAAAAGACAGTTTCTAACTTAGAACATACAAAAAGTGTGTTACATGAGACCCCAAACGTTTCTGACTTGTCAGGAAACTCTTAAGGGGCATTCACATAACTCAACTGCGAAAACATTAAAATTCTAAGGTGAAGCAACCGTTTGGCTAAAAGTGAGCAACATTAAATTTTATAGGCAGGAGACATTTTAACAAACACCTTATAGACACGAAAAAGACCTAAACAAATTCTAAACCCAGAAGATAGAGAGGCAGTCAAAGAAGACAAGGTTGATTTATTTTATCTTACATTCAAAAGTGTCTTCTTCGTCGCCATTACTACCGGCGGATTTTGGCGGTCGAACTGAAGGAGAAGGAGAAGAAGACGAAGAATAAAACCTAGAGATTGAAGAAGAGAAAGGAAAATAGCGAGGAGGAGTCGTCTTTGGAAGTAGTAAGGAAGAAGAAAATTGCCTAACGGAGAAACAAGTCGCCGGTGAGGTTAAACGGCGAGAAGCTCGAAACAAAGCAGAGAGACTTTGGTATCTCACCATGCTTCTTCGAATTACCCACAGGACACGACTTGTAATAATATTTATTCAACCTAAGGGATTCTATTTATACGAGTGTTGTTATAAAATCCGTTTCTTACATTCAATCTTCTAGCAATTGTGCTAAGAGGATACAAAATTGATTGGTTTTTAAAAAAACGTTTAGGAAAAATAAAGATGTACTTGTCGAGCCAACCTATACTATACTAATACAAGAGTAGCAACAGATATGAACATAGAAATACTTAGAGGCGGAGAATAGTGCGAAGAGTATCGCATAGATTTTGAATGGTTTGCTGCTCCTGCGTTGCTTGCAATTCCTGCAGCGGCATTTCTTCGTAACACCTGCAATCAGCGGAAAGGGTTTTTAGGTTTATAGTTCATTTAAACTAAACAAAAACATTTGCTATTTTATCTCCTACTTACGCTCTGTGGTACGCTAAAACTTGTGCAAGGTTCATCAGAGAAGAGCTTGTAGTCAGTCTTTGGTATACGCTTGGAGGAAGAGGCATCTGCAGAATATATTTCATACTCCCACAGATTAATATAACATTATGATTCATACACGTTATATAGAGTTCAGAGAGAGAGAGAGAGAGAGAGAGAGAGAGAGAGTTTCGACCTCGTTTTGTCCACGTCGACCCTTTTTGGATTGGGGATCAGAAGTGAAGAGCTCCTGAAGTGCTTCGACGGCTACAGTTCCATTCCCATCTTGTTGCATGCCTCCGATCATATTCTCCGACAAGAGTGCAATTGGGGATATATCTGTTGCTCTCAAGAACGGTATCGGTACTGTGTTTCCAGCTGCATAGATTGACCATAACTGCAGGAAAGGAGACACATTTTAACCCTACACCGGGGCATTGACTAGACTGTAGCACATACACAGCACAAAACTAACTAACCTTATCTTGCAAAGCAAAAGCTTTCCTGCCAACAGTTTCATTTTTCAAGGTACTACCACTTGCATCACTGCCACCTTCAATCTGTGTTCCAGCTATGTTATTTAGCTTGGTTCTATGCTCATGAGATGAACTTGCCTGGATGCTCTGTGAAGTCGAAGCTTCAATTGGAAGATCGATACCCGGAGGATTCTTTTTGTCATGTATCCTAGCAACCAATATCAGGTTAAATCATGCTCAAGAAGCAAGTTCATCATCAGATCCTGATTGTTATATATCCATGTAACTTTCTTTTCAATAAATTAGATGATCTGAAGGAAAATTTAAGCGCCTATTAATGTAAGTAGATATGCCCCCGATAAAGTAAAAAAAAAAAGGGTTACAAAGATAAAATACCATGAGTCAGGTAATTCTTCTCCTGAGACTTCGCGAGAAACACGTTCAACCTGAGAAGATGAAGATTCTTTCTCTTTGACAAGTTGAGACCTGGAGTCACTCTCCTCTGCCTCATCCTCACCATGAACGATCATAGTTCCAAAGTCACCACCTGATCACATGAACCAGTGGAAACATAAAGTTACATGCTTTTGAAACCATGAAGGGAGAAAATTTCACAACAGCTTGGATGCTAAAAAAGCTGCTGAATAAATCATCAACAATTCTCATGATGGTTCGGAAATGCAGATTGCCAACTTGTAAATTACTACATAACAGGCTGAGGTTCACAGCACATGTTTAGAGAAGCATACTGATTAGCCAACAACAACACACCATTTGGTTGAATTCCTTATGTGGAAGTATGCAATATGGACATAGATACGCATGCATATAATACTTGCCTTCTCCAGCCAACACAGTGTTGCCAGTTATATGCTGCCGATTCAGGGTGCCGGTTAGAGGTGCTTCGGTGGAATTTTGAGGAGGTTTAGCTGGAACAGTAATTCCTATCTCTTCATTTGATTTTGGACCCAATGTTGACTGTTACAAGATTAGAATATAATGTAGATAATTATAACTTGCAAAGATATTAGGAAAGAATATGGGGGTAACTAAGAGAGGGGTAACCCTTTCAGAAAAACAATACATACAGTGTCCTCCAAAGAAGGTGCGACAACACTTTGCGCTTGCAGAGCCATTACAGCTCTGATTTGTCTGGACTTCTCAATCTTTGGCGACATTGCGGAAGCCCCAGTTTTACATCTCTCAACAAATTTGTGCTGAATTTAAAACCAAAGAGTGAATGGCATCAGAAGAACACAGAGAACTTAAACACTAAATTGCATGCCAGCTATGAAATTGATGGTAATTCTGACAACTAAAGCTGAAGACATCCTAATATTGACAAGACAGAGTCACAGTTAGCTGAAAAGAAAGAAAAAAAGAAGGAAAAAAGAGTGCATTGAGATACACATACTAACGGGCGAACAGGCAAAAGACTATCATAGTTTACCTTAAGCATCTCAGCTGCAGTTGGGCGAAGACGTGGTTCCTTTGTAAGGCACTTTGCAACAAAATCATGAAAGACCAGGGACCTGCAGAAAGTAGCAACCAACAGTCAAATGTTCCATAAGATATTGCCAAGACCTCTTTAATGAGAATTGCATTACTATGATTCAGAGCGCTTGTAGGTCAATGCTTTTGTATAAAAGTATGCTGCACCACATATATAAGTTTTCTTTGCCAATGCTCGAAAAAATTATTAGACCCATGAGAAAAATGGTTCTGGAGCTAAATAATAAACCATCAATCGATAAACCACTGTATGTTACATATTGTGGATATGCAATTACTACAGCACCTGTGGACCCATACGTCTTTGAAGCGACTACAAGGAACTATAATTTTCACAATATAAGGTACTGATTGCGCTTGGATGATTTGGAAAATTCTCTTCTGCCTTAATGATAATCATTGTGACAATTCTAAAGAGGTTGAAGACATACCATTTTTCTTTATCCTCGAGCATTGGAGCTGGCTCGATGGATATCATGAACAAAACCTAACAAAGACAGATGTTTGAAATGAGATATTAAATAACGACAATAGCACGATAAGATCAGTGGCCATCAAGTAAGGTAACAAGCAAAAATTTCTCTCTGTTACCTAGTATTCAACACTAACCAATCAAGAGAAGGCCTTTTAAGAGTATTTCAAGACCTCCATTTTCTAGCCTAATAACTCTCATGTTTATGAAAAATTTCATACCAGGTCTATACAGATTTCATTCCATTTCAATTTATAGGACAAACTTAACAACAGCAAGCTGCTTTGACATTGGTTTATAACAGACCTAACCAAACCGCTTACAACCAAACTTAATAACGGTTGGAGCCAACCACATATACAGAAACCCTTGACACGAAGCCAAACTCGCACTGATATGCAACAAATTGTTTTAGGTTTGGCTTCAAGTCCTGATTCACTTCTTTTCAATTTTCCAAACAGAGAAAAAAAACAAAATCATTAAAAAGGCGAGACTGTATAGTTTGCCCATCCTAAACTCAGCAAGGTATCTGATCACTTGGAAACATAATTAAAAAGCAAGATGGCTTAATATACCAACCCTCATCGGATGAACTGCTGATCTTGGAGGAAGCCCCTGTAAACAATACAACCAAGAGTCAGAAGAAAACCACAGAATTATTAATAATAAAATAAGGAAGAAGCGTGTTAAGTGTCAAGGGGTCAAAATGTTCATCAAAAATGTACAATTTTCTTCTTTTTTTCCACAACATGTCAGGCGAGAGACTCAGTACAGCTAACAGGACAATCAGCTCTCAAAACAGTCACTAACTTAGTTTGCTTCCACAATTGTCAGATAAGAAGTACTAAACTGTCACCTAAGAGAAGTAGTCCCATATTACCTCTGCCATCTCAATAGCTGAAACACCAAGAGCCCATACATCCACCTGTATTAAAGAGTCAAAATGTCATCAAGTTGCAAACAGGAAAATCCTTAATTCTACTCTCTAGAAAACTTCGCAGTCTTAGTTTCTAACTGGCTTATGTATCAGATCCTAATTTCCTCTAAAAGTAGCATCCAGTGAACTGGTATGCACAACCATTTTTAGTAAAACCTTAATTACTTTCTTCAAGAGATATAATATTAGATTTAGTAGACGTGAAATTTAAACTCCAGCAATTAACATTTAGATATGAAAGGGACCAGTACATCAGTCCATAAAATGTGAAGTTTATTAAATTAATCAAAAAACTTGAAGGAGTTTATCAGACAAATTTACTGTCAAATAGGACACTTACCTTTCCATCATAACGATTTTCCTGGATAACCTCCGGGGCCATCCAATGTGGAGTCCCAATGAACTTCAAACAAGACAAAACATTAAAGAATCCACCATCAGGCGCAGAAAGTCTCTAAGGCTTTAATTGCCCGATTGATCAGAGAAAGCTTGATGAATTAACCATAGGAACTTTATTCATAGGTGTATTTACCGTGTTTCGCTTCGACATAGTTCGGGTAAGTTGAGCTGCAACCCCAAAGTCACCTGAAAAGATAAGGTAGCGAACTTTGGAATCAGCATGCAGCTGTAAAGCAATAAATAAAAATTCTAATTAAAAACCGATAAGGCTAAGGAAGATTCTAAGATCTAAAACATAAAAGCCAGCATGTTTAACAGAAATAACATAAGTAAAGGCCACTCTTCAAACAGGTGGTTATATAATTCCCCAAGTTAACTTACCCAACTTGACCTCTCCTTGTTCAGTTAACAAGATATTTCCACCTTTAATGTCTCTATGGACTTTATATATTGAGTGCAAGTATGCAAGGCCCTACAAAATAGATACAAACAGAAGTATAAGGCCTATAACATGTTGAAGCAGATGAGCGCAAGCAAAAACGGAACCATCAAATACAGGAAAGCAGACATCATTTTCTTCTTCATGCTTCTAGCCATTCTATAAAGTGAGAAAGGTTACAGAAATTGTGTGCATACCTTCAATGCCTCCCGACATATATATGCTATTTGATACTCCTCCAACGCCTCCTCAGTAACATTCATAAGATCAGCAACACTTCCACCTCCACAATACTCCATCACTATCTGTCAAAAGACATAAATTAATAACTACAGAGACCGAATACATAAACTATAATATATAAACGAAGGAAAAAAAAATTATTCCAAACAGTAAGAGCTACTATATCCAACAAAGATAACCAAGCTAAGGCCCAGATGCTCACCCAAAGATAATCTTCTCCTTGGTAACTCCCAAGGTAGCGGACAACATTCGGATGGTTACATTGCTGCAGCATCTCAATTTCTCCCCGGATCTCTTCATATCCCTCCTCCTATTAAAAGTAGAACTTGAATCACATAGAGTGCTTTAGCAACTATGACATTTTATATGCTGAAGACAAGCTTTTAATACCCCTTCAGTAAGTGATATGACTTTCACAGCAACAATCTCCGATGTTTTCAAATCTCTTGCCTTGTATACAGATCCATATGATCCTTTCCCTGCCAATCCAGATGCCAGATTTGATATAGTAAGCAAAAATTGGAACAAGCAGTGAGGGATATTGATGGCTGATCATGATCATAGCAACAACATAAAGGAGACTAACAACAAATTAACTCTAGATAGGCTAATTTACCAAGTTCATTGAGGAATTCGTATTTGGTGGTTGGATCTTCTCTAGTAATGCTATCCGGGAGAGACGTAGTCGACATCTTACTGTTCTGCTGCTGCATTTTCCGATTATCTTCACCGTGAAGCTTGGAAGAAGAAGAGGAAGGATCCAATTTCCGAGTCTTACCACCAAAATTTGATTTCTGCATACTCGCAACAGCTCTTCCCATAGTTGACATATCAATCTCCTTCTCTTTATTCTTTCCCTTTTTAGACGAAGATTTCACAACAAACGTACCGTACTCTCCGTCATCATCATCATCTTCTTCTTCGTCTTCCTCATCGGAAGATTCCTCATCTCCGCCTCTCGCTCCCCTCCTAGGACTAACTTCCATTCGCGGTTTGGACGAGTACGGACTGTTCTTACTATGATTACTCCGATCTGTTTTCACAATCATCGTGCCAAAATCTCCGGTTTCATCACCGTCGTCATCGTCGTAATCGAGCGACGCGCCGCCTCCGAAATCTTTGGGAAGACGCTTGAGAAGAGGAGGAAGCATAGAATCGTCTTCATCATCTTCCTCTCCTTCTCCGTCACTATCACCTTTGTAAACCATTGTAGCGTATAAATCGACATTTTCGTCTTCCTCAGGTTTGGCTTTACGTTTCTCTCGATCTCGACCTTGATCAGAATCGGAATCGGAGTGGACTACGAAAGTAGAGTATATGTCGGGTTTGGGCTCCGGTTTCCGGCTCCGACGAGATCTCGGCGAGTTATGATCCATCTATGGCGGCTCTAACCGTCGTCGCCGGGAGAGAGAGAAAGAGAGTCAGGCAAAGAGTACTTCTCGTCGTTAAAATTAATGATGAAAAATAAAATTCATTAAAAAAAAGGAATGGGCCAACTAAATTTTTTTGCAAGCTGGAATATTAATTTAATTCTATGTTTGTCTATGCACCCTCTAAAGACATTAGTGTTTCTTGCATAATTATTCGTTACACTAAAAATATATTGGTGACATAAATCGGTAAAAAAATAATGGTAACAAAGTACGACAAAGGAGAAGATAATAATTAAAAAAAAAGATAACGGTATATTCTGTTTTGACCTTAGTGAAGATATCCGATTATTTATAACGGATACGGATACGGATATCTTAAAAAGCCGGATATCTGTTCCGTTTATAGGCCTACGTTTTACCGATTACGAATTAAAGTGTTCAATTGTGGAAATGGGATACAAGATTGTTCTTATTCGTTTTTCTTGAACATTTATTTGAGGTTTTTATGAATCAAAACGTGAAATAAAATAGTAGAAATCTAGAGAGAATGTTATTGTTTGAAAGACGAGAATACAACAATTGAATCACATATGTGTAGAAATTTAATAATTATACAGATTTTATTTTTTGTTAGGGAATAAGAGGTTCCACGAAAATGATACAAGGGTGACTTGGGATAAAGAAGATAGAGTGACCAAGTTTGCCTCAAATAAGCTAGTTGCTACCACCACCAAAGAGGTAATTTAGAGACGAGCCACCTCCTGGAGCTGAGTGAACTTTGGTCGATGGCCGGTCCTGCACAACAACCACAAGATGTTTTAGTAACTGTACCATAAGTTTTAGACGATTGTTTACTTTGTTAGCGCACAAAAAAAAACATTAGTCGTCTTGATCTTCTTCATTGTCAGGCAACTAAGAAAATTAAAGATATACTTCTGATAACCAGCACACAGGACCTGATTCATCGAAAGAATGAGACATATATACCGTAATGAAATTGCCTGTGTTCTGTCCTTCTGCACGCGTGTAATTGTTTGCAGAGTTGCTATTGAGACCAGCAGGAACTTGTTTGGTGCTATCAATAGCCTTTGGAGCAGCAGCTTGAAGAGGTGGAGCAGGAGCAGAAGACTGGGTTTCGGCTGGAGCTTTGTTAACGGCTGCTGGCTTTGGAGCCTCTCCGCTCCCAAAAAGATATCCCAAAGAACTCTGTCCTCCACCGGTACTAACTCCACGACCCATTCTATCTCTCTTGCTTATCTCAAAGGGGTACTTTAGCTTTGGTGGATTCAGAAATATGATAAAATTTTGAATCAGAATCATATTTTACACAAAAACATTATCCACTAAACGATATGAAACAACAAAAAAGAATAGTGGAGTTGATCACTCAATTAATCATAATTTGTTTGTGAAAGCTTCTGTAAAAAAAACATTCACGTCTACAACGCAACAAAACCAAAACATGAATTCAGACGACTTGAGAGTCATTAACAACTTATCATCACCAATATAATAACATCATTGAAAAGACTTGCCAGATGAATTTGAACCACACTATCTTCATCTTAACCTAACAAAAGCAATTGCTCAATAGCCTAGAGGCTAGAGTATACAAACATTCTTTCATATATCAATCGAATTCTGCATTTCCGAACCTATCCGTTGATGCAATGCTATGAGCACAACATACAGAGAAAAAACACAACAAATGAAAAAAACTTCTCAAACAAACACCTAAGTCGAGAAGAAAACAAAACAAAACACCAATCTAGTTTACCTGATCAGCAAGGTGATTTGAGAAGAAGAGAAGAAGAAGAGCCAATGAGAGATATAACAAGAAGCCTGTGAATTGTGATATATATAGTAAATAAAGCTAACGGAAAATAGTAAGGTAATGCTTATCTGGCACGTCATTATTCAACAGAACAACAATCACTGTATAAACCGGTGTCGTTTTGTAACTTTATACCTTTTTCTAGTGTTATCCAAAAATTAATTTAAGCTTTCTTCCTAATCTTTTTGCATTAGTTAATCAAAACTTTCATAAAGCATTACTGTTTGATAAAACTGTTACAAATTATTAAAAAACGGACCCATTCTCAAATGTGTTTTTGTTCATATCTCTCCAAAAAAAATAAAACAAATCCGACAATCTCTAACTTTATGTTTACAGGATCCTATGTCCGGTTCGGTTTACATAACCGGTAACATTGATCAAGAAGATTTCTTGGGAGGTAATTGAGAAATCTCGACGAGTATTCGGTTCAAAGACTGAGGACGAGAGAAGAATGGTGCATGATCAGAGCCTTTGAGATTGAAAACTTGTTCAGGAGGATTCGATTTGATCATTGCATCTTGTAGAGAAACCGGTACAGCGTAATCATCCTCCATGGTTTTGATGTAGAACCGTCGGATTGAACCATAGTTTTTCTCCGACACGTGAAGCTTTTCGACCACTGGCGCGAATGGGATTGGTCTCATAGATACCGACGCTAATGCAACGTCCTGTACCAAAAAAAAACAAGTCGGGTTTAGTTAAACCGAGTTGTACCGGTTCAGCTATTTATTTAGCCTTATGTGTTGTGTACCTTTGGAGGGCTCTGATTAAAGAAAAAGTCTCTAAGCAATGATCTGTCGAAATCGACGGCTGTTGGAGGGTTCTTTTTGCCGTTGGCGTACAGAAATAGATGGACTTGTTCCATCAGATCATAATTTGAGTCAGGCTGCAATCAATTGGTTGCAATTAGGCTACTTAATGAGTGCATAAACTCTTTAAAAAATAGAACCAAATGTTTTGAAGAAAAAATAAACCTGTTGGTTAAAGAGATCAAGAGTGCTTTGGGCATTAGCCAACATAGCAGCAGAGATGAAAATAGCCTTCGAGATCTTAGAAGGGTACATCTCCATGGCATAAGACATACAAGCCCCTCCAAAATCATGCCCCACTAATATCACCTACATTATACAACCATCAATTAATATCATAAATTTGTTACTAAAGTAACATTTATAGTATTAGTTAGGGAAAAACATTATGATCATGTGAAAATGAGACCTTCTCGGTGGGTTTGAGGGTGTCGAAGAAGTGGAGGAGTGGCTTGACGTATTGAGCGAGGCTAGTGATGTTGTTGGTATCGAAAGAGCTGACACCAGAACCGGTCAAGTCAACGGCGTCGACTTGGAAACCATGTTTCTCTAAGAGCGTTATGGTTTTGTACCAACACCATGCACCAAATCCTCCTCCATGAACCAGCACGAATCGCTTCGTCTCCGCACCTTCCACCTTTAGCTCCTGCTTCCATCCATTTATATCATAATATCATATAATGAGTCTCAATATAGGTGTTGACATAAAAAAAAAAATTCTCAATAGCGAATTTGGCTTAAACAAATTAAAAGATTAACACAAATATGTTTATGTGATCATCACAAAAATATCATGTAACGGAGCCAAATAAATGGACAATATAAAAGTACTTGCCTTGTCTAGGAGCTGATTGGGTTTAAGAACAGGATCGGTGCTTGATCTCTGCCTATTGCTAGAGCTTCTAACGTATCCATAAGTGGATTTCTTAGGAGTCAAGGCACCGGAAACGGAACCTACGGAGGCGGCTACAGCGGCCTGAGGTGGCTGAGTGTAAACGACAGAGGTGGAGCGTCGGAAAGGAGGAGCAGAGTTGCTGTTACGAGGCGTTTGACTAAAGAGGATATTAGTGGCGGCTAAGGTTTGTTCTTGAATTAGAGAGTCTTTCTCGTGATCATGATGATGCTCTTGGTGGTGTCTTTCTCTGATCTTCTTCTTTGTCTTGACCCCTCCTTTCTTGGACGTCGACGAAGTTGAGGATCCAGAGCAAGAGAGAGATGGAAGTAATGTCCGGCGTCGGAAAGATGGTATTAGAGACAGCCTCCGAACGTGTTTCTCCGAGCTATTACCGTTGACGACGGAACTAGGTTTCTTCTGGTTTGGATCTTGTTCTTGCGATATGCATCGTAAAGAGTTTCCCATTTTTTTTAATATTTGGTTTTTTCTTGTAATGTGTACAAGTTTGTGTGTATGTGTTTATATATATGTAGCATGTTCGTGCTTGCATGTGTATTATTTTGATTTCTGATGGATGAAAAATGAAGAGTTGAGACTCTCACGTTGTGAAGCTGTACTTAATGCAAATCTGTTTGATCGTGATAGTTTTGACACTTATGTTTTCTTGAGACTCACGAAAACGCACATATGAGAAAATAGGTTTAAAGTTTTGATTATTCTATTACCAACTAATGAAATTTGATTGCCTATACAGATAGAGATAGAAGAAAGAGGGAGGAACATGGGAGGGCACTTTCTTTGAGCATTTTGCTACTTTGACTTTCAAGTGCAGGCTATTTCTTTACAAGGATAAAACATATTAATCCTCGTATCTTTCTTGTTTATATATAGATCTTTTTCTTTTGCCAGTTCCTAGCCCTTGCGACCAACGATTACGACTAAATCTTGTTTATCCGATAGCGACCATCAAGCGATACTTTTGGTTGCTAATTTTTTTTAGCGATTTTCCGAGATTGGTCACTGAATCCGGTGACTACAAAACAAACAGTATGGCGATCACAAAATAAAAAATAAAATAAGATAAAAATATTTTTTTAAATGAAAATAATAAAAATAAACAAAATATTCAATTAATTATTATTAAAAAAAGTTTTTAACAAGTTAGTATAGATATATGAATCAAATTTTTATTTTAAAATATAAATTTTCATAAATTAAAATTTTCAAAAATAGAATAAACATATATGTATATAGCGATCGTAAAACGAACATGCGACCACTCACATCGATTGTCAAATACCTCGAACATGATTTGTTTTGACGAACAATATTCCCCATAACTATGAATACCACTCCATGTTGCATGATTGGGAGTAAAGGCTGCAAAAAATATAATATACGTGCGGGGTTTCATATTTTAAAAAATTTCTAACAAATTTTTAATTCAGTATAGATTATTTTGTTGTTTTTAACTTTTTATGATATATATATTTTACTGTATTAGATCTGGATCCACATATGTGTAGAGATATTTTTATAGAAATTTTTATAGAGATTTTAAAAATATAAAATATTTGTTGTGTTAGTGAACTTCGTAATAGTATAAATATTATAAAGTTAGAGTAATGAACAAAATTCAGTTGCGTTAATGCATAATTATATTTTAAGATCCGGACTAATTTAGTTGCAAAAGTTAAGTGGTGTTACATTTTTATTTTCTTAACTAATCAAAATAGTTCTAACAGTTTGATTACATATGTTAAATAGGATATGAATTCGGTTTAGTTTGGGTTATTTCATGTATATTAGCTAGACGTAACTATTTTGGAACATGAAAATATCTCGTCCGGTATCTGTCATAAATTCTTTGTCCCATAATCTGTCACGTATACGTAAAATAAAAATATTATGGTCCCATATCTGTCATAAATAGAGTATGTGTAACTGAAAACGTATGTACAAGGTTACGTGTGTAAACAAATTTATTTTATATAGTGCTCATAACCCGAACTCATGCCAGTTGGGTATTTAGTTTGATTTTTAATATATGTTCCCCTTCCATCTCGTCTCGTAATTTCTATTTCCATTTTATTCTATTAAAATCATATTCCAAATTCTTGTTTGCTTACTTTTAAATATCATACAATATTACAATATATATTGTGAGTTTTGCGGATTAATATGTATACTTTTAAAGTTATAAATATATTTAAACAAATTTATTAATGTTTCTAGCTAAATTTTGCATATTTTTCTTTTCATTGTTTAATCATAATTAATTCGATTTTTGGGACTAAAATTAAAATTTGAGATACATCTATAAAAGGGATATGCTATTGCTGCATAATTTGTTTTGAATGCAAAATATATAATTAGTTCACATTATTTCAAAAACTGTGTGCAATATATTATGGATTTGTTTAAAGAAGATCCGGTTGAGAAGAAAAAAAAAACACAAAATATTTCGAAATTAATATGTACAATCTTTTGTTTAGATATTTCCTAAACTTTCTCTAAACGAAGGCCATAACGATAATTACTTATCATTATTTGAGTTTATTTCATAGTAAATATAAATATTTGTTAATATCTAATATCGTTTTTTTAGAAATTGTGAAATAAAATTTTGTTTTATATTTCAAAATTTGTGAAAATATTATAAAAAAACTGAGTCATAAATATTTGTATTTAATTTTTTTACGAAATTTCAAATTCAATATTAAAATCTTCCATTGAAAAACTTTTTAAACGATAGTGTTTTTTATTTTGAATTAAAATGGTTTTATTTTTGATATAGAATAGTGTATTAGGATTGGTTTGGATAAAATTTTAGTTGGATATCAAATCTTATTTTTTCAATTCTCATTGGTTAACAACTTTTTAGAATTTTTTTTTTAATTTTCGTCCATAACTAATATGAGAGAGAAAGTGAGTTTATTTTTTTGAAAACTAATAATTACTTTAAAGAATTTTACTATTTTTATTTAAATATATTATTTAAAAACAAAAAACAATGGCATTTTTGTAATACTTTACACTTTATAAGGTTATTTATGTTTGAGTGCTTCCCAATTAATAGTATAGATTTTGAAAATCTTTTCATGGAGTCAGGTTTGTGGGAATTCGTAGTGGTAGATATATCGGATCAACCGAAAGGATCATTAGATCATGGGCCAAGGTCAAAATTTATGGATCTTCAATTTCATGCCCATGGTCATAACCGATCTAGATTTACCTTTAAACACTGATGAAGAAATACAAAATGCCGAAGACGCTGCTGATCGTGAAATACTGAAAAGGATTCTCCGTTGGTATCGGAAAAGGACTGATGAGGGTTTAGGAGGGTTACTCCTCCTCATCGGAGGGGATCATTACTATGAATCCCTCCTTCGGTTGATTCAAAGTTCCGCAGGATTTGAGGTTATTCTGGTCTTTGGTAAAAATTCATCTTCATATGATCTCTTCAGTATACCTTTCAGAGGTGTTGTTCAATGGGATGAATTGCTGTATGATTACAAAACGAAAGAAATAGAATTTGCGGGGGTGAATGGTGATTGGCATACGAAATAGACATTTAAGGGGGTGGATATGGTAAAGGTTATGGCTGCTTAAAAAAGATTTAAGCATCGTCGTGGCAGAAGACCAGAACTTAGGTACAATGTTTAGATCATGGGCCAAGGTCAAAATTTATGGATCTTCAACCTTTGGTAAAAACAACCTTTCTAATTGTCTATGTTTATAAACATATGCGAGGTAGTGCGGATTCAGAGCAATTATATCAATATTGGCTTATAATTCATTATTCACTAGAAATTTATTATTTCCTAGATTAGGACCCGTGTGATCTTACTTAAAAAAAAAGATAAGGACCTGTGTGATACACGAATTAATTGATAAATAGTATTTTAGAAAATTTAGTAAGTTTTCTTGTAATTTTATGCAAACATTATGTTAATCAATTATGAATCTTATATGTTTGGATTTGAATCAACAAAATATACCTTTTAAGATATCTTATAACCTTTTATTTTATCCAAACTTATCTTATTATATTAAGTTTTGTTTTCCAAACTTATCTTATTATGTGATTGTATTATAAGTATTGCTTAACTTATTATAGTGGTCCATGATTTTTAGTTTCTTTCTGTTTTTATTTGAAATGATGATTTGACGAGTTTACTTGCCTTGTTCTTGATGATAGAACCTTCATGTCCAAAGGCTCTCTTGTAGTCACTGTCCTCTGATCCCTTATGCGAGTCTAGATCTCTCATGGTCAGAGAATAACTCCTTTCACCAACACACTTAGCATTTTCCTTATCTCCTTTCACAAATTGTTTTATGTATGATATATGTATAATTTCCTTCTAATTATCTTCTTATATTTTTTAAAAATTGTTTAAATTTATAATTTACAATTATCTTTTTATATTTTTAAATTTAATAAAATATTTTTTTTGTTTTACACGTGTCAAAATCTGATATCGACGAAGTTGACACATAACACGATCTTATGAGTTACTAACTTTGAAAACCAAGCTTTATATAATAAGATTGCTTAAACATATTCTAATGGTCCATGGTTTTATGTTTATTTACTATGAGTTAATTTAAAGCTAGTTACTCATTAAATCAAAATATTTATTTTTCTGTTTTACTTTTTCAAATGTAGTTATATTTTCTTTTTTATAATCTTTTTATTGAATTATAAAGCCAAGCTTCAAATTTCTTATAAATAGATTTGATTGAGAAATAAATAAACAATGAATACCTTACAAGATAACAAAAGCTACAAAACAAATAATCTCAGTATTTTAAATAGAATATCTTACAAGATTTACTCAAATATATTGATTTCTATTTACTATTTAGATATCTCTAATTAAATAAAAACTAGATTTTCTCTATCTTCAAAATTTATTATAATTAACTATATAATTCAAGAACTAAAGATTGAATTTTAATATTAACATAGATATGTACAAAAATTCTAGAAACTTCTTTTTGATACAAAATTTGGACAAGAGCTAAGTTCATAAGTGTCACATGGTCCGAAACACGCCGAAACCAAGTAAGACCCACACGAACCACTTGACTCGAGTGCGTTAAGATTTTCCTTTTTTGATTTACCTTTTTAACCGTGTGATGGTTAAAAGTTCTTAAGTCGGTCAACTGAAAAAGGTAACCAAGTCAAAAAACCAAATTTACTAGTTGAGTTCGGAAATAAAATAAAACCAAAGCATACCTTAAATAGAATTTTAGAAATTATTATATATTCCTTCTTCCTTATTTATTTAGTTTCTGCATCGCCGTAAGAAATCAAAATCCAAGGAACCTCCCTAAAACCCTATTAAAGCTTCTCTCTTCTTCTTCTCCAAATCTCGATTTCCCTAAAAAAACCCTAATCACGCCTCTCAAGCTTCCTTCTTTATCGCCGGACTCTCCTCGGTTCCATCTTTCTCTGCCGCCAGGTTTATTATTGATCCGATTTCAGATTTGGGTTTTTCTTTTTTAATTTGATCTAGGGTTTTTCCGATTTGATTCTGAATTGCTCTGTTTTGTTTTTGTTGTTGGTTTGATTATCAGTACGTGTGCAGATATGGCTACCGAGGGAGTTGTTCCTTCAGCGAAGGCGATTTCTGCTGCCTTTGTGGAACAGTACTATTATGTTTTAAGTCAGCTTCCTCATGAAGCTTATAAGTTATATGTTGCTGATAGTGTTTTCAGCAGACCTAGTCCTGATGGTACTATGCTGTCTTTTACTTCCGTTGAGGTAATTTCAGAACATAAAGTCTTGTCCTTTTTAATGCTCCTTCAATTTCATAACATAAAGTCTTGTCCTTTAATGCTCCTATTGTTTTGAAATCGATCTCATCATGCTAGTGAAACTATCCTTTTGATTAGGTCACGCTTGCTTTTTTTTCTTTTAGTGTACTTGTATTAGCTCTTTAGCTTTATGTTGCTCATACTTTTTGTTGGTTGCTTTAGTTTTGTTTATGTTAGATCACAGCTCTTTAGATAAGTGTGTTCTTATAGTTTAGGTGATGGTGATATGAGAACAGATTTGTATGAGATTGTTGTGAAACTAGTTATAATTGACTTGTTGATTTCTCATAATTACTTAATGCTTTGTTGACTTCTTTTCTTTTTCTTCAATTGAGATTTCACTTTATACTCTTGTTTAGTATCAGACTTCACATTATTTATCATGTTGGTTCTTACAGGCTATCAACGAGCATATCCTTTCATGTGGCTTTGAGAATACGACATTTGAGGTTCTGAGTATCGATTCTCAGAATGCTTTGGATGATGGGATAATTATCATGGTTATCGGTTTCATGACTGGAAAAGACAATCTGAGGAGGAAGTTTTCTCAGATATTCTATTTGGCACGTCATAATAACCATGTTGTCCTCAATGACATGTTTCGATATGTTGATCAAGATGATTCCACCCCACAAACTCTGCCAGTTGTTGAATGTGGTAAGTTGTCTAACTTTTTTCCGTTTGATTAAGTTTGTCGAGTAAGTCCATATCAGTCTGTAGTTATAACTCTTTGTGGACTATCTACATTGTAGAGCCAGCAACTGAGATTGTGAAGCCAGCTGCTGAGCTAAAGAAGACCGAGCTGAAACAGAAAAACGATGCTTCGGTGGCCAAGTCTGTTAATGCTGCTGTTGAAAAGAATGCTGCTGCTCCATTGGACAATGGAAAGATGAAGCAGTCTGAAAAAGCTGTTATTGCTCAAAAACCAACAGAGCAAGTTGCTGAAACAGTTGCTCCTCAACCTGATGGAGCCAAGAGATCGTTTGCTGCGATTGTAAGTTATATTTTTGCAAATTTTTCTTTAACATGGGACATCTATGCATACTTATAAGTATGCGGTACAGGTTCAATCGTTGGCAAACAATGCTGCTCCGTTTCAAGTGAAAGCCCCGGTTCAGCAACCTAAATACATGGGACAACCACGTGCTGCTGCAGCACCTAAAAAACCTGCTTACGTCAGTAAATCTATAAAGAAAAATGATCAAAAGATCATTGAAGAACCAGGTTAGCAGACAGAGATTGCCATTTACCGCCGGATTGAAATTAACACTTTTCGTTTCTTGTCTATTTTGTTTATCAGATGGGTGTGTTTTTGTTTCAGGCAAATCTATATTTGTGGCAAATCTGCCATTAAATGCAATGCCGCCCCAACTCTATGAACTGTTCAAGGATTTTGGTCCTATCAAAGAAAACGGGATTCAAGTCCGAAGCTCCAGGGTTCGATCTTTGATCTCTCGTATCTTTCTGCTATTTCTACTCATCACCTCTCCTAGTTTCCTTACATGAATTCTACACTTTTCTTATGTGTCCAGGGTAATGCTAATCCAGTTTGCTTCGGGTTTATTGCCTTTGAATCTGCTACCTCTGTCCAGAGCGTGCTTCAGGTAACTAACTACAAATACCAGTTTCTTGTTTCCCTTTGAAAAGTCTCTGAATTTCTAATATTCAAACTCTGTCAATACCAGGCTACCAAGAACACGCCCTTCATACTTGCAGACCGTAAGCTTCGTGTAAAGGAGAAGGAAGGTAAGCTTCTCTTTCCTTAACCCCCGCCTCTTAATCTAAAATCATCGGTTTCTAGCGTGCAAGGCTGAAACTTCCTCTTGCAGTTGACTATGATGGAAGCAAACCTTCTGGGAAAACCAAAGGTGGAAGCAACAAGATTCAGAATGGCTCTGCAGATGGCAGCAAGACTGAGAATAGCTCTACAGATGACAGCAAGACACAAAACGGCTCTGCAGAAGATGGCGAAGATGAGTTCAAGCAGGTCAGAAGCCGTAGGAATAGTAGAAAAAACCGCAATGCAAATGGAGACAATAACCAAAAAAAAAGTGAAGGAGGAGCCCCTAAGGTTCAAGCAGCTTGATGATACTCTCCTCTACAAACACCAACACAAGAACAACACTTACAATTTGGAGCTTTCTTAGAAAATTTATTATTTCAAGAGTTTGCAAATTGAGATTATTTTTCGACATTACAAATTCAAATATCTTTATTTCTTTAGGTTTTCTTTTTTTGTTTTCTTCTTATGGAACTCAACATAATTCTTCTATTCACCAGTCATTTTCTACTGTCTTTTTGTTTTTTTTCTTCTTTTATTCCAATTTTGATTATTGGAGAATTCACGTTAACGTATATCCTATGGTTTGTTCCGTTGCGAATCAAGTCACTTTGAAGAAAAATAGTAATTTTAGATAAGCTATATGATGAAATGTGGTCTAATGTCGCATCATTTAAATATTTGTAATTTCTAAAGAAGCAAAGAATTTGTAATAAACAAGTAATTAGGAGTTGTAAAAAGAAGTAATTAGCAATGCTTGATAAAGAGAAAACAAATAATATGCGAATGCGACACCTCTCTCTCTTGTCTCCACGTCAACGATTTTGCTAGATTTGATTCCAATCTCTTTTCCAGCTTACCTACCTTTTCTCTCAGAAAATGTGTTAAAAATGGCTTTATCTTTTAGGAAATTTTTCCCTTTTGGAAGTAATTTCCTAATTTCTTAGCAATAGCAAGAAACTAAAAAGGAAATGACCATAACATTTTATAATGTAAAAGGATATAAAAAAAAAGGTATAATATCATGATTATCATCTTACAATGATATAAGAATTCTTTTTCAAAACTTATTAATGTATCCATGGTTACTTATGATTTTTTTTCAAAACCAGTTACTTTTGATTTATCATTAAATTCGAAAGTATAAAAAACCGTTGGACTCGAATCCATTCTGAGAATTTTTTTTCCCTCTCTTAAGAAACTTAACTCATAAAAGATGTCAAAATGTTCTTGAAAAACTTAGAATTTCTCATAAATAAAATTCGAAATATTTCTCCTCACAATTATATTATATATATATGGAATCCTTCCCAAAATAATTATTGCATAATACTCATTAGTTTTACTTTTTTATGGGCTCAAGTTTTGTTCCAAATATTTTGATATATGAAGGTCTATAAATTTATTGGATGCAATGAAAGTTCATTCTAAGAGAACAAATTACATTCTACTACCTTCACAAAAATTTCTCATAAAATTTAGAGCCTCTCTACATAAGTTGTTTGAATCCTTTTTAAAGGATAGATTTTAATGAGTTAAATAAAAAAATTAGAACCAAACTAAAGTAATTAAATTCTTTACTTACCAATCCGTTGGAGACACGTGACCCCTATGGCAATAACTTATAAAGCTTCCTCCGCCATTACCCATCACACAACACCTATTAGCTTTGATGTGTGGTGGACAGTGGACTTGTAGTGATGATGAGTGGCCTAGATTCATTATTCTTTTTAGAAACAAAACATGAATTTTGTAGTTTTGGCTTAAAATGTTTTGTGGTTGAATTATATATTTAATTTTGCATTAAATTTACGTGATTCTACAAAATTGACGATTTATCTGCTAATGTCTCTATCATTGATACTAGTATAAAATCCTATTACAAGAGAATACTTCGAATAACTGAATATTTTTATCGAATCTCGAATTTCGACTATTATATATTTAGGTTGACCATTAGTAGATATCGTAAAAATGATCAAAACATAAATATGTAATCTAGTAGTTTGTATTATTATTGTTAGTAAAATTTCAAAGACGACAAGACGCTGATTTTTTTCATTTGGTCAAAATTACTGGAAATATATTATATTTTTTTGTGTTACCATTGTATTCATTTAAATCTTAAAGACAAATTTAAAAAAAAATCTGGTTTTCTAGTTTCTGCTATAGACCCATAATTTATCTGGTTCAAGAGGATTATTTTTAGTCTATGTATATAAACTAATGTACATTACGAAATCAAGACTATAGTATAAAAAGCATGATTCACGTTCTAACATGAAGTAGGATGATTTTAGAAATAATATACAAGAAATGGATCGGAGGATGTTAGACAGACACGCAAGGATCCACACACCCACGAGGACACGTGTTTACATGGCCAAGAGCTGACATGCTTCACGTTCCCGCGACAGTTCGTTGTCACGGTGTAAGAGGAGGTCTCTCAGATCTCTGAGCTGGCCATATAGGACCACGTACCTAAGGCCAATTGGTAACGCTTTAAGATTATAAAATAATAACTTTGTATTGATTATTTTTTATTTTTTTGCATATTAATATTTGTTCATGCGATGAAGATCACGTTCGATTAAGGTTACAGAGGAAATCGATATCTTAGAATTTTCAAGACTTTGGATATATAGATTTGCAAATGTAGTTATTTAGATTTTGATCCCCGGCCTGGAATATAAAGATCAGATGCCCATAGTCTCATATTATATTACATGTTCAAATCTGAAAATCATAAAGAAATCAAAGTGATAAATTAATAATATTTTTTACTTTGTACCATATAGTTACATTATATGTATATATATATATATATATATATATATATATATATATATATATACATTAACTCTAAATTATCATAAGTAAAATTTGAAGAATATTTCTATATGTTGTGGGATAATCATTTCGAGTTGATTTGTCCAGATAATGAGGTATTTTTCCATGGTAAATGATTTGGAAAATGATAATTGTAGTTATCAAAAATGTATCTTTCCTAAACCACGAGGTGGTGGACTAGTGGTTTTAATATGTTGGTTTAGGTCAAGGATCGATTCTTCTCATACGCATAATTGCTCAGTTTTATCACCTTAATCCAGGGATTAGTCATATGCTCTTCCACAGGTCTAAGATTTGTCCCTTGGTTCTAATTGTATCGGTAAGTTACTTGTCCCAAATCATATTTATGAATTAGAAGATTGTTGGGTTGGATTTCTTGAGGCTAATCTACAACTAGTCGACGAGCATCGAATTATCTATCCTCCATTTTGAATTGTCAAGTAACCAGTCGTTCGAGAGATCTATGTCGAAAATAATTTTCTCCATCAAGTTGTTCAAGTTTTTATATATTCGGATCTAATATACTACTAAAACCGGTTACAGTTATATACTTCGTTTAAAATTAATGTGATTAAAAAAATCTGCCTAAATACATAAAACTCAACATGGTCCTAAATGATTCACTCAAACCTCTATGATAAAACTTAAATCCAAATATCCAATACATGCTTTAATTAATTTTTCTATAACTCGAATTCCAATTCCGAGCCTCGTAATTACCATCGATAAGGAGATTTCGTTTTAGAATAATGGTTTTAAATATAAAGTAGTTCATCTATACGAGACACCAAATCTAACAATGATGTTTAATTAAACTTTTTTAACAAAAAGTTGAAACCATTAATTGACTACTTGGTCGATTATTAATGATTAATTTTATTTATCTCAAAATAGACACATTATTTCTATTTTAAAACGAATAGAACCAATCATGGATAAAACACACTATAGAACAAGCAAGTTGTGAAATGAAAATCCAAATTTCTTTAAATACGTATTGGAATGTTACCATTGTAGGACCTGAGACAAAGAACCTTAAGCCCATTCCTCTGAACATAAAACGAAACAGAGCAACACGTGTCTCGTCCGACACATGTCACCTTCCGTTTTTAACGCTGATGATAACACGTAACTCGCCAGCGAATATTATAACAAATTAATAATGGATTTTGTTTTTTAAATAATACTAGTAGAAGCAAAGAAGCAATAATAGTGGCAAAAAGTGTGGGGACAAGAAATTAAAATTAAAAATAATTATCAGCCGTACAAAAACGTGTCGACTCGAGGGATCATCTGATTGCCACTTGGCCCTTTTCACACATTGGCTATTCTCGTCGCTTTTCTTTTCCTCTACGTGCCCAAAACCCAATATTTATTTTATTCTAACTCAACTTTATTTTATTAATTTTCCTCAACAACATATTTTTAAAAAAGTATGTAAATAAATTTTTTTAGATAGGAGAGAATCTAAATTGATTACAATTTCTTTTCTTGGTGAAATCTTTTTTACGAGTAAATAGAAAAAAATAATTACAGGGATTTGGTTTTTATTGTACATGTTAATGTTAATGATGAACTAAATAGGTATATTGTCAAGTAAAATTGAACTGAATATTCTGTCTTGTACTCAAATTTGAGTTCTCTTTCTCTGTCTCATCCATTTCACTTTTTTTTTTTCTGTCTCCACCATTTTTTCGAGAAATCATATTCAATAGTAACAAAACGTGTCTCGTAAATTTTTATTAATGGATTAAAGAGAAACTTTGAAACTTTTTTTCTCTTCTTCTGCAAATATTGGATTATGGATCGTGGCATCAAAATCTGAATACTGTTTCATAAGCTCTAGTATTCTTTTGTTAATGGCGGAAGCAAACGAGAGAAGTAGAGAAATGGCGAGAAGTAATAGTTGTGTGTTTCCAAGAGATCTACTTCAGAGATTTATCTCTAACTCTGTTGAAGGTGAAGATGATGATGAAGAAGAAGAAGATGATGAGATCGAGTTAAATCTTGGCTTATCTCTTGGTGGGAGATTTGGAGTGGATAAGAGTAATAAAAATAAGCTTGTGAGATCTTCTTCCGTTGTTGTCACTATGCCTCTGTTTAGGGAAGATCATCTTCATCAGGCGGCGACGATGATAGCGACGAAGGTTTCGACGGAGACGGTGGCGGGAGCGACGAGGGGGACGGGTTTGATGAGAACGACGTCGTTGCCGGCTGAGTCGGAGGAAGAGTGGAGGAAGAGGAAAGAGATGCAGACTTTAAGAAGAATGGCGGCGAAGAGACGGAGAAGCGAGAAGCTTCGTACCGTCGCCGTCGCCGGTGGAGGAAACAGTAATTATCCGGAAGAAGCTGTCACTGCCACCACTTCGAGACGGCGAGGTAGACCATCGTCAGGACTTCCTCGGTGGTCAGCGACGGCTAACAAAAGCGGGCTTTTGCGGCAACACAGTGCTGCTCTTGATTCACTACAAGTTTCCGTTGAATCTCAAGGCGGAGGAGGAGGTGGAGGAGCCGCCGGAAGTTCATCGAGCGTCTCCGAGTTGGAAACTAAAGGTGTAGTACTAATCTCTCGCTAATATGATCATTAAAATTGTTGAAACTTGAACTATAAGCAAATTGATGTAATGTAACAAATCATTAAAGCCAAATTTAGATTACTTCTGCTAGATAGATTATTACTTTGATGCAAAGTTATCGCCTTTTCGCAACCCGAAAGGTCGTTTAATTGTGGTAATGGACTAATGATACTGAAAAGAACATGTAATGTTTTGGTGAATACAGCGTCGAGTGATGAAGCAAGAAGCTTACCATCAACGACACAACAACAAGAAACAATGACAAAACCAACAAATCGGCTGAGAAGATTAAGTTCAGTGGACATGAACATGAAGATGGAGCCACAAGGGAAAGGAAAAAGTGAGATGCCATGTGTGTTTACCAAAGGAGATGGACCAAATGGGAAGAGAGTTGATGGGATTCTTTATAGATACGGTAATGGAGAAGAAGTTAGGATTATGTGTGTTTGCCATGGCGATTTCTTGTCTCCGGCCGATTTCGTTAAACATGCCGGTGGTCCTCATGTAGATCATCCTCTTAGACACATTGTTGTCAACACTTCTTCTCCTTCTAATCTCTTATAATAGACCAAAAACACTCTAACCAAACCCACTTTTGTTTAGAGAAGATGTTTTTAAGAGTCACTCGTCATTTCTCAATTTTTAAGTTATATATGTATTTGTACTACTTTATACAGAGAAGAGAATTAAGGAGAAAGAAACATCATTTATATCAGTTACAAGAGAGTAGAATGAGAATAACATTTTGATGATTGATGCATATGGTGAATAAGAGTAATACAGATGAAAAACCTCCCTACACTGAAAATTTTAAAAACAGACTTGAAAAAGATTCTAATGGCTAGGCACTTGTTTGCTGCTGTACAAATCCTCTAAACACACACTTTCTTCTAGCTTTGTATCACAATCTAGAAGGCTGGATTCGTTTCAGCAGTCTTACAGCTTGTTTCATTGTCGGCCTTATCGAGAGGCTATCGACGGTGCATTTGAGAGCCAAATGCAGAACCTCGACCAAATCGTCTGGTGGACCAGTCTCCCATAGTCCTCTGGTGAAGACTTCTTTGGCTTTGCCTTGACTCAACATCATATGTGCCCAGGACACGATGTTAAACCCGTTCTCATGCGAAGAGAAAGATGGATCTAGAGCTCGCTTGTCCGATATCAGCTCCAAGAGAACTATGCCGTAGCTGTAAACATCTGCTTTCTCCGAGACACGGCATGTCATTGCGTATTCTGGAGCAACATAGCCAAATGTTCCAGCCACACCTGTTGTGACATGAGACTGCGAAGTTCCCAAGAGTTTCGAGAGTCCGAAATCAGATAGATATGCGTTGTAGTTGTTGTCCAAGAGTATGTTACTCGGTTTGATGTCTCTATGCAAGACTTTCGGGGAACACTGTTCGTGAAGATAGGCGAGAGCACGCGCAACATCAAGAGCAATCTTGTGAAGAACTTTCCACTCAATAGCAGCTTTCGATCTTTCTTTAATGAAATCTTGAAGGTTTCCCCCGGATAAGTAGTTGTAGATAAGAAACATCTCAGTTTCACTCGCGTGGTAACCGATCAACATAACAAGATTCGGATGCCTAACCACCTCAAGAGCAGAGATCTCAGCATGAAACTGTTGATCCCCTTGAAACCTCCCAACAGAGAGTCTTTTAACAGCAAACACATTCGTTGGAGACACCTCTGCTTTATAAGTCGAACCAAAACCGCCATGACCGATACAGTTAGAGTTACTAAAGTAACCAGTAGCTCTAACAATGATCTCATACGTCAGAGGAATACCAATGTCAACAAACACTTTAATCTCCTTGATTTCATCTACCTGAATCTGAGAGTTTTGTTTCCATTTCTTCGAGTAGAGGAACAAGAGCACCAGAACAAGAAGCACAAAGACAATCACTGAAGCCGACACAATTGAAGCAATCTCAATCGGATACAATCCAGGTTTACCAGGAGAATCATCAGCTGAGCTTGGACCAATTTCATCTCCATTCTCAAAACTCATAAGTTTCCTAAGAACAACATTGCTTGAAAAACCATCAAGAACCCTAATTCCACCCATAAAGCTGTTACCTTTAAGATCAAGAATCTCTAATTTCTCCAACCCCCAAATCTCCTTTGGAATTTCACCTCTCAGATCATTAAAAGACAGAGACAAAACCCTAATTTCAGACAAATCTCCAACAACAGGAGAGATTACACCACCAAGTCTTCTTCTACTTGAAGAACAAGAAGACAAATCTGGGAAATGAAGAACACCACTACCTTCAAGCTCATCACAACCTCTGAGAATCAAAGAGACGACTCTTAAATCAGAGTTGCAAGAGACACCGTACCAAGAACAATGGTTTGATGAGCTGTCGGAAACCCAGCTAGACAGAACTCCATTTGGATCGAAGAAACTACTCTTCAGCTTCAAAAGAACAGCTTCGTCGTGAAGACCACTCTCGGTTAAAAGTTTCCGAGAAAATGAAAACACAAACAAATTAAACAGCAAGAAGACCAAACCCAGAATTTTCATTTTTCTTCTTCTTCACAAGAGAAAGAGAAAGAGAGACGACGGAAAATGAACAAAGAAAATCAAAACCCTAAAATAAAACTGTCTCTTTTTCACAAATTTTAAGTCTTTTTGTGAAAAAAATCTGATCTCTCTTTCTCGCTCTCGAAATCGAAATTTCAAGTTGCAAAAGAAGAAAGTTTCTTTACTCTAAAAGAAAATGACATTAAAGAAACAAATATTTTCTATGGCTCGATTATCAAGACGTATAATAAATTTTTTTAAAAAAGTTCTTAACGTATTGGAAACAGTCAAAGAAGAATGCATTTCGAGGAAAAGAGGAAAAAAAGAAAGAAAAATCTCTCAGCTTTTTTAACTTTTCCTTAAAATTTTGAAATTTCAACACACTACAAGTGAAAGGTTACTTAAATATTATCCATTAGATAAAATTTTAAGGAAAAAATAAAACGAATTTTTTTTCTTATTTATTTCTAAAATTTGCTCTTGTAATTTGAGAGAGATAAATAGGATAGTGTTTCACTTTCAGCCGTGTCTCTCTCGGTTCTGTCGTTAAAAATTTGTCGTTGTCATAGAGACTTTAGAGAAGTGTGGGACCCACTGAAGTCAATGTCTGAATGTATTTATGTGAAGAGAGAGAGAGAGAAGTGAGAGACCACATGGCTGCTTCTGGTTTGACCAGGCAGGATAGGACTGGGACCTACACTAGTCTTGTTATTGGTCCATGATTAGATTCCAAAATCGTTTCTTTCGTAACGATTCATTTTTTTTTAAGTAGACGTGTATTCCTCTGTGTATCATCGTCATTATGACGTTAGATTTTGCGTCAGAAATATGTTTTTGTTCTTTTGTTTTAATCGCGACTCTTTTAGTCCATATTTTAGGATTGTAACGGCTGATACCTTTAACCAAAATGAGTACTAGAAGAAGAAACTTAGTTAGAGTACGATTTCGCTTTACAAAGAAAAGGAATCACAGTTTGTACTTGTGCGGATCTTAAATCAAGAAAATGAATCTTGTAATGTGTTCAATATCTTACCATATGGTAACATAAGCAATGAGTTATGTGTAGGAACGCTTAAAAGAAACGGACCTAGAAAATACTTTTAACCGGAGACATGATATTTTTATAAATAGGATGTGAACATTTGTAAGACTTTACTAAAGATAAAAAAATTTAGACAGGAAAAGTGATTCCGTATTGACATATTGTACAGTACACCTATCCAGAAGCACGGATGAATGAAGAAAAAAACTGTTACAAAAACAATCTTTTTAATCGGAAAAAACCGCAATATAATAAAAAGACACAACTTATGTTGTTAATAAGTGTTTATTTTTCAAAATTTAACATGTGAAAAGATTGTTGTTAATAAAAACAATCTTTTCAAGTACCTCTTACCGATGCAGTTCAAGATGAGTACTCTTGGGTGGTTGAAGGCAAAAGTGTAAAGGTTTCTCTTCTTCTGCGACTTGGAATGTTCTGAGACCAAGGAAGGAAGAGACTGATTGGTGGTCTGTGGTCTGGTTTAAAGGGGCAGTCCCCAGGCACGCCTTCAACATGTGGGTTTCTAACCTTGATAGACTTCCCACTAAGCAGCGGCTCTTCTCTTGGGGTGTCACCTCTTCTTCGGCATGTACCTTTTGCTCTGTGGATATTGAATCTAGAGATCACTTATTTCTAAACTGCAGCTACTCGGCTTCAATTTGGTTACAAGTCTTTGCGCAAATTGACCCGAGCAGGCCGTTGTTCCTTTCGTGGCAGGAGCTGCTCTCCTGGACTCGATCTTCCTCTGCGACAGCCCCTACTATTCTTAGAAGAATCACAGCTCAAGCTACTATCTATCATATTTGGAAACAGCGTAACAATGTCGTTCATAACCAGCAATCAATCCCGACGGCAACTGTTTTCAAGCAGCTTCACAAAGAGATCAGAAACATCATCACCGCAAACATCACCGCAAGCAGTTTCGCTCCTTGATGCAGCTCTGGTTATCATGACCGCACTCTCTTGTGTGTTCTTTATATTGAATTTCTTGTTTTTATTCTTTTTTGCCAAGAATTCAATGTCATAGGCTTTTCTTGTAAAAGCCAAACAGTTTCATGTATATGATATTAACAGTTATAGCAAAACATGTGAAAAATGTATCATAAAGATTCACATCTCATCGACTTTTTTTTTGTCACTTTAATTTTAAAATAATGTGTCAAATATTTTGAAATATGTTAATGACGCTGTTCATTAGAATTTCGATCATTTGATTCACTTGAAAAATACTCTTCATGTTTCATAATATATGATGTTTTGGGCTTTTTTATTCTATTTTATTAGATTTTATAAAGTTTTTGTGCATAATTTATATTATAATTTAATAGTTTATAACTATTTGAATTCTACGGTATTTTTTTCTATTTAAACCCAACTTATTACATATTGTTGACAAAAAATAATTAGAAACACAAAGTTCCGGAACCAAGAGTTATACTAGTAAAGATAAGTTGCTCATTTTACATGCACTTATAAAATCTAGTTATTCCTTCTAAATGACAAGACGAAAAAATATAATAAGAGTCAGTGTTTTTAATTTTTGGATTGAATTTGCTAATATATAGATTAATAACGTAATAATAGAAATCAGATCTATAAACAACTGTTAAACGTACAGTAATGAGATTGACTCCATCGATAAGGAAGAACTACAAAAAAATTCAAGTTTTGCCGACAATATATTTAGCGTTACTACTTCATATATTTTGTTTCTATTTGCCAACAAAGTCAAATTGATTCTTCCTTTCTCCTTTTGACAAATCAAATTGATTACTTATAGTTATAGCTAATTCTTTTTACTTGAGAATTTTAAATACTTATATCTAAGATGTCGACGTGCAATTAAAGATACATCAACATCAATGGATGATCTATGTTGATTTTGTCACATATATTTACCACAAAATAAGTGACTATGCATGTGACCTCATACTTTAATCTTTATTAAACCTTATGGTTTCCTAAATATTACAAAACAACAAATTTTAACCCTTTTTTGTTATTTATCGAGCAAAACATATACAGTATATATAGTAAACATTCACTACCAATTTAGTTTTAATTTGAAGCTACATGAAACTTAATGATGAAAAAGAAAAATATTAACAAAAAATAATAAAATATGAGTCAAACATAAGCAAAAAATTAGCAAATATATAAATAAGTGACAAAACTAAAAAAAAACTTATATTTAACAAACCAATGATATGATTTGTTTGTTGGGCAATTTTAATTGTCAAAGTAATAAATCAATAATGAATTTTGACAATATGATAATATGGGCTTTTCTTCTTTACATTATGACTTCTTTAATTTCTTTGCGCCACTTATGGCATACTTTGAAAGGAGTTCATGAAGAAACCTTTACCCAATCATGTTATATCTTCTTCTTGGCTATGCCTTTCTTATGTTGCATTTTTCGTTTGAAATCTCCTTGTTGGCTCCTGATAGAAGGTTGTAACAAAGAAGCCATAACGACGTTGAAAAAACATGCTAGGGCCTAGGTTCAATGGAAACTTTTTTTATAGCAGATCATCTCAAACTCATAAATCTTTCGAAAATGGATAAATAAAGGTTGTCAGAAAAGTTTCTAAAGACAAAATGAACTGTGAAAAGGGGATTTTCCCAAGTATATATAATATATAGTCGTTGTTATTAACGGTGTGACAGAGCAGAGCATATGACATTTTTGTTGTTGGAACTATTCTCCTCATAATCATGTATCGACGTCCACTGTTTGTCCAGTTTTTCATGCCTTGCCAGACTCTTATGTATCATATGTGGGGTGTTCTCCCTCCAACACACAACATTAACTAATTGGATGCAGCTTGTCGTGGTGGCTATAGATTATTTAATTTGCGCCTGGTTTGGGGTACAACATTATATATACATATTGCATCGAACTGTTTCCTAGAAACATGAGGAAATGAACGGCTTCGCTTTTGGATCATTTGAATCAAATAACAAAATATATATATTCATGACTGAATAATAAGGCTCTTGAACAAATATAATAATATAAATAAAGTTGAAAATGTATAAGTGTTGAATAAAGGCAAATATTAATTAAAAATATACCATCCCTCTATGATACAGTAATATGTAAAAAATTGTAAAACAAAAAGTTACAACAAAGCGTTCATAATTAACATTTATACTTACACAAAGCAGTTACTTCTTTAAAGTTACCATGTGAAATGTATGATACGGAGTTGCTACACTTTTAATATTTAATGAGTTTACTATTGTGTGTATATATATAGATTAATTAAGTAGTATAATCTGATTATATAAGTGAAACTGAGATCTGTTTGATGAAGATAAAAAGTGAAACGGAGATCTATAGTAAACTCATAAACGTCATGTAATTAATTTAGTAGTTTGTTAATGTTGTTACTGTGTCACCATTTAATTGTTAACAACCACACACGAAAAAAAATAAAAAAATCTTAAACATTCATGAAATGGACTCCATTGATAAGGAAGAACTACAAATCTTGTTTTTGTCAAAGACTCTTTTTCATGTCCTGCATGCCTATAATTTAGTGCTAATACTGCTTCTTACATATATTTTTAGTTTCTATATGGGTTTTATGAAAAAAAAAAAAAAAAAATACACCCTCCAAATGATATTTTTTTTTTTGCAAGTTTACCCTTAGCTTATAATAAATGCATCAAACCTACAAAATCGAATTTAATGTGCAATTAATCTTTATGTGTATCTTAGAAGAGTTTGTAATTAAGGTCACATCCATTTGTGTTTAAATTCTAAGAATAGATTTAGGTTTCCTATTCCAAGAATTTCGATTTGATATATTATTTATCATAATTTTTAAAAATTGAAATTGGTGACCGAGGCTGCAGGTTAAATTAAACTTTGTGAGATTGATTCAAATTTTTTGTAAGTTAAAAATAAATTTGCAAAAATATGATATTTGGAAGGTTTTTTTTTCACGAAACTCTAGTCAACAAAATCATGTTGATTACTCCTTCTCCTTTTTGACATATCAAGTTGATAACTTATAGCTTAAATAATTTTACTTGAGAAGTTTAAACACTTCTATCTGAAGTCTTAACTCTACACGTACCATGTAAGATACATCAACATCAATGGATATTTTATCTACCACAAGATTTGTGAACTTCAGACCTAATCTTTTATTTAAACGGCTTAACCTTATGTCGCCTAATACTATTTTCAAACCTCACCTGACTTGATGATGATAACAGAAAATTATATTCTTTTTTTTTTTTTTTTTTTTTCTCTTGGTAACTGCTCTCAATAGGCAAGAAACGTTTACATTTGTGTAAACTCAATTTTTTTTTTACCTTTAGCTAAAGAAGAAAACAGAGTTGTGTAAGAATCTAATCTAAAGTTAAGAAGAAGAGCAACAAAGAAAGCAACAAAACCATTTATGAGATGTTTTAAACTCTGCTTTTTGCAGTCTCTGTTTGTCACTCCCTCTAGTCATCTCATCATCTACTACCTTCTTCGAAGAACTGTAGCAACATAAAGAAAACTCCGGTAGGCTTTTCGATTGAAACAATCACAGATTAAAGAAGACCAATGTGAGAATCTGGAAGTAGCAATCTACCTGGAACAGCAACAGCAACTCCAACAGCTCCAATGGCAGCAGAAGAGCCAGCCACAAGAAGAATTGTAATCACAACTTGGCCATCTGCACCAGGAGAAGCACGAGCACGGGCAACATTTTAACCGTTTGCAGCAAAAGAAGTTGTAATCACAACTTGGCCATCTGCAGCAGGAGAAGCACGGTCCAGTGTTCTTGCAACACAACCAAGAACATCTCTTCTTCTGTTGCTGCTGCTGTGTCATCTTCTTCTTTATTGCCTTCTTTTTTTCTTCTTCTTTTTCGTTCTGCATTAAAACAACAATTAATCAAAAATAAAGTTTCTGAAGACTACTACAATGAGATGATGGTATAAAGTAACAAAACTCACATTGGATATGAAAATGACTGCGTGCTGCTCGGAGCTTCGTCTGAGTTATTGCAATCTCCAATGTTCCTCCACGATACATTTGAGTTCGACGACTTATCCTCACATTCTCCACTCGCTTTGTCCTCCATATCAAAGCTCTTTCCTAGATCAGAAGAATCAGCCGGACCATGAATAGCAGGGCAGAACGATAACAGCTCTCCCGATTTTGTGATCTCTCCAGACTTGAAATCACGGTAACTAAACAACTCATCTCTTGCTATCGCGTTATCACCTATGCTGAGACTAAACAGAGAATCATTTGAAAGTGTGCTCAAATTCTTCTCCAAGGTCGGTAACGAGCTTCTCTGAGGTTGATCAGATCCTTCTCTATCCATCATTTGAACAGAAGGCGACATAAGCAAAGGTTCCACTGAAGCATTAGTTACACCAGACACTTGTGACCCTGGTGTGTCTGATGAACCTTGTAACTCGCATAATTTAGAAGAAAGGCTTAAGAGCTCCTTATTGTGTACGCTACTATCGAAAGATAAGCTGGATTTCCTTTCTTTTGCATTGATCTCGAGTATATCCCCTGAAGAGGTTGGAGACAATGAAGACAAGGAAAGAGATGTAGATCTTCTAGTGGTGATCTCTGGATCTGCCTCGAGACGAACATCACTGACCCCATAACTAGCAATGCTCCCCAATTGAAACAAAACCGGCTTCTCATCATTCACTTCTTTGATTGTTGGTCTTGGATCGAAACTCTTATTATTATCTGATTTTCTATGCTTCTTTAGATGATAAGCCTTTCTATTTTTTCCTTTCTTGTGATTCGTTTCCATAGCTGAAAGAAAAAATGAAAACTTCATCACCTTCTTTGAACTCGCTTCACAAATGCACGAAAAGGAGATGTTTTCAAGAACACAAGATACATCGTAGAATGACTGAACGAACCAATCAGAATCCTTCAAATCTAATCTTTTGTAAAGGACAACAAGACCCTAAGTCCTTGAAGTCTTTAATTTCTTCAATGATAAAGCAGCATAAAGAAGAATTATACAAGAGTAAAACAGAGAACTTACTTATATCTATGAATATCCATGTAAAGTTCCAATGAACCCTAGCTCTTTGAACCTTATACTTTACCCGCAATGGCTCCCTCCGTAAGTAATCTTCTCTTCACGATTCTTCTCTGTCTATAAACCAAATTGAAACTTAATACAATTTTGCAAACTGTAAAACCAAATGGGCAAAAGCTTCACAGAACAAACAACAGAAATATAATGATGAACTCATGAAAGTTGTGATCTCAATAAAGGCAACGAATCTCCATACAGGAAACTGTAAAATCTATCCTTGAGATATTAGAACAATGAGAAATTCATGAAACAAACACACAAAAAGGACAAATCCTTTCAAAATTTTGAGGGTAAAAAGGAAAAAGGTTGAACAAAATTGAAAGAATTATTCCATTTGGTCTTTCTTTTTTGTTTTCCTGCAGATTTCTAAAACCAAAGGCATTCCTACAATTTAGGGATTAGTTCGTCTTAATCTATCTTGGCTGCTTTTGGCGCCATCTTTTTTTAACTAAAAACTCTCCTATTTGATGCTTTCTATTATTAGCAATGCAAACTGTCACAACACCAGAAAGAGACGACAATACATCGATGAGAGACATGTCTTTGGCTTGTGTCCTGAAAACTTTTATCATGTGTTGAGACCAGCCCAGTTCTTGAAGGCAACAAGAGATTCCATTTTCTTGTAGTTCCTCTTCCTCAGCTTTGGCAATCTAAGTTTCTTGTGAGTCTCCATGAATGCTTGCTTATACCTCCACTTATCCACAAATATCTTCATCTCCTGAGATTTCTCTACCACTTGCATCACTGCATCAAAGAACCCTCCTTTCACCAATGCGTACAAGAACGCATCCACTAGAGCATGGTCTAGTTTGGACCTCTTCTCTGCCTCCATCGACGATATCTTACCTTTAATCTCGTTCCACAAGAGTAGGACGTTGAAGTACTTTTCACCGCTCACGTATCCATTAATCAAGGATAAGTATGTCTGGTTGTTCGGCTCATACCTGAGGAAAACCATCCTTCTGAATGTCCTCCTTGCATCTTCCAAACGCCCAGATTTACAGAACGCATGAATAATCGAATTCCAATCATGGGAATTCACTTCGACACGAGGGTCTTCAACAACTTCATCTAGAAACGCTGCCATTAACTCAGGTCTCTGGTTCTCAAGGAGACCTGTCATTATTGTTAAGTAGCTCCCTTTCAAATCCGCCACTCTTGTTTCTCTCATATCCCTAAACAATGTAAACGCAGATATGAAATCCTGGTTCGTCATGGAAGCTTCAATCAAAGCATTATAGATCTCGACATCTAATTGAAGCCCAAAGCTGTTGATCTCTGTAACCAGCTGAGTAGCTTCAGCTGTTCTGTACTCTTTGCAATAAGCTTTTAAGATTGGCAAATAAACCCCAATCCCCACAGATCCTCCTCCTTGAGCAATCATTTCCTCAAGAATACTATGTGCTTTATCCGAGAATCCAAGATTAACACAAGCATTAATGATTCCAAACCCAACTGAACTGTCAGCATCAATGGAAGAAGATTCCAACTTCTGAGCTTCGATTATCACTTTCGCTAAACTCTTAACGCTTTTACTCTCTATAAACCCTTTAACCAATTCACAGTACGTTTCCTCACCGAAACCCGATTCTTTCCCATCTCCTTTAAGACTATGCAGTATAACATCAGAAACACTATCTAAATCACCACTTTTAACATACCCACTAATCATATTGGAATACAGAATTCTTCTACTTGCAAACCCAAAACCATCCATCAAATTCTCAAGCTCACTTATCTTCTCTCGAAGCCCCTTCCTCGCATACAAGTAAGCAAGAAACCCAAAGCTCAATTCATCAGGCTTCACACCCAAAACAGCCATAGATTCAATCACATCGTCAGCATCAGCCAAAGATTCCAACAAGCGACAACACGCTTCAAGAGCCGCATTACTAGCTACCAAATCCGGTTTCATGAAATCAAGCTTCTCATCTACAGCAATTCTACAACTTTCCTTAAACACCTTAAGAAACGGAGCCAAGCTTCCATTTTCTCTACAGATATCAATAATCAAATGCCCCCAGAGATCAAAAGGAACAAAGTACCTATTTTTAAACATACACTTCACTAAAGCCAACGCAGGCCCTGCAGCTTTCGCAAGTTTCATTGACTCCATAAGCGTACGAACAGTCTCAAACTCAAGCAAAATCGGATCTTTCTCAATAACATAAGCAGCAGAAGCAAAAGCTCGCTTGAGTCTGTGTGCAGTGTTTTCACCGCTTTCTTCGGTATTGGACAAATGGGTAATAAGAGAATTGATGAGACGCTTCTCCGGGAGAGAAGAAGCGGCGGTGAGAGATCGAAAAGCTTTCCATGCTTCATCGGTGTTGTGGGTAGTTAAAGAATCGTGGAGGGTAGATTCAAAGGAGGATTTTTGATCTTGGGTTAGGGTTTTGGGGTTTTGAGGCGGCGATAGTGAAGGTGTGAGAGTGATTGGCTTGTTAGAGAAGAGAGAGGGTTTAAGAAAAGAGTAAAGGGAAGGACTTTCAGGAGAAGACGAAGAGAAATGTCTTCGTGAGATTGAAGTTAGAGTTTTTCTGAACATTCTATGAAGCAGTCGAAGATCATCAATCGGGTTGAGAGAGACAACAAATTCTCCGCCATATTCAATTTGCTTCCGAGTTTTAAAACTCTAAAGTATAAATAGTTTTGACACAATGTAAGAACAAAAGAAGCTGGAATAGCTCAGTTGGTTAGAGCGTGTGGCTGTTAACCACAAGGTCGGAGGTTCGACCCCTCCTTCTAGCGTTTTTTTATTACTATCACAAGCCCAAAAGATACGGCCACACATGAACCAAAAGACCACTATTAAAGCCCATGACAAGTAAGATATGCTATGTGTATTTTGAGAATTGAGAGAGCCACCTAAGTTACTAAAAAGATCATTAGCCATTTAGGCATTTAGCCTAGTTGGTTACACAAGCTTGTGTATAAAGAGAGTTGAGAAAGGAGAAAAGGAGATGCAAAATATTCTGAAGCTAATAATCAACGAACTTTAAGAATCAGCTTGGAAATGAAAAGCAGCTTTGGGAGAAGTTGAGGATCAGATTCTTGACCACCACTACCACTAACCGCACCCGATTCCAAAACACACAAAAGAAAACTCAACAGATTCTATAGACTATAAAACTATATTCAATTCCAAAGTCTTACCCATTTTATGTATAGATTTAGGAGCCATCTTAATTTGGGAGACCAAAATTTAATCTCTCTTGCTCATTGTCAACAATCATTAGGTTAACACTTTTAAGACCATTACATCTCAACTTCCCACGTTGTTAGTAGACAGACTGGAGAAAACAAAACCCACATCGAAAGAGACACTCTTTTGATCGTTAGCAAATAAAGTGATTCCTCAATCGTTTTGTTTGACAAGTTTATTATATAATTCCAAAGGTGAAAGAGACCAAACATAGATTTCTCATACCTTGTAAATAGTTTTGAAGTCACAAAATTTACATGCTTTTTATTTGGTTGCATTTGTTTTGATCGTTATTGTAACCGGACTTAAAATGGTAATGATGGTACGTATTAAAAATATGAAAGATCCAAGTAAAAAGGATAAAAAAGAATAGAAGAAACAAAAGAGCATCTCACCCTCCGGATTTACAAAAGTAAAGCTCTTAGTTAAGTTGTACATACCCAAAATACTAGCTACTACCAGCATTATGTCTCTCGGCCAACCTAATTCCAAACCCTAGAAAGACGAGTGAAAAAAAGATGGCTCTATCAACCATGAGCCGTTGGCAAGATCTGATCTCTCAGCAATCCAATTACAACCACAACCTCGTGTGACTTCTAAGCCCTCATATGACAAGCATAGCTACACCGGATAATAAGAAGACCACCATGTTAGTTCGGACAGACAGCTTCTCTCCAGCATTTGGATCACCAAATCCCCCGCTCCCAGTCGGTCCAAGAGTAGTACCCGGGAACACCGACGATGATGATGAAGTAGGCATCCCGCTGGAATTCGGCATCCCAGTGTTAGTCCCTGTGTTCGGAGTCCCGGTAGTTGGGAAGCCACTAGTTGGAGTCCCACTGGTCGGAGTTCCGGTGGTGGGGGTGCCAGTAGTCGGAGTTCCGGTGGTGGGGGTTCCAGTGGTTGGAGTTCCGGTAGTTGGGGTCCCAGTAGTTGGGGTCCCAGTAGTTGGGGTTCCTGTGGTAGGAGTGCCACTAGAGCTGCAAAAATAGTCAAAAACATTAGCGATCATTTGTTACAAGATAATTAATAATGATGCTCATCTGGATCATGTGAATGATGGACTGTCTTTGATGTGAATTCTCTTTTTAGTAAAGGTGAAATGAACAGAAATGATGAATGATTCAAAATATAGAAAAAACATTTAATCAAGATTCTTTTGCCTATTCATTTGGTCTTAAATCACTATCATTGTGTCTCCACAAAGACAAATTAATAACCAAATTCAAAAAAAAATAAAAATAAGTTAGTCGGTGGTAAAAAGCAAATCTACCCAGAAACTTTATGGAGATTAAGAATCAAACATTACTAAACTCATCTAAACAAAGAATGAATCAAGAATCAAAAACATACCTTGAACCAGTTAAACAGCTTGAAGCAGCTGCAAGAATTAGAGAAACAGAGAATCAGTATAAAAATAGAGAGACTTGATCTGAAATATGAAGTGGGTATTTTTGTGTAAAGATGAGTACTTGAAGGAGGGGTGTTAGAGGGGGAGGCGGCGCCGTTAAAGTCACAGGTGGCACCGGAGGAAGCTTTTTTCTGGTAGTAACTGTTGACAGCGACGTCACAGTGGCTTTTGACGGTGTTAGGTTGGAAACAAGCTCCGGAGGTCTGGATCTGACTACAGTCAGCTCCGTTTCCACAAGCGTAGTCTATTGCCTTCTGAAGAACTTGCTCGTTCCCATCTTTGCACACACAATACACTGCGTCTGAAATTTACCAAACATACAAAAACAGATTCAGATTCATTACAGAGCTCGAGCTAGATAGAACACTAACCCACAAGACAAAAGTTGAGATTTTTGAGGAATCTGAGAGTTAAGATTGAAACGGGTCGGTCTGTTTAAGATCCCATACTAAAATTCTGACACTAAATGGTGAAATCTAAGAGAAAGGAGAAACATTTTGTAGCTAAAAGAGGTTAAAAAAAACAGAGGAAACAGGGCTTACTTGAATAGGTGAACATGGAGATAATCAGACAGAGAGGAAGTAAAACCGACATGATTGTGTAGTTCAGAGAGATCTGTTGTTGTTGGAGAGAATCTAAAGGAAAAGGCTTTTTAGATCGAACTTGTTTAGGTTCAGAGTTTTGAGACGGTGAGAGATGAGTTTTAGGCAGCGAGAGAGAGAGAGTTCTAGACAATAACGGCAAGTGTGTGTGACTATGTTTTGATAAATAATTATATACGACCATGGTCCAACACTTTTTTCTTTTTTGGGCATTATTTTAATAGATGTATTACTTAAAATACCTGATTAGTAGTAGTAGTATTTCATGTTCTTTGTGCCTCTTTGCCTCTTTGTTTTGGCATTGTTGTTCAATTGTAGTGTTGTTGTCTGTTTCCTATCCTTTTGGGCTTAGTTTCCGAAGATATCTTTTCATCCGTCGGCTTAGTTTCCGGGATCATGTTTTCGATCGTCGGCTCTTTGTATTTCATCTTGTATTCCATCTATGAAAATCAAAATTCCAGTGAAAAAAAAAAAAAAAATAGTAGTAGTAATTAACATCACAATTGTCAAAGTTGATATTGCAAGATAGTATTAGTGTATGACTTTGATCAAAGGGTATACCGTTTTAATAATTACTAATTACAAAAATAATATTAAAATGTTATTTTAATTATTTGTACCATTTTTTTATATATTTAAAACCGTTTTTAATTATTTTAGTATCGTTTATCACTTGTTTAACCCGTTAAAAAATTTGTACTGATTTGTATAATCACCAATCAAATTCTATAAATCTATTAAAAATTAATTGAAAATTTAATACAATAAAAGTTATTTGTATCTTGATACTTTCATAAAATACAAGTTTTCAAGATATCAATGATCAAACGTGACAAAGATATAATCCATTTGATACATTAAATATTTACACTTTTACACAATTAAGGAAAATGACAGCATTTTATAGTACTTCAATGATATAAATAAATTCGTTTAATTTTTTTTGGGATAAATTAGATGTTTAGATTAAAAATAGCATTAAAAAAAAAGAACGCATCAATTCAATGCTAAAAATCAAATGATCCAAAGTGTTTAAATTCAACTAACAAAAAACAAACAGAAGTGTTTTGAGTTTTACTTAATCAAGGGACAACAAAACTTTAATAATCGGTCTAACTATTCAATTTTAAAATAAAATCAGTACGTTTTGGCAGTGACAACAAAAAAGAATCAAAGAAATTAATGTTCCTTTTATGTATAACAAAAGTGTAAGAAGAAATTGAGTAAATAACAAAAGATAGTAAAAAAGCCTACACGAACCAATGTAGTTTTGCAGAAAAGAATTAAAAGCATTCTTGTCTTCTAGTCTCTGTTCTTGTGAGACTTATTCGGCGCACCGAAAGATTATAGTAAAAGTGGACTAAAATGCTTTCTTATTTACAAATTTTGCCACCTCCTCGATTTACGTATCTCAGATGAGTTCTCTCTACCTTTTAAACACCTGTCCAAAAATAATAACTCATTTTTAGCAACGGTCAAAATTTACGCCCAAAAATATGGTTTAGTGAGTATGCAAAAACTATATATTATTTTAAATCTAGCTTAGAAGTTAAACCTAAACGCTAAACTTTTATTTGATTTTTAAAACCAACAAAAACTTGGCTTATACTTTTTCTTCTATAAAACAACACGTACAAATTCAATTCATCCACTCTTCCAACAATTTTGAGACTCAAAGAACACATTTCAAAATTGGTTTTATTGAGGATTTCAATTTTGTGTAAGAAGCAACGGTAACAAAAAAAAAAAAGGATGGGTTTCGGATTTTATTAAACGAGCGAACCGAGCCATGTGCACAAGACAACCTTTGCCGTCATACTACGACACGTGTGATGTGCCACACACAACACACATTTGCACACGAAAAATGGTACAGTTTCTTTTTTTTTTTATTTTGTTCTGGTTTTATTAAAAAATCATTTCTGTTTATTTGTGTGGACATTCTTGAAAGTTGAGCTGTTGTTAGTCGGTGCCTCAGCTTTTCAGTGAAACATTTTTATCAGTATTTTCTTTCTTTTTTTCAATTGCAGACATTTTCGAACGTTACTTACATGCTTTTGGGTTGTCTTGTTACTCCCAAGCCCAGGCAACTTTGTTGGGCCGTAACGTTCGTAATATCTCATCTAGATATACCAGTATCCAGTAGTATCAAACCTGAATTTATTTATGGTGGAGACTGGAGAAGCAAGAGAGGTGGGAGCACTAGCCTCCTCCTCCATAGATGTATATTAAGCATTGTTTTTTTTTTTTTTTTTTTTTTTTTTAAGCATTGTTAATATTTGGGATTATTGTATTTTGTAATATATATGTTATTTTACAGAGAAATTTTGACAAAACTTTATCTTCTAATTTCAACCACTAAACCATAGAGTTTTAATGATTGTTTTAACGTTTATTATAGTGAAGATATATTCCATATTCTATACTCTCACATGCGATCACTTCTCTGAAAACCTAAACAATGGGTATAAGTGTATAACCGATCCAAGAAAAAAGTGAGGCTTGGTCTGAGATATATGAACCAAAAGAAAATTTTATATGTAAGAATATTTCTAACCGAAAAAGATAAATCAAACACTGTTATATAAGAAATATGGACCTCCTCACTTATTATCAATTAGGTTTAAATTTAAAAGATATAATCTCACCGAATTATATATGACAAATTATAATGGTAGCTAGCTTACACATACTGTATATACTATTATCAACAAAAAAATGATTATAGAAAATATACTACATATATAGTCGGAAAGATGGTTTTCATTCCTCCATGTTCCCTAAAAAAAAGTTTGAGATGGACTCGCGTTATCATTGTGTTTTAGATAAAGAGATATGTGCACGAAACTCTTACAATATCGACTTATATATGTGAATATTGTCATGTATTGTTCGATATTGTTCCGATTATTCATGCCTTGACATATATACAGTAAGTCGATATTGTTCGGATTATTCATGCCTTGACCCACATTATAAGATATTTTCATCACCAAAGCATTTGATTATCATTTTTTCAATAGAAATACGCATTGCGAATTCTGTTCTCCAATATAAAATGGGGATATTCTTGCAATCTGTAAAGTTCATAAAGGTAAATCAGATATCGCCCTAAAGTTATAAAGGTAAAATTGCATAAAATAATTGTAAAATAATTGATAAAAAGAATAATAAAAACAACGTTAAATTTCCTCCACGTTCTTTTTATTAGGTGCACATACATGCATCTAAATGTGGGATGGATTCACGATTGAGTAGATTAATGTTAAGTTACATCAAAATTATATCTGGATATATAACTACATAAAAACATATACATGAAGAAATTGCAAACGTACCGGTGGTTAGGTGCTATATATTGATCAACAATGAAGTAATATATATGGTTATATATAGATCCATGGTTACAACGCCATATTGGTTTTATATCCTCCCTGCATTGTCCGGTCTGCAATCTCTTCTATAATGAGTTAGCACCTCCTTAGCTGTTGTTACCAAGCTTAACTGGGAGATTATATCAAACAAAACAGATACGTAGATATGTTACATTTCATCTTTGAAAATAGCATATGTTAATAAATACATTTCTTGTTAATGTCAATGGTGTATAATTTTGTCATGTTGTTTATCTAGCTTCTTATAACAAATCTTTACAAATCAAATTATATACATACTTTAATAATTAACAAATATACACAAATGTACGTAGTAAAGGTTTCAATTGTGAAGCTAAGCTAAAGATGCTCATACGTCTCTTCTAACTCATTTTCTTCCTTTTTCCTTTATTTGCTGTCTTTGGCTAAAACAGAAAGCATTTATTCCTATGACCTAACACATTACCCCTCAGAACTTATCCTACATGCCTCGTGTACTTCTTATATACATGCATGTACATACACATATACATATACATATACATAGAATAAAGATTGATGCACCATGCAGGACATAGAATCACGCATACATTCAATTGTGAACACTTACAAAAGGTTATATATATAAAGGGAAAAGGCATCATCGTGACACTGAGTGGAGTAGTTGAGCTTCGGTTTAAATATTTGTTGACATTTCTATAAACCTGCCGACCCATTTTGGGCTCATCTCTATCATACATAAGTAAGCCTATATATATGCCTTATAGCAAGAGGAGTGAGACAAAAGGCACTATTATATACCAGTGCTTGATCCTTATACAATCACTAGTAAATATATACATATATATATATATATATATATATGTGTGTGTGTATTTAAATATATATACACATATAGATGCAATCATTCACTTATTATATATGCATGCATCATCCAACTTTATGATATATATGTTCTGCAAAAATGAATACTAGATGAGAAAGAAAAAGCAATAGCCGACATATCTATCGAGTGATCTAAATTGTTCCACAAGAGAGATAATGGGTCGCATCAATGATTAGACCAACACGATATTTGATCCTAATATTCATAAGTACATCTACATCAGATAGACTTTGTTTCTGTCAAAGAATGGGAATTTTATCCCACTTATGATATCGCTTGATGTGGATTTTCAGCTTCGGACTAAAACGAAAAACCCTTTATGCCTTTGTGGTCCAGTTAAAGTTTTTAAACCCTTGCAAACCAAAAGATATATATTTTGATCTCTTTATAGAATTGATCACTCCATGACTATATAGACAAACATTAACAAATACAAACATATATCTATCTATATGTATATGTACTTGTGCAAGTGCTTGAATTCACAACAAATTATATATGACGACATCTAAGAAGTTACCTCAAGGATTGCGCATAGTTTGAGGGACAATATCACCAAGTAAGCCTTCCTCTGATGGGTTAGACACGGCAGGTGCATCTTCAGTTGTAGATTGGGGTAACCGCGGTGAAGGAGCATTATTGTCTCTGTGAATTTGATGAAGGAGTTCTTGGTAATAATAAGGATTTGGTAATGGAGGAGGGAGATGGTGATGAGATGTGAAGCTATGAGGATCGTGTGCAGTGAGGATTCCGCCACGAGGGAATCCAATGGTTTGATGACAATGTTGTCCTTCGTATGTTGTGATCACAATCGATGGATCTTCGGATGAACGTTCTACTCTCTTCTTCACCGTGCATCTGCTGTTTGTGCATCTATAGTAGCTCCTATATATCACAACAACAATTAATGAGAGATCTTTTAATTACCTTTCATATCCGTTAACTAAGAGAATGATCGAAGAAACTGATGATATATAGAAGACCTTGGGAATGGGCTATTCTTGACGGCTTTTTGTCCATATTTACGCCATCGGTATCCATCTTCAAGATTATCCACATCACTCTTGGTCATGAATGCAAATCTCGGTTGCCGAATTCGCTTTTGAGCCTTCTTCTTCTCCTTCACTCTACAAAAAAAACATCAAAAGATCAGTACATTAGAATCACAGAGTAACCAATGAATCAAGCCAAATTCTAAAAGATCTCACAAAACATGGATTCTAATCCTAATATTGTCACAGTCAAACAACCACGGACAAGAAAAAAGAGAGTTTTAATAATACGCAATGAACTTGAACATCTAACCAAACAAAAAAACGTTACTTGACTTCCAATACGTTACTATAACATTTTCATTAAAATCATCCATTCTACATTGCTATAACATTTTCATCCATCTTTTAAGTTAAAACCCTACATACGGAACATCTTATGAAACAACAATCGACGAGACAAGAATTGTTAAAAAAATCAGTGCCTTTTTAATAACTTTGCTAGATAGATACTATGTAGATAAACATCATTAAAACGTGAGACACTTTTTGACCTAACATTACTATAATAAAAAAAAAAAGGACGAAGAGAAAAAGAAGATGTAGAGTGCACGCTAATATCACAGCCGCAATAGCGGCGGTGTTGTTCCTCCCATTCATCATTATTTACTCCAACTGCCACCGACGATTCTTTACATAATTACTAATTTCTCCTTCCCTCTCCAAAAAATTCTTATGTACTGTACGGACGAACTCATCACTCTCCATCTTTCTTGCGATATGCCAAAGAAATGACTCAAAAGGAGGAAAAATAAATGAGAGAAAAAATGGGGTTTTTGGCTTTGGTCCCAAGGCAAAACTAAAACCCTCCCCACCACCACCAACACCAAGATGATGAAGTAAATTACGATCGGACCCCTGAAAACAAAAAAAGACACACGTGTTTCTCGTCTCAGTAAAAAAAAACTCACGGTGTCTCCGGTGGTGGTGTTTTCTCGGCGGAGGCGGTTGAGTTCTCGACCAGATCTTCACTTGAACTTGAGGTAGCGGAGGGATTATTATTATTAGAGGTGGAAACCTCTGTAACGGCAACAGAAACGGCGGCGGATGAGGAACAAGAAGAAGTGACGGTGGTAGGTTTGACTCCGGTGGTTGGTGTTAAATCGGAGTCGAATCGGAGAGTGTGAGGATGATCGGAGGAGTGGTGGAGGTTCCATCCGAAGTCAGAGAGGATATTGGAAGTGTCTCTGTCGAAGAAGTCAGAATCTTGAGATGTCAGTTGTCTCCAAGCAGAGTCGTCGTTGGTCAGATCGGGATTATCAGGATCGTTCATGATAAGAGAGTAGTGATAAGAAGAAGATAGAGAAAGAGAGGTAGAGAGAGAAGCTAGGGTTTGTTCTTGATTGGAAGAGAAAGAAAGAAAAGAGAGGAAAGAGTGAAAAAAACTTTGAAGCCCGTTAAAGTGCAGTGTCTCGTCAAGGACCGATCTCAGACTCTCTTTCCATTGAGATTTTTTTTTAATTTAGTTTTGGAAATTGCGTAAACACAAAAATTATTAATAATAATTCAAGAGAGAGAGAGAGGAAAAAAAAGAGAAGGTTGAAAAAAATGGAACGTCAACGTCGAAAGGGTCAAGTGAAACGGAACGGGAGGCTGTTAGTAGCGGAAGTGAGAGGCCCACGTCTACTTTTCCGTCCCTAGATCGACTCCTATTTTTAGACTTGGATTTGCATTTACTCTTTGCTTACCTCTTCCCTATTTTGATCAATTATAAAGAAAATATTAACCTGAATTAGACTTCTTATTAAAATTGGTACCACTAATTCAAAGACGAACGAGTAGCAAGATTTTTTACTGTTTGTTTTATAGTCGTTAGGCTACGACGTTAGCAACAACGATAACGTTTAAGTTTTGTTTGTTTTCTAGTTGTTGGTTCATGGAGACTTTGTTTTTTACACATCAAGGAGTAGTCAATGTTAATGTTGTTGGCAACTACAAAACAAACATAATTGAGTTATTGATCTTTGTTGATGTCGTGAGCGATTACGAAACAGATATACGAACTATCACAACCATAGTTCGATTTGGTATAAATTTCTGTTATATGAGTCCATGAGATTTCTTTTTTTTTTGTGTTAAAAAGAAGCTTTAACTTACAAATACCACCGACTTATTGTGGTTTTGATGAAACGAGAAAAAAAAAGCATTTTTTGAAGAGAAAAGAGGAATTATTAAAAATGAATAAAGTATGTATATTTAAATTTTGATTGAAAAAAAAAATTGATTGAAAATTAGTTAGAAAGTAAATAATTGGTTCCTGCGTGTTGTCCGTGTTGGATATGACAAGAATCTTAGCGAATGTAAACCACAAACAATTAACCGGCCACGTGGAAATGCTTAATCCTCATAAGTCATATATGATGATTATATCATTCTAATCATATTCACATGTTATTCCTTATTTATATTCCCATAATTGCAATCCATCAAATAAACGTTTGCGGTCGCACTCAAGCAAAACCATATATATATTTTCAAGAATCATGTAAAATCACTGTTGAAAAAATTAAACGACATCGAATTTTTTAAAATACCAAAATCTATTTGGTTCAAATTAATCGATATTTGTAAAATAAACGGATTAGAGGAAGACACATGTCTAGGTGATGTCTAACCAGTATTAGAATATTGTTGAAATCATGTAACATATGTACCACACGCTACTACGCTAACAACATATATAGATACAGCTGTAATACAAGTTGTGTTTTTAAATTTTTGATTATAGAAAAACAGCTATAACTTTATCGATATGCACTTTTGTGAAAATATATGGATATAAATAATTTAGGTTTATCATGTGTATTTTAATCAAAGAATTAAGTATTAATACACATCTAAATAGCAACATTATATTATTCTTTACCATATTTGGGTTTGGTCTATCGATCTCGGTGCTATTAGAACGCTAGCATCTACGTCGAGAATCGTTTGTGCGTACACGCAAGAGGGACACCTACTTGTATTTCCACAATCCATCTATATCCTCGTAGGCCCTTTGATTCGATATACATATCCTCGATATATTTATAAATAGTGGATTATGAATAGGAAGTATCAATAATGGTCCTCTCAAAAAAAAAAAAAGATATCAATAATGGGAGCAAATCATGTTGGAAATCAAATGATATAACGTTAAATGGTTACTAATTAAATAAGTGTTTTTAAGTTTCAAGGATTTACAACTTAAAATATATTATTAGCTATAAAAGGACTGACCTATGTTTTTATATATCATTTAAAGTTGTTGCTCACTTCTAATGTTATATATTTATCATATAAATAGGAAATTAAAATGATTTAACAAAATCGGTACAACGGATACAAAAATTGGTAATGTCATCTATGTACATATCACTATATCTCTTACCGTTTAAAAGTATCATGCCATCTCTTATTGTTAAACAATTTTTTACCGCTTCATGTTACCGTTAAATTCCATTGATTTATTCGTAACAATCTTATATGCACAAACAAAAAAAAAATCATATATATGCACAAATTTCTTATACCATATTTTATTTATAATTTATACACGAATATTATAAAGTTGGAATCCAAATTGTGATATACAGTATCGTGTTGCGGCTACAAGCCCCCGTCACTAGCTACAAACTACTTTTCCTCATATCATTATTCACAAAATGTAAACCTAATTGAACATGAATGAAATCGTTATTTATAAATTATAAATGAATACATCAAATGTGAGCAATTTGTTATTCGACTGTTTTGTATCAAAAAAACAAAATAATTAATTATTCTGTCTGTTTGTGTTTCACAATTTGGTTAGATTCTAAACACTGTACACAAACGGTTTTTTTTTGGCAAAAAAAAACACTATTACGAACATTTTTTAATAAAATTTTCTTTTGCAAAAGTTAATGGATGAATCCAAATTTTTATAACTTTTTTTTTGTAAAATCTACTGCTAGGTTTGAACGTTTACGATTATAGTTGATAAATATAATTTATAAGATGTAAAAAAAATTCTTAAAATGCACACTAAAGACAAAATAAGGTAAAATATATATGTATTATATATATATTATGGGTAAAATATTTGATTAGCTAGCAGTATAAATAGTTGTGATCTAATACTTGTGTTAGTGAATAAATAACTCGTCTTATGAATCAAAGATCAAATTTCATCATCTAAAAAAAAAAAAAAAAAAAAAAAATTTCATCATCTACAAAAGTTGATGTGATTTTCACTTGATTATTATAGACGTTTTTTGTGACAAAAATATTCGAATTTCTATTACCCTAAAAATAAAGAGAGTTAAACTCTTAATCACTGATACACAAATGACTACGCGATCCATTATAAATAATGAGATGAGTACGCGTCGACAAAAGTGGGGGCCATGGTGCGAGATCGAGTCATAAAGTGACATAAGTCAAGTGGCATCATCAGTCAGGAGCGATGAACCTTGAACTTGGTATTCCATCACACAATTTCCATGGAATTTAACGCAATTAGACTTTCTCTTAATTAGCATTTAATCATCATCTTTTAACATTATAAAATCAAACTCCATGTTTTCGAGAAAATCATAATCATTATTGCAAATCTAAAAGAGAGATAGTACTAGATTTACGAATCATCCATGATTCTAAAACGACCACGTTTGCTCCTTTTTGGAAAACGACAGTCACGTTTACAATCCAATTAACCAATGAACTGACCTCATAACAAAAAAAAACAACTAAAATTCCCTATTAATTCCATTTTCTATAAGAGAAAAGAAGATACAAATAGTGTACTAGGCTTAGACCAACACCCTTGTATCTTGTTTCTGTTTGTAATCTCATGTAAACACTTATTTTACTAATGAAAATGAATGGAGGAGAGTAAAAAAAATACACTCCTTATATTTGGGTCAAATCTGTATATATCACAATGGGCCGTACTAATTATGAGCCCACAAGATCCATAAGCCATCTCTATTATTTGGCGGCGAAATCTTGTTTCTTGGTAAATTATTTCAGACTCGGAAGAATAAAATTACAAAATGGATTCACTTAGAGCACCCACAATGGTGCATGTGAGAGTGTGAGTGTGAGTGTTAATTTATTAATAAAATAATGTAAGAGTTGAAGTTTAAAATAATAAAATAATGTAAGATTTTATAATAAAATAATAAAAGAAGACAATTTTTCTATACACAATACTCGGAGCCAACAAAACCAAGACACCTGTCCCTTACAACCGAGTGTAAGTTTACACTCGCATTTTGACTCCAAGCGTACTGTTCTCTTATTTTTGTATATTTTATTACTCACACCCATACACAAATTACTCCATTGTGTATGGTCTTATGTATATAAACTATAGAGATAGAAGTGAACTAAAATTTTTTTTTGACATATGGATAATCTTCTAGAATCTTTCATGATTCTTCTCTAACCGCACCGATTAGTCTTCGATCTTTATCTTTAGTTCTCTATCTCAGTTGGTCTCTCTAGTATAAAGTATTTGGGTTGGGCTCCAAGCCTCAAACAGAAATCCTTCACAACCTACAATCTCTGGTTTTACTGTTTTGGTGACACAAACTAGAACATGTCGTAAGTGAAGGAAGAGATTTTGCAAAAACAGTGAAGAATGAAGATAACTTAAGGTTCACGAAACCACTCAATATTGCAACAATAATTTAACTTCTTGTCAAATTTATTGGCCAATCTTGTATTTTCCACATCTAAAACAGTAATCCTTCACACTTTTGTTCTGAAACAAATCAATTACAGAAAAAAGGAAATTTATGGTTCGGAATGTACAAGGTCACGGATTCACATTTATGGATATGGAAAATTTAACTTTCCTATAAAGACCCATCTTTCAATTTTCCCTATCTTACCCTCTTTTTTTAACCTAGATTTTTTTCTCATAATAAATCATACGTAACGTATCCACTGATCTAGCTAAGCATTAAACACTAAATTTCCAATTCACTCAATATCTTCCCTTCTCTCACACAACTTTCTTTTTCCAAGAATCTCTCTCTTTCTCTTTTTCTCTATTAGACAACACAACAAGACACTCGAAGATCTCTCTCTCTCCAACGATGAAGATCAACCGGAACCGTCCGATCAATATACTCATCGTTTTCTTCCTTCTAGCGACCGCAAGAGCAACAAGAAACTGGACTAACCGAACCCACCGAACCGTCCCTAGGGTTCAACACGCGTACTACGCATATCCTCACCGTTCATGCGAATCTTTCTCTCGTCCATACGCACGCTCTATGTGCATTGAGCTTGAAAGAATCCACAGAAGCAGTCGACAACCGTTGTTCTCTCCTCCGCCTCCTTCGTCGGAGATTGATCAAAGGTACGGCGTCGAGAAAAGACTCGTTCCCTCCGGTCCAAACCCACTTCACAACTGATTCAAGAAAAGAGCTAGCTAGGGTTCTTCTCAATTTTCTTGTAAATCTTTCTTCTTTCAATATCTTTCTTGATCTTTTTGTATTGTGCAACTACTACGTTATTAGCGAAATTAGTACTATTTCCATGCTTGTTTTTGGGCTTATTGATTGTGAAAATAGGGCAGAAACAAGCTTGGAAATAGTTTTATTTGCCAAGGATCTTGATCTTCACTTCCTTGTTATATTACTGCATCAAAAATCTTATTTTAAAACGAAACGGTAGATAAAAAAAAGAAGGTCTCTCCATACATTGTTTTGATTGAGACAGGAGGTTGAGATTTGAGAAACAAAAGAAACACATGAGTTCCATTAATTTGGGAGCTGAATCTCTCACTTGCTTTGGAGTTTTAAATAATAAATGGGCTTTAGAAATATGGGCCTATGCAATTGGATATGTTGGAATTTGATGGCCAAAAATCTTCCTCCTCCACACTCCTCGTCCCGGTAAAGATTATGATATGTTGGCAGTAAGAACTAGGAAGGTAGGTATTGAGATGTAGATGCAGACCAAGAAGAAGGTGCTACAAAGGCAAAAATGATCTATTTTGATATTTTCCAATTCTTTGAACCTTTTTTTTCTTTTTCAAATTCTTTTATTTCAAAGGATTTTTCTCTATTACTAGTCTAGATTTTTATGATCTACCTAGTTATTAAGAAAATAAAATACTTGTAATCGTTGAAAAACTAAAACTATTTACCACACTATTTATGAATCACAAAAATTTTAAAACATTAGTTTGTAATATTTACAAACAATCTAGTGTGTAGTATTTACAAAAGTTTTTTTTTTAAAAAAAAATCATTGAATGATGATGTGACAGACAGAAATAAATCCTTCAAAACATAAAAAAGAAAGAAAACAATTGTGATAAAAACTTAAAATTGAAGCTGTGACTCTTCCATAGCCAAAACTGATTATCATTTCATTTGTGCCACTCTAGATTGGTGGCCCACTGATAAGTGTGACTATGGCCAATGTCAATCTGGTCTCAACAATTTGGTATGTCCTATACACTTCTTATTATATTTTTCACACACTTTTAAAAACATCTCCTTTTCTTGGTTTCAGGATTTGTCTAATACCATCCTTCAAAATGATAAATTGTGAGTACACTATAATAAATAAATGTAACAGCATTTGGGGAAATGAGGATACGAGTTTGAGGATCGTTACAAGACCGGATGTGGTTAATGCTTAATCGGATTCTACACTTTTACGTACGTACGCAGAGCTAAAGTCACGTTTGGTCTAAAACAGAGGAAGGATATGGATTAGAGATTGGAACGCTAAGAACTCATATGATCTAATGAAATACTCAATCGAAAAGGGTTACAAGATCGATTCATACGAAGTTGGGAACGAGCTTTTTGTTCATCTAGAGTATCGGCGAAAGTGGAAGTAAAACAGTATGCACAAGACATGAAGAAGCCAAAGAGAGTGATGGAGAAGCTGTACCAAGATGAGAAAACTCAGCCTAAGGTTCTAGGAGGACCAGCTGGATTCTACGATGAGAGATGGTTTAACGAGTTTCTTCTTCACTCTGGTTTCTAGGTAGCTCTTTCTGTCTTAGATTTTGTTAGGTTGTTATGGTGGTTTCGTTATGAAGAGAAGATTAAATTTTAAATGATGATAAAAGGACAATCGTTCCTTACTGTAGCAAATTTTCTCTCTCTCGAAAGTTCTTCTTTTTTCCCAGATCTAGGTTCTTGTTAGGCATTGATCTTCAGTAAAGGTCCTGAGAATTTCAAAGGCATAGCAGGAGTGAGGCATGCACTTCTCTCCGTTGGCGGCATGGGTGGAGGTCCATAAGACGATGCAGCGGTGGTTCTTTCCCGGTGGAGGAGAGAGTTCCTGATCCGATTCCTCGGTTTGAGGACGCCGGAAGGAATTGCGGTGGAGCCTCTCACGGCTCAACCGACGGGATGGATGATATTGCTGCGGCGGAAGTTGTTTTGTGGACAGGTGGGGTTTTGTTGCTTATTTCGATGGTTAACTGCAGGTTCTTCTTGGATCTGAAAGGGCTCTCGTGGATTCTGGCTGTTGCGAGGTTGACTGAGCCATCACCTCTGTATAGCTGCCGTGGGTTGCTTCCGTCGTTCCGGGTTTGAGGTTGCTGTGTCTCGGAGAAGAATCTCGGTTCTCGGCACCGGAGGTTGGGGGCTTAGATCTGAGTGTCGTTTTGCTTGGTGAGGACTCGACAAATTGGGTGGCGGAGTGTCAGAGAGTTGATCTATGTCGTAAGGTTTGTTGCGGGTTCGTCTTGAAGTTGGTTTTGAATCGGGCAGGGATTCGAAAACTCCAAGCAATGGTTCGATCCGACGACAATGTCTCAAAGCAGTGGCCCTTGTTTTCGACGGCGCTAATAGATCGGATTCTTCGCCTCTGTCCACCGCCCAGATCTAACCTCGATTTCTGTGTAGGTCGCCGGAATTTCTTTATCCGTTTTTGTAACTGCAAGGCTTTTGTATTTCTCGGGCCTTAGCCCATTGGGTTGGCCATTTAATAAAAATTATAATTATTAAAAAAAAAAAAAAAAAAAAAAAAAAAAAAAAAAAAAAAATTTAAATGATGTTTGGAAAAAGTATTGGTTTTGTTAAGTAAAATACCATAAACTATATACATGAATTGCTTAACAAATCTCACTTAAACTAACAAAACTTCTCTTAGGAGACAAGGAATCTATCTAAATTGGGTAATCTCTTTGACCTACTGAGAGATCCTAAACTAGAAACCCTTTGTGAGACCCTAAGCTTATGACTTGAATTAAGGGAAAGGTATTGCTTAAGCAGCCTTTCACAAACTAAACCTTCCTTGTCTCCAAATGCAATATCTATCTATATATTAGTTGATGGTACCATTCAAAATTTTAAGATACGATTCTGAACAAACTGTAGCGTTATGAACGTAACCAGAGAGCAACGAGCAAAACCTGTACCAATGGCAGCTGTGGTGGATCAATGGAAGGAAACAGAGCTAAGCAAATCGAGAAACAAGTGTGTTATGTTTTCTTTCTTTGTTGTCCGGTTTAACTGTTGCTAAGAGACTAATGGGTTTAAGATTTTTGCAGGTACGAGAAGCTAAGTGAGAAGATTGTGTCATGGGAAGATAAGAAGAGGAAAAAGGCAAAGAGAAAGCTTCATAGAACAGAGGTGCCTCTTCTTTACCTTTTTTCCACTTTCCTTTGGTTCCAGAAATTGATTCTTGCATAATTAAAGAACTAATCGATGTCATGAATGTGAAGAGAGCTGTAGAGAAAACAAAGTTGAAGGCGACCCAGAGGTTCAGGGACGAAAATGAACGTATTGAGATCATCGTTGCAAGTGCAAGAGCACATGCATATGAGAGTCGACTGAAAGAAGAGTTGAAGGTTAAGGAGAAAGCAAACCTCATGAGAACAACTGGTAGGAAACCCTCTGCATGCCTCTGAATCCTGCAAAGTTGCAGGAAATGTAAAACCAAACATTCTTAACCGCTGATAACTATTGTCCAACATGTAAAATGCAGACACAGATAAATAAGGTGTTTTTATCTATTAGAGTATAAGAGAGAGATAACACACATGTGATCCATTATGGCAAAAATCTGCAAACCAAAACTTTAGACAGTTGCACAACAATACTAAAACCAAGAGTTCAAAATCACAAATACAATGCCCAAGCTTGTAATAAATAATATTTTAAAAAATGTGCAAAACTACCACAAATCATAAAAACTTCTTCTGAGTTCTGACCATCAAAGACCCCAAGTGCCAAAAAAGGGTTCCATCGAGCAACCAATAATAGGAGTTATGAGTTCAGCACCAATCTCATGATGATGTTATTTCATTTACCAACCTTTCTAGAATAGGGTAAGCAAAATATAGTACCAGACCAGCTGGAAGTGCGAAAAGTATTGTGAGGAGGAAGTAAAGGGCAAGAATTATGAGGCTACCAGGTATAGCAAAGAAAACGATCAGAAGGAAGATGACCACAAACGGAAACTTGGAGGTGAAAGAGATGAAAAAATCAAGAGATTTGTGAAAAGAGAAGTGTTGTCTGCTTGGTTGGTTACTGTGGTCATGATGTGGCAAAATTTCTGTAGACTGGTTACGCAATAGAGGCCTCGCAATCAGATTGTTGTTGCTGCTCTGGTTTCCTAGAGACATGCTACACCTCGGAGGCGGAACCGATTGCTGGTTATCACTGACCAAAGAACCATGATGACTTGTCCTGTCACCATTCAGACTCTCAACCATCCAGAGAAGGAAAAAATTCTTCCGAGGGAACTTTAGATTACCCTTGTAGACAATCCTGAACGAAAGCAACTGACACCACGGGCACGAGACGAAAAACGGAATCCTGATATCTTGGCTCGAGAGTCTCAAAACAGCAGATTGTAGCCCAAAGACACAATTCTGACAAAGAGTATGACCACACCATAACACATAGGGAACATTCTCGACAATGTTGAAAGATTCCCAACATATGGGACATTCTAATCCCTCTTCATCCCTGCTAACATTTGAAACCTCGTCATCAGAGCATTGAGAGGATGCTTGAGCTGGATCCTTAGGGGACTTCTTTAACCCCATACTTCCAATGACATTAGACGCAAAGCCCCACATTTTGATCAAACTTTATAAAACCTGAGCCAATGTACAAAACATTACCCAGTAACATTCCCAGATTGAAAAGAGCTTCTTTTACCAATACCCATCATTTTTACGAACCTGGATAACAAGTGAAGAGAATCATAGTTAATGAAGCTACCTAAATTCTCAAAGCTGTTTTCGAATTAAAGGAACAACATTTCAAATATCTCTATGTTATTGGGACATGAACAAGATTACAGATCAAAAGAATGGCAAACAAAAAAAAACAAAAAGTGCCCATAAACTCGCATGACCTTTAGATGCAGAAGACGCAATAGATCGAAAAGAGCAATCTAGGTTAAAAATTCGATTTTTAGGTTCCGTAACAGATAAAAATTTCACGGAGATTGAAGTTTTACTTACCGTTAAATCTTTCAAATCAGATACGCAGATGTATTGAAGAGGTCGGAGATCGAAACGGGAAAGAGAAGAAGAATAAAGCCTCTCTCTTTTTCTCTCTCTCGTTGATCCGCTGTGATAGTTTTTTAATGGCAAAACGCAAAAAAAGACATCGGAGCAGACGAAGAAAACGACAACGTTTAGTTGGTAGCTTAGAGAGTATTGACCAATGTGCACGTGCCATAGTGTGACCTTCGTGACGGTTTTAACGGCTGAATCTTTTTTTTTTTTTTTAATTAATTGTTTTGTCAAACCTTCTTGATGATTTAGAGGGTTTCGAGGTTTGAGGTATATTCGCTTAAAACGAGTAAACGACAACTCAATTTTTGTGTCGTAGCTGGTTTTGATGTTGTGGCTACTTCATCGATCCATCTCTCTAATCACAGTTGTAGAAATTTGTTCTTGACATGAAGTTGAAATTTTGATTAGGCTCTTTCTCGATTCGCTTTTGGTGAATCAAATTTCTTTAATTTCAGGTGATTCCTCAATTTCACGACCTCTCTGTTTCTTAATTTTTCGATTTTGTGATAAAAGCTCAACGATTTAGATTAGAATTATCTGAAAGTTTTCATCTTTTTTTTCTTTAGCTGTAGACTATGGTTGATTGGGGAATTATTAGGTTTTGATTGCATTAGTACGATCTGGTTATCTAATTTCGATGACTGTCGACGTAATTTTACTTGGGCATTGAGAATTTCCCAACTTTCTTACTTGTTTTGTTTGTTTCCCATTTCCAGTGAATAAGCTTTTGACGGGAGCATATACTAAGTCTTGAGCAAACCCTCTTTTTAGTGGGGGAGGTAATAAGGTGGTTTCTGGTTTGATCTACAATGATGTATCAAGCCATTCCCACGGCCGCAACCATTCGTGGTGGAACTCCAACTGAGAGTGGTGATTACGTTGTTACTTTGGATCAGATTCCACGATGGAGTGATGTTGAGCAGAGGTCATCTTTGGAGGGTGAGACAGGAGATCCAGCACATTCGAATCCACGGTATGCAAACCCTTTGGCTTCGTCTTCTGAAGCAGGGAGCAGCGGGAATGGGATGGTATCTAAGTTTCCTGTTGATCACGAGATAAACTCTAGAATATACCTGTGGAGAGGGGAACCTTGGAACCTTGAGGTTGATGCTGTTGTGAATTCAACAAATGAGGTAAGCTGATGTCAAGGAATTGTATTTGATCGCGTGTAAGTAAGTTGGTCTTAATGTGCGTCCTTTGATATGGTTGAATTTCTTGGAATTGGAGGACAGAACTTGGATGAGGCACATAGCAGTCCTGGTCTACATGTGGCTGCTGGACCTGGCCTTGCAGAGCAATGTGCTACATTGGTATAAACACTTTATTTCACTAAAAACAAGATTTTTATATATACTATTTAAAAAGGGATTATATTATGTATTGTCTTAGATGGTTGCGTGAAAGAGGATTTTTCGCTTATTCTTTGTTTCTTGACAGGGTGGATGCAGGACAGGGATGGCGAAAGTAACGAATGCCTATGATCTACCAGCGAGGTAATTTGTGATGGAGAAAACGGTTTTAAGATAAATTCAGTATTTACCTAGAAGACTAAAAAAGAAAGTAAATTGTGCTCCTTGAATTTAATCTCTGCTCTATCTTTCAACTATCCTTTTGTCCGTATGATAGAGCTTCTCCATTGTTGGCTTGTTGCCTCTGTACAGTTTTTTCATCCTGTGTGAGTACGACATACTGTGATTTCTGATGAATTTTTCAAATACCAAACATTCTGTGCGACTTTAAAATTCTGTGCGACTTTAAAACATTCTGTGCGACTTAGTCCCCAACTCCAAAAAATGTTTTTTTTGTTGTTTCTTGTTCAGGCGGGTTATCCACACAGTAGGACCCAAGTATGCAGTAAAGTATCATACAGCTGCTGAGAATGCTCTAAGTCACTGCTATAGATCTTGTCTGGAGCTTCTCATAGATAGTGGCCTTCAAAGGTGTGTAAAGTGAAATTCTAGTTTTTCCTTATTTTATTTGCAACAATCAGATTCTTTAGTAATTTTGTGATTTTCTTTGTTTGCTAAACTCAAGAACTTGATTTTGGTTTGCATACAACATTGCAGTATCGCTATGGGCTGTATATACACAGAAGCCAAAAACTATCCCCGAGAACCAGCTGCTCATGTTGCCATAAGTAAGATAGTTCTTCTCTTCTTGAACAGTCTCTTTGCTTTTGATCAAATGACTGTCAATTTTCCAACTCGTGGGTTGTGCCGTTTTCAGGAACTGTTCGCCGCTTTCTAGAGAAGCAAAAGGATAAAATCAGTGCCGTTGTTTTCTGTACCACCACATCCTCTGATACGGAGATATACAAACGGTATCTTAATTCGCTGCAACTGGTTTGCAAGAACCTTTACTTATTTTGTGTAATCGTAGTTATCGATTTGCTCATTTTCAGTTTCGAGAACCTTTGCTTTCAGAATTATTCACATAAAGACCATAGCATGTAGAAATGCTGGCAATGTATATACCATAATAGTTAAGCAATGCCGAACATTGCTAAATTTGACTCTCTAAATGTAGATTACTTCCACTTTACTTTCCTCGAGATGAACATGAGGAAGAGGTTGCCATCTCAAAGCTCCCAGCTGATGTTGGAGATGAAAATGGTGAGACGGTTATAGACGAACGTAAAATCAGAATACAGGCGCTGCCAAATAAACCTTCGCCCAGATCTTTTCCAACTCCACTCGAGCGCCCTTCTACTGATCTTACTTTGTTACGCAGGTTGGTGAACTCTGACTGCTGCAGTCTTTGCAGTTTATTGTATAACTACTTTTCACTCTATTAATAGCCATATGATTTCAGGAACTCGAATCATCTTGATTCGTATCTGGATCCTGCCTTCATGTCCTTGATTAAAGATCCAGATGAAAGGCGCAAAGAACAATGGGAGAAGACTGCACAAGCACAAAGTGGATTCAATTTTGTTAAATTGCTAGGATTTGGTGATCTAGGAGGACCCCCTCTCTCTGCTGCAGAGGAATACTCACTTCATTCGCGATACCTAGCGAAAGCTAATTCTCTCAACCTTTCCGAGATTGCAGAGATGAAAATTGTGTATGGTTTCTATGTCCTTGGTTTTCTTTCTCTCGCTTTGCCTTGCATAAGTTCACTTTATATGCCCTTGAGCCAATGACTACTGGAACAGACATTGACAAAGCCTTTTCTGTTTTCTTTCTTCAGCTACCGTGGTGGTGTTGACACCGAGGGTCATCCTGTAATGGTTGTTGTAGGAGCTCACTTTTTGCTGCGTTGTCTTGATCTGGAGCGTTTTGTGCTTTATGTTATAAAGGTAAGCACGCATAGCATACCTTGATGGTTCTCTAACTTACTGCAGTTCTGTCTCAAAAACTATCTTGTATTGATTTTCTTTGACTTTATACGGTGTCTGACAATACTGCAATTGGTGCAAATTTACAGGAATTTGAACCTGTAATACAAAAGCCTTACTCGATTGTCTATTTTCATTCTGCAGCATCTTTACAAGTGTAAGTTGATTCTTAATATTGTTTATTGGAAAAAGACTCCTGTGCTTTATAAACTTCACTAACATTTTTTTGCTTTTACGGGTCTTGATTTTACAATGTGAATAAACAGCCAACCAGATTTGGGATGGATGAAAAGATTACAACAGATACTTGGTCGAAAACACCAGCGTAACCTTCAGGTATGAAATCACACCTACTAAACCTCATAGAGGCAGGTTCCTCCTTGTCCTAATCCTGATCATCTCTGCTTCGTCCAGGCAATTTATGTTCTTCATCCAACTTTCCACTTGAAGGCAACAATCTTAACGATGCAATTTTTCGTCGATAATGTGGTAAAGTCCTGGATTATTTCAAAGTCCCAGCCTTTTCCCCCGATAGACTCGAGTCATTCTAAACAAGTCTAATTTACTCTGTCTTTTCCTTGTTGCATTCCGAAAAATCCGATAAGGTATGGAAGAAAGTTGTATATGCAGACCGACTTCTGCAGCTGTTCAAATATGTTCCTCGTGAGCAGCTGACAATCCCAGACTTTGTTTTCCAGTAAGTTCACTCTCCTCTTTACTCTCTAGTATCATTGTTCAGTTGTCGATTTTTTTTAATCACCGGGTCTTGTGTGAAAAATCGCAGGCATGATCTTGAAGTTAACGGAGGAAAAGGTCTAATCGTTGATCCAAGAACAAAATACGTTTACCAACGGCCATGAACCAAAATCAAAGACCGTTACTTTATTCAGTACTTACTTGTATGTTTGCTTGTGCAATATTTCTTCATTCTTTCGTGCTTATCTTCTTCTCAAGTTTTTAGCTACCCTTTTTGTGTTGATGATCCTGGGAGCAAATAAAAGTCTTCTTCTTCTAATGTAATCTAAAGTTTGAATCTTTGTTTATAAATCCATTTTCTCACCAGAACCAAAAAAAAAGCCAAAGTCTTCTCTTTTTTTTCTCTGTTTGTCAATGTTCTTCACCAGCTGAAGATGACGCAGTACATGCCATTGTTTAGATCATGTTCAAGCTTACGATTAGTAAGTCAGCTTCATGCTCACCTCCTCGTCACCGGCCGTCTCCGTCGTGATCCTCTTCCTGTGACGAAGCTCATTGAATCATACGCTTTCATGGGTTCTCCAGATTCGTCTAGGCTCGTCTTTGAAGCTTTTCCTTACCCTGATTCCTTCATGTACGGTGTTCTCATCAAATGCAACGTCTGGTGTCATTTACTCGACGCCGCCATTGATCTGTACCATAGGTTGGTTTCGGAGAAGACCCAGATCAGTAAGTTTGTGTTTCCGTCTGTTTTGAGGGCTTGTGCGGGTTCGAGGGAGCATCTGAGTGTTGGTAGGAAAGTCCATGGGAGGATTATTAAGAGTGGTGTAGACGACGACGCTGTGATAGAGACGTCTCTGTTGTGTATGTATGGTCAAACGGGGAATTTAAGTGATGCAGAGAAGGTGTTCGATGGAATGCCTGTGAGAGATCTTGTGGCTTGGAGTACTCTTGTTTCTAGCTGTCTCGAGAATGGTGAGGTGGTGCAAGCATTGAGGATGTTTAAGTGTATGGTGGATGATGGTGTTGAGCCCGATGCTGTGACGATGATCAGCGTTGTAGAAGGATGTGCTGAGCTTGGATGTTTGAGGATTGCTAGGTCAGTCCACGGACAGATAACGAGGAAAATGTTTGATTTTGATGAAACATTATGCAATTCTCTGCTTACAATGTACAGTAAGTGTGGGGATTTGCTTAGCTCGGAGAGAATCTTTAAGAAGCTCGCCAAAAAGAATGCTGTTTCGTGGACAGCTATGATTTCTAGTTACAATCGTGGCGAGTTCTCTGAAAAGGCATTGAGAAGTTTCAGTGAGATGTTAAAATCTAGAATTGAGCCGAATTTGGTTACGCTTTATAGCATTTTGAGCTCTTGTGGATTGAACGGGTTGATTAGAGAAGGCAAGTCGGTCCATGGTTTTGCAGTTAGACGAGAGCTGGATCCAAACTACGAGTCGCTTTCTCCGGCCTTAGTTGAGCTTTATGCTGAATGCGGGAGACTCAGTGACTGTGAGACAATTCTACATGTGGTTGGTGATAGAAATATTGTGTCATGGAACTCTCTTATATCTTTATACGCACACAGTGGTATGGTGATTGAGGCGTTGTGCTTGTTTAGACAGATGGTGACATGGCGAATAAAACCGGACTCATTCACTTTGGCAAGCACAATCTCTGCATGCGAGAATACTGGTTTAGTCCGGCTAGGGAAACAGATTCACGGACATGTTATAAGGACGGATGTTTCAGATGAGTTTGTGCAGAACTCGTTGATAGACATGTACTCTAAAAGCGGATTTGTGGATTCAGCAAGCACAGTATTTGATCAAATCAAGCATAGGAGCGTTGTGACATGGAACTCAATGCTCTGCGGATTTTCTCAGAATGGTAACTCCTTAGAGGCTATTAACCTCTTCGACTATATGTATCATAGCTGCCTTGAGATTAATGAGGTTACATTTTTGGCGGTTATTCAAGCGTGCTCAAGCATAGGTTCACTGGAGAAAGGGAGATGGGTTCATCACAAGCTCATTGTTTGCGGTATAAAGGATCTTTTCACTGATACAGCTCTAATCGACATGTATGCCAAATGTGGAGATCTCAACACAGCGGAAACCGTCTTCAGGGCCATGTCGAGTAGGAGCATTGTGTCATGGAGTAGTATGATCAACGCCTATGGAATGCACGGACGGATAGGATCCGCCATATCTACATTCAATCAAATGGTGGAATCTGGAACCAAACCTAACGAGGTTGTCTTCATGAACGTTCTCTCTGCTTGTAGTCACTCTGGCTCCGTTGAAGAAGGCAAGTACTACTTTAACTTGATGAAAAGTTTTGGCGTATCACCAAACTCGGAGCATTTCGCCTGTTTCATCGACCTTTTGAGCCGTTCTGGTGATCTCAAAGAAGCATACAGAACCATCAAGGAGATGCCTTTCCTAGCTGATGCTTCCGTTTGGGGTTCTCTGGTCAATGGATGCAGAATCCATCAGAAAATGGATATCATCAAAGCCATTAAAAATGACCTTTCGGATATTGTTACCGACGATACGGGATACTACACTCTCTTGTCCAATATATATGCTGAAGAAGGGGAATGGGAAGAATTCAGGAGAATGAGATCAGCTATGAAGAGTTTGAATCTCAAGAAAGTTCCTGGGTACAGCGCAATTGAGATTGATAAAAAAGTTTTCAGATTTGGAGCTGGGGAAGAAACCTGTTTCCAAACAGATGGAATCTACACGTTTCTTGGGAATTTGCAGAATCTAACTCTTGAAGCAGATTATTTACAGAACAACGAATGAAACACAAGTCATAGATTTTAAGAGCCATGTATGAATATATATATTCTTTTTTGACCCAATAGAAAACAGAGATGCAGATTTTGTAATAACCAACAAGCCTAATACAAATCAATCATGTTTTTCTTTTCTTTGGCCCTTCTAAGAGAGGACAAGATATACAAAGGGCAGGGTAACCAACACCCACAAACATGGGGTGAGGTGATTTGGAAATAATAAAACATCGATCGCTGAATCAGTTTTTGTGCATTGTTACTTTCTCTGGTTCTTTTTCCCTCTATAATGTTCCTCAAATCGTGAAAATCGGTTTTGTTTCAAGAAAAACGTTTATGTTAATATCACTGTTGGGGGAGTACCTGCAGGGCACCTTTGTCGCCTTGGCCTTCTGGTTGCATTTCCCCATCCTGTAAGGCTCCTATCTTCCAGTCCCACCATTTGTACACTATTGTTATTCATTGGCTGCGGCAAAGACAAGCAAACCGGAGCTCTGTCAATGTTGCTGACCACTCGTTTTCTTCCTCGGTTTGAGCTCCTTCGGGCCACTCCTGAGTTCCAATTGTAGCCTGTAGCTTTCATAAGTCCCTCAAACATATGAAGATCTTCGGTTACTTCGAGCCTAGACAGAGAAGCAAGCCCAGGGAGAATATCCCTTTGGAAATCCCGCTTTGGTCTTCCTCTTCGTGCTTGTCCTCTTCTTGGCCTATTATTTGTGATACCCATGGAACCTGTCCCATCAAATTTCAGATATTCTGGGATTAAAGGCTTTGGCATGTAGTCTTCTTCTTTGGTCTGGAGTAAGTTCAGAGTCATTGTCTCGAAATAATCAAACTCATCTGAAGAACATTCTTCACGACAGCCTTCAGAATCTTTGGCTTCCAAACAAGCATCAATTTTTTTCTCTAAATCATTGCCACAAGAAGCTATTGTGTTCACAAACCAAGAGAGCGGGTCCTTTGCAACTGCATCAGTCGAAGAGGAAGCAGCTTCATCAGTATTCCGGCAATGGTAAGACAGTGAGATAGTGATGATAGCTTCTGCTGCTGCCTTAATGAGTTCATCCACAGAGTCTCCAGCTTCACCTTTCTCTAACCCTGAAATGTCTGCATCTCTGTTCTCTGGACATTTCTCTCCTTCTTCTTCACTCTCATGAGTCGGGAGAGCTTCCAAATCTATCAAAGTAGTTGCTTTTGTTTCCACTCTTGGATTAGAACACAAGCCAGAATCTTCATCCTCGCTAGCACAGAAATTCAAGTCAATGTGCTGCCTGCGAGTGACAGCTTTTTTACCTTCTTCCTTGTCCAGAACAACTGCTTCAGAAACCGAGATAGGGAAACCAAGAATCTTTCTACTACTCTGTGATTTGGCCATTTCAACATGTCTCAAGTTGGCGTCATTAGAACATGAAACAGACCTCAAACCATTCTGGGGAGATACATTATTTGAGCTGTCACCCATATCACTTCCATCCATGAATTGATGATTTGCAGAAGCATTCAAATCCAAACCACCATTGGTTATTCCATTTTTGTTAAGGGGCATAGGTTTTATCCAGGGCAACCCAGCAGAGCACTCCTGCTTTTTTGGTCCTTGAAGGTTTTCAAGACTCCGATGCTTCACACTCTCACTCAAAGAACCATTAGTAACAGTCCCTTTTGGGCCATTGTTAAGATGATTAAAGTTTCCTGATGGTAAACTAAAGGCAGATTCCTTCGACACTGAAGAGAATCCTTGGTTAAGCCCGTTAGAATCACGGCTTCTCATCTCCGCACTTGAGTCTGCTCTTGCTTGTGTATTAAAATTCAAGAATGGATTCGCTTGCAGTGGCAGGGGTTTCTGATCTGAGCTGCTACTTCGGTTCTCCCATGATGAAATCCAATGGCTCCAAGGTCTGACAGATTCAGGGCGGTAGCCATGATTCAAGCTTGGAGCATTTGATGCCACACTTGATTCCACATAGCTATCACACGAAACTTCAGGATTCTTTTGACGAGCTTCCCATTCGAAAGATGCTCTTTCGCCCGATAACTTCCTATGATCAGTTGAAGGGTAGCCCAGAGGTTGAAATGCACCGTTAGAAAGAACTTGTACCGAATGGGAAGGCAGGCATAACTTGTCTCTTGGAGTGCTTTTTCCGTTCCCTATAACCATGCAGCAATAGAGAAACATCAGAGACTAGAAGATAAGCAAATAGCTACTGTATCAGTAACACAATCCACAAACTAATGAAAAATCTCACCTGCTTGTAGAACCATCCATCCATTTTGACTTGTATTATTTTCCAACCACTGGCCATGCACATGTGAAATGTTTCTTCCATAAAGAGAATATAAGTCCCTGGAAGAAGAAAGAGGTACTGATTCTTGGCAATGGACAGGCTCGTTCAAGTCAGTAAATCCATTTGGTTTCTTCCTAACCAAAGAAGAATCGTTCCGATGAGAAGAAGCACTGCCTCTTTCAAAGAACAACTTTTCATCACCAACTTGTTTTGACTGCTCATAAGGAGGACAAGTCATATTTTCACTCTCTGTATCGAGATACTCATCTGCGGGAAGTTGAAGATCAATCATTGTTCTCCTGAGCTTCACAGGTCTAACCTCTAACACCTCCTTCCCATTTAACATAGAGGTGCTTCCTTCACCACATATCGAGTTTCCCAAAAGAAAGTCTCGTTTAATCGCACTTTCCGGTGTAGGCTCATTGCTCTTTCCCCTAACTTCATCCATCAAACTCTTTTGTGTCCTATACAAACGGTGAAGTTCATAAACCTGCATCAATCAAAACAATCAATCAAATTTAACAGAAACATAAAACCAAACCATTCGAGTAACAAAAAAAAAGGCATTAATTCAATACCTGATTCTTAAAAACAGCTTCGTGTTGAAGCATTGTTTGTTTCAAAAAATCTCTCTCGAAAGAATCCGTTGCAGGAGGTCTCGCCGAGAAACCATTGTGATAGTGCCCATAAGGCAAATTTTGATCAGCATTACAATGTAACATTGAAAAGCTACAAGTATTAGAATCTTCACTTAAATCCCTCATTGAGGGTAAGAAGCTTCCACAATGAACTGTTTCTCCCATTCCTCCAACAAAAAAAAAACACAATTCAACGCTTTATTAGCCCATTGATTCAAATCAATTAAATTACCGACGACATTATGTTATATGATTTGATCAAGTAATCAATTCAATAAAATGAATGATCCGAGCTCTAAAATTCACAAGTAGTGAAATAAAATTTCCCAGAAAATTGGAGCTGAATCTAAAGCCGATCCTTGATTAAGAAACTCAAAATTACTCGAAAAACTAAGCTTTTTTTATATCATCTTCAAACTAATCTATAAACTAAAAAACAAAAGTAGGGAAGAAAAAAAAGAGAAAGAAAAAAAAAATCTGACAAAAAAAATCATAAACCGTACGATGAACAGTAGAAATTATCAGATGCTTAAAATCCATGAAAATTAATCAGATAAAGAAAATCAAAATCAGCTTCGATTAAAAAAAACAGTAGAAAATTAAGAAGGAAAAAAATGGAGATAGAGATTTATGATTTACCTCTAGTTCTCAGACGACACACATCCTCTTCTCTCTAATCTCGCTTAATTACACTAACTCCCAAATCAGCGACAAAAATTATACAAATGAGATAAAAATATATTAAAAAGTGTTTTTTTTTTGTTTCTGAGATAATACTAAAAATAAGAAGCGGAGAGAGAGAAAAATCTAAGAGGGAGACTAAATCACGAACGAACTCTATGGGAGAGAGAAGAAGAAGAAAGCTTAAAGAAGAGAATCAGATCATTATCATCATCATCGTCGACGTCGATCCGCTGGGCCAACTCTCTCTTTCTCTCTGTATCATCATCTGTCTTCTTCTTCTCTTTTTCTCTATCTATCTATCTTCTGATTCTTAAAAACAAATTAAACAAAAGAATAAGACCTTTTTTATTCTTTTTTTCTCGGATTTTGTGTTTTCTCTTTCTTTCTATTAGAGTGAAGAGAGAGAGAGCGAATAGTTTGGTGTAGAGAGAGAAAGGAGAGAGATCCCGTAAAATAATTTTAAAAAAATAAAATAAAAAATGAGAAAATTACATGAAAACACGAAACGACGCTTCTAACAACAACAGAGACCCGATATATTTTTGTCAACATCTGGTCTCTTTTTTTTTCTCATCATTTTTTTTTACAGTTTTCTTTTAGGCTTTTAAAATTTTAAAGTGACTTTTCTCATGATTTTCAGTTTTAAATACATTCTATTGATTGTTCTTGTAATCTTTTCACCATATCGTTTTTAAAATAAATCAGTTGATTTGCAGATTGTATATCATGAGTAATCATTAGATTTTGTTCTATTTTACACACTTGCAGTAAATAAATAAATAATCAAATTGTTTGTTAAGTCGTGTTAATGTGAAAGGTTGTTTCAGCATTAAATTGTTTTTTTTTCAATGTTGCTTGACTATATTTTTCATTATGTATGAATTTATATAAATTATGGTCGGATCTTTCCATCTTTGACCTAGGAAACGTCAAATAGTTTCAGCGAATCAATTAGGAAGCTGAGTAAATTTCTCATTTTTATATATTTAAGTTAATCTGAATTTTTCAGATTTAAAAAACTTTTAAATATTTTTTAAAAAATATTGTATACTCACCGAATTTGAAATATATTGATATAAAAAATATTTTAATATAAACATCATCGTGTAAATCATTATTTCATTATTTATTAGCTTTTTTCTCTTGGAAGCTATTGTAGTTTTGAGTTAAATTTGTGAAATTTTCTGTTTACGAGTGCAATTTATTTTCTTTTATCTTTTTCTTTTGTTTCTTTTTTGGGTTGCAATTAGAGTGGCGTAAATTACAAATCAAAAGTACAATTTTACCCCTAGATTCGTTCCTTGGCTTTTAACCCTGGGACATTAATTTTAGAATGGAGAAAACTACACGATCAAAGAATAATTTTGTCTTCATTATTACCTTTAGAAAAACATTTATGTATGCTGTTAAAAAAAAATACATTTACTTTTACAGTAGATCGAGTTTAAGTCTCCATTTGTTTGCTAAACATAAAGCGCGTTGTTTCATTCATTTGGAGAAATCATATCTATCTCCTTTAATTTGTACTTTTTTTTTTTTGATAACCCAGTGTCCAGACCACACAGTGATCCGACTAGCCCACTGGGCCTAAGCCCGCGTGCCTGGGATTTTTAAGCCTCCACTTAAGGGTCCCCCGGAACTGGTGGTCTGGGACGCTGCGCCCCGCAGCTAAATTGCGCAGTGGCCAAGTGGAGATCTAGCAATTGCGCGCTTGCGGGGAATCGATCCCTGGCCTACACCAACAGGGCAACTCCTCCACAAGTGGCAACCACTAGACCAAGAACACTTGGTTCTTTAATTTGTACTTGCATTACCTATTGAAAAAAGTTAATGTTAAGTTTTAGCATTGATGTTCAAATTTTATCCACAAATTAGAAAACATGTTTCTTAACAACTTCTTGACAACTCCAAAGAGTTATGATATTTGAACATGGAATTGATGGTGAAACTAAAGATCTTATTTAACAAAAAATAGTAATGGTTCACTTCATATCTTAATGATCCAAAACCATACATTTTGATGAATGCAACTTATGACAATTCTTGAAAGAGGTTTTGATAAAAAAATATTTATTGGTTATACTCCAATAACGCGATATAGTATTTTCTAAGACGATAGATATGTCATTATTTGATAACTCATCAATCACACTTGTTTTAATTGAATATCTTATTTAGATTTCTAACCTCCATAAACCATTAATCTTAGCCAAAAAGTTAATTAGGTAATTAACAATGTAAACAAAAAAAATTATTAGGTTCACTAAAATTTTTGCTATTAGACCATTCCAAAAGATGCTATAAGAAAATAACAGTAAAAATATTGTATAAGCTTTTAACCCTTTGACACGCTATTTTATTGAATTTACTTTTTAAAATCTATTAATTATATTCACTTGCTGTTCTGATAAACAAAAGTTACAAAATATGCTAGTAATATTTAACACGCTTAAAAACAATATAAAATTCTTTAATAATATATCAGATGCATCATATAACAAATAAACCACAAAGATAATATACGGTTCAAAAATCAAAATAGATAAAATCATCTTTGTCCGCATGTGTCTGGAATAATCTTGCAATTTCTCTAAATACCGGGTAGACAAATGTGACAACTATTTGTCTATTTGTTTTCAATTTTCCTTGATTGGAAAAAAACTGTTTCTATATATGTGCATTAAAATCACACACTGCTGTGCCTATGAGTTATGACCAATTTACAAAATTATACCCTCCCATGACTTCTCCTAATTTTATAAAAGACCACCACCTTTTATATTCAAAAGTCTTAACTTTTTCTTAATTCCATTCATACGAATATTATTCTTTTCAGAATATTAAGATCGAGAAGCTTCTGCTTTCTTTCGAACAAAACATACAAAAAGATACATATATTGGTTAATTAATTTAGCGTACACCAGAAAACACACTAAAAAGATACATATATATGGTAATTAATTTGGTCTCCATGCTTTGTCTCCTGCACACTAAAACAAGACTTAATATCTTAGTTAACCACTCCTAAATGGAGTAAGAAAATATAATTAGAGCAAAGATGGGACATTTATAAAGCTAAGACACTTGATTAAGATTAAGACCAAATAAGTTACCCTAAATCACAAGTTTGATGATAACACTAGTTAATTTCTAAATGAAGCATCAATTGTTCAATGTTTATAAATTAGGTTAGATTTATAAAGCCATATGAGGGGTCCCAATGTCGATGCAACTTTGAGGTTCTTAGTTTGAAATGTGGGGTCAGGATTTAAATGACCTTAATTTTGAAGATAATTACGGTTTTGGGATTGGTTTTGGATACTTTTGAAGTTTTGTTTTCTTCTGTTCGTCACTGATTGGTTAATCTAGTACTTAATAATGTAATTAAAAGGCTTTGTTGTGTAGATTATTACGTAAAATGCCATTCTTCTAAGGAAGCATATTTTCTTTCGAATTTCGTTACGTGTCATACTTTTGTTGGATATTATTCAATCTAGATGTTACATTTGTTATATAGTTTTTTTTTTTTAATTTATCGACCGATATAAGTCAACTTGGAATGTTTATGATTATTTAAACCCACGTACCAGTTGTACAAACCACTGGTGTCAAACAACGATATAAAATAAACATATATAATTAAATTATTATATACACTAACATTAACGGTAACGTGTTTATGCATTATTAACACGTTAGAAACCGTATGAATTTTATATTTTTCTCTCCTGTGTAAAATAATCACAAGGACCAAACCTTTGCAAGTACGAAATTTATTGTATCTAACAAATGGAATAATGTTATTATGATTATAAAAATAAGATTGGCTAGATCTAGCAGTGGAGAAAAAGTAAAGTAAAGATAAGACTTTAATAAGTGCTTCGTCTTGTAAACCACAAGTTCATCATTATGTCATTGAAAGAGCCGATGCAATAACTGATTAAATGTTTCGATGGCTCTGATTAAGTGATTAGCTTTACAAGTAAAAAAAGAATAGTATGATGGTGTAAGTATTCGTTTGACTGAAACAAAAATATAATTCGTTTTCAGCAGAGTTACTTGCTCGATAATCGTTAAAATCACCAATAAACTGAGGTCTTTAATTTTTGCAACAATTTATTTATCATTTTTTACAGTAAACTTATCAGATCATGATTATTTTGTAGTGCATCTAAATGTAATTTCTTCTTGAGTTTGTTAGTTGTAATTGAAATATGTATTTTGGTGTAATGTCAAAGCTTTCACAAAGTAAGAGACTTGAAATGGTAACCACATAAAGATAAACCACTTTGACCCAAAAAAAAAAAAAACCCACAAGTAGAATATTGTTAAAAAGTTGAAATCTGAGATGAAAATTTTAGTTGAATTGACTAAAAGTAAAATTTCCACTACAAAAAAAAAAAAAAAAAATCCACTACATTCCTGAAGAATATATTTGCTAGATTGGCAAGAAAAATAAGGTGAATGGAATTTATCTTCTACCTCTAAGAATATATATCCTATAGAAATAGTAACGAATAATGATACAAATAAAATGTGATTTTTTTCTTATTTTTTCCGCTTCTTCACCGCTTAAGAACGATTGCCACTTCTTTTTCTAATGTTAACTTCTCTCCATTTCTTAATAACTCGTCCCGATTTGTGAGAAAGTGAAAACACAAATACTCTTATTCTAGATGTTTAAAAATTTGTTTATCACATTAGACGATTTTTTTTTTTGGTAAAACGTTTATTTTTAAGGTGATTTGCAAGAGTAGCCATATTTGATAAATCAATTAAGAATATAGCACTATAAGTGTAACAATTAAGAAACTAGCAGGAGGGGCAATGGAAAAGACAATTTTAGTGTTTAGCTGCATAAAAAGTAACTGGACTATACTATATAAAGGTTTATCATAGAGTATACACTTTAAATGTTCAAGCAAATTCCTGAAGTATGTAAACTAAAAAAACAAATTATACAACAAAAAGCATAACCAGAAACATGCATAATAGCTCAAACTCATACATAATATATATGTATGATCTCTTATATATATATGTATAATAGCTCAAATAGCATTAAATACTGTTTTCAAATAAAAATATTGAAATAGTATAGTACTGCTGATTATGAGTGGAGATTTGAAACAGACGATAATAAGAAGGGAAACCAAAAAAATCAAGTTCTCACCATTGAAACCCTAAATTGGGTGAATTATTGAAACATAGGCTGTTGAATTTGGGGATAATAAAGTGATCAGTGGAAGCGAAGCAACTACTGATGCTTGGAGAGGAAAAGCAAGCCGTCGTGCTTCTCATGCGGCTCTCTCTTATGGATTTTGATGAGGATGATCAGAATCTGGAATTAAGAAGAGCAACGACATCCCCGAGATGGATCTAGTGATTTACAACCCCATCGACATCTCTGAAATGGATCTAGTTCACGGTGAGCTCCGGCGGTGGGAATTGAAGTTTCAGCGGAGGAGGGAGTAGAAACTGAGTGGTGGTGGTGAGAGTGATGAGGAGATCGAGGGTTCGAGTTGGATTGTTGCGAGGCCTCCGTTTCTGACCATGGCGGAGCCAACGTAGAAGGAACAAAAATTGGAAAAAGAGAGCAGAAAAAAAAAAAAGAAGATGGAAGAAATGTGTGAGGGCAAAATTGTCATATATACAGAAAATACATAGAATATCATTTTTTTTTTGGTCAAGTGCTAGTTTCTTAATTATTGAATTTTTTTTGGTTATAGAGTCAAATTTCTCTTATTTTTATTTATTTTTGGACAAATTGAATTATTTGATTTTAGCATACCATAGTTTATATATTTCATCTAAGAACTTCTAAAACCATAATCTAATTTTCTCTAAATGAATTGCATATGTAGTTCAAATCATAATCTAACACAACAAAACCCCATTGATCAATCTTGCATTTGCGATTTTCTCCATTTTTTAAAAAATGGTTTCTCCATTTTTTTTTTTTGTCATCTAGAATTTTATTATTGATCTTGTAATGGAACCAAGGTGAAATACAAAGCCCAAAAGAGGGAAACTAAAGCCGGCGGACAACATGAAAGTCCCCGGAGACAAAATTATAGAAATCCTCTTTTTTTTTTTTTTTTGGACAGCAATTGCAGAAACATTTTAAGAAAAAAAAAAATTAAAAGAAAAATTGAAGAAACATTAAACACGTGCTTCCAATCCTCTATCCTTCACCGGATAAAATTTCTAACGGATTGGATTTTGAGTCACTACCCGTTTTTTACTCCGCCGAATCCCTTCCTCTGTCCTTTTCTTTCTCCACTCTCTGTCTCTGTCTCCTTTCCCTTTCCTCAAAGTTCTTCTCTTTTGATTCTCCGATGGAGGCTAAGCTACTCAAACCCGCGTTTTCCAATTCCCCAAGCCTCAATCTCGCGAATTCTTCAAAACCCATCTCGCAATTATCAATCTTGAACGGTAAATCGAGGTTTGGACTATCTGGGTCTCTCTCCTTCCGTCTCTCCACAGCTTCTCCGATCCGGTAATGCGTTCGGTTTATTCACCAATTGTCCTCCATTAAAGAATCATAACTCTTGTTTCAAACCGGAGATTAAAAAACCTATCTTTTTGTTGCAAATCCTTTGTCTCTCGTTTTCTTATGAATCTTATGTAGTAGGAATGATTTATACTTGTTGATGCATTGTGTTTTTACCTGAAGTTGATTAAGGCATTGATGTGATTTGGCCTATTTCTTATAGATACTCTAGGGTGCTGCTACGGGTTGATGAGAGTGAGTATTTGACACTTGACAGCATTAGACACTCTTTGATTCGTCAAGAGGACAGTATTATCTTTAATCTTCTTGAACGAGCTCAGTATCGCTACAACGCTGATACGTATGACGAGGATGCCTTTACTATGGAAGGGTTTCAAGGATCTTTGGTTGAGTTTATGGTCAGAGAAACTGAAAAGCTTCACGCAAAGGTCGAAAATTTATCAGCAAATCTTTAAAGTTAGTTCATAGTTTCTGAAAATCTTGTCTTTGTTGATGATTTGTTTGCTTGAAGTTAGGTGGGCAGGTACAATAGTCCTGATGAGCATCCCTTTTTCCCACAATGCTTGCCGGAGCCTATTCTTCCTCCGATTCAATACCCACAGGTGAATTTTGGCCTTCAAAGGTTTGCATTTTATCAGAGCAGTTTGCAAAAATACTTGATAGTCTCCAAAGTAGATTGTTTACTTAATAACTAGACATACTCCCACATAGAACGATGTGTAACTTTTCTCTTCCGTCTTGCGACGAAACCAGGTTTTGCATCATTGCGCCGATTCGATAAACATCAACAAGAAGGTGTGGAATATGTATTTCAAACACCTTCTTCCCAGACTGGTCAAGCCAGGGGATGACGGTAATTGTGGTTCAGCTGCTCTCTGTGACACAATGTGTTTGCAGGCAAGAAGCTTGGCATGCATCATTCATTACATATGGCTCAATTAGGAGACTTGAAACTGAACAAAAGTTTGTTTGGCTCTCTATGCAGATACTTTCAAAGAGAATTCACTTTGGTAAATTTGTTGCTGAGGCCAAGTTTCGTGAAAATCCTGCTGCCTATGAAACAGCTATCCGAGAACAAGTACTCTCATTTCGAATCATGTTAAATGCCCTCTCTTTATGCATTATCTGCATCTTCTTTTGTCATAAACTGGCTTGAGTCTTTCCAGGACCGGACACAGCTGATGCAACTTCTAACGTATGAAACGGTTGAAGAAGTAGTCAAGAAGAGAGTTGAAATCAAAGCCAGAATATTCGGTCAAGACATAACGATCAATGACCCAGAAACTGGAGCTGATCCTTCCTACAAAATTAAACCTAGCTTAGTTGCAAAACTCTATGGAGAAAGAATCATGCCCCTCACAAAGGAAGTCCAAATTGAGTACTTGCTTAGAAGGCTAGATTAATGTTTTCAAAGAAGGAAGCATAACATTTGTTTTGATCCTAATTTCCAAAAACCATAATGTTGACATAAGCTGCGCAAGCTAGCGAGTCAAGTTGATTTTATTACAGATATAGTAAACTAAGAATCAAAACAAATGAACTTCAGTTCCCAGAATTTGAATTCTCTACAATGACTTGTAATTTTGTAGCATCAGAGTGAAGCTCCTGCGGATTCTCGAAGAATCTCGTAAATGCCTATTGCGTTTTCAATGGTCAGTAAGAAAATAATGCACCATTCTAAAAGATCTGATCGTCGGTTCTGCAGCACCTCTTGGAGGAAATGAATGTTGTGCTGCAGATGAAAAGAGAGAAAATTATGTAAAGAAAAACAAAAACATGACTTTTGGTTATCTATAACAAAATCAACCTAGTAATGTAATAATAATACCTCTATAAACTTTAGCTTATAGTCGAGATCTCCAAATCTCTGAGTGACCTCGTACTCTTCTCTTAGGTACTCGTATATCTGAGCATATCTAGCCTCTCTCCAAGCAATCTCGGATCTATGACAACAAAAGAGAACATATGAGTCTTATTTATAAACAAAGCATTGTTTCCACGAGATTTCAAGAGTAAGCATACTTCCAAAATCATTTTCAAGAACTCGGCTTTTTGTATATGAGTAAAAGCATATATATAGAGATCATAGAAAACAAAATACCTCTCAAACAAACCAACTTTGAGAATCACATCGCCTAGATTAGAATTGGCCTTCCCTACAAGTTGGAAGAGCTTTTTCCTGGTCATTGTGAAAGTTCCTGTTTTCGCCATTGCACGGTTTATATCAGCAAACTCTTCCACCAACTTGTTAACCTGAGATAAATACAAATCTCAAATTTAACCATATACTTGTTAATCGGTTGAGAACACTGAGAAGAAACAAGTTACCTGAGAAACAAAGTAATCCAATGCAATACTTTGCCCGAGCACACTCCCAATTATACGTATGCTATTAGTATCCAAAGTTTTGAGAACGATGTAGTCATGGCCACCTTTCATTTCCTCAGTCAACAAAGGCTTCTCCTTCACAGCATAATCTAACACAAACAAAGTCCACAAAAGATGAGTGCATTTGCAAAGCTATGGTTTCAAGCACTCTGAGAAACTCAAGCTAAGTACTAAGACAGAACCGACACTAACCATCTTTTCTCATTTCCGTAAGCAATCCAGAAGCATGTCTACGAACAATGTCGAGATAACGGTCAACATCATTATCATCAACATTGAAAAGAATAGCAGAACCGTATTGAAAAACAACCATGAACCGGCAGTTGCTTACACTCTCCCTCTCGTCCATAGTCTGCAAAGAAAGTAACACAAGATCAACATAAGGTAATCAAAGGAACGTCATTTGCATTCTACTGAGTAAAACTTACATGGATTCCAGAAGGTGTAAAATCCGAAAATTTGAGGGCAATAGAATTAGTAGAACGTGAAGTAGGAGGAACAACATTGCATAAGTTCTCAGCTTGCATTGCCTTCAAATCAATACTGCCAAAACCATAAATCTGAGAAACCAAATTATAAATGAAAACACACCAAAAAAAAAAAAAAAACTTCAACTTTCAAACTATAAAGATTCCAAATTCAAAACTTTAACAAGTGAGTCCCAATAGAATAAGCAAAAACATACCCAGTACTGAGAAAATAGGCTTTGATAGGGATTTTCCCTAGTTCTTCTTCTTCATGTGTTCCAAATTCATAGTTTTGATACGCATCAGTAGACCCAGAATCAGAATCATTGTTGTAAATCGAAATCGGAGAAGGGAACGCTGAAAAGTGTCGGAAATCGAGAAAGCGAGAAGCAAAACCAATCGTTGGGTGTTTCGAAAGACATGGAGAAGAAAGGTTTAGTCTTTTTGAAGAATTGAGTAATTGATTACGAAGAAGAAGAGCAGCTACTGCTCTCCATTTACCCATTCAAAGAAATCAAAATTGAAATTTTTTACTGTGCCTCAAAATCCCTCGACTCAATTTTGTTTTGATCCCAAAATCAAAGATGGTTTTTGATTTCCAAAGATATGGTTACGAAGAAGCCTTGGTTCTCGCCGCCGGTGACCACAGTTCCCTAATCAAATTAGCGTATTTATTGTTTCAAAACGACCGTGTTTTTTTGATTAAGGAAACGATGTCGTTTTATTTGTTTATTTAAAACATTAAACCCATATTGTAAAAAGAAAAACCCTATAATAACTCAAAAAAAAAGAAAAATTAGTTTTTTAGAAAGAAGATAGAGAGAGATAGGAAAAGAAAGAGAGTGAATAGGGGGGTTAGAGGTTAGATATTTAATTTTGTTTTTTTTTTAGGTTATCTAGTGCAATTTCTCATCTTTTTTTTGGTAAAATGAGTTAGAAAAACCCTTTTGCTCAAAAAAAAAAAAAAAAAAAAAACGAGAGTTAGAAAAAACCCTATCTTGCAGCCTTGGTTTTTGAGGTTTAGAAGAATGACAAGGTTATGGGGAAGTTCTCTAAGGTTTCGATGACATTTTTCGATTATATTTTCGAGATCAATGCGATTTACTTGTAATAGTAGGCATACTTTTATCAGAAGATCATATCTATATTATTAATTGGGAATCACTAAATATTAAATAGGGAGACTCACAAAAATGCCCCTTTTTTAATACCCTTTTTCAAAAATGCCCCCTTTGGCTGTCCATTTTTAAAAATACCCCTTTTTATGTACAAAATGACTAAATTACCCTTCTTTTAATAAAAGATATCACAAATATATAAGGAAAATAACAAAATTAGGTCCACAAAATACAAAATATTTTTTGGCGGGAAAAGTGATCCCGCAATTTTTCCCGCCAAAACACTTGTAAAAACTTGTAAAAAACCTTTAAAAAACCTTGTAAAATTTTTTCCCGCCAAAAATTTTTTTTTGCGGGAAAAGTGATTCCGCAATTTTTTTGGCGTTAAATTTTTGGCGGGAAAATTTTTCCCGCCAAAAATTTACAAGGTATTTTAAAGGTTTTTTACAAGGTATTTATAAGGTTTTACAATGTATTTTAAAAGGTTTTACAACGTATTTACAAGGTATTTATAAGATATTATAAGATTTTACAAGCTATTTTATAAGGTTTTTACAAGTTATAAGGTTTTACAAGTTTTTTATAAGGTTTTACAAGTTATAAATACCTTATAAAACCTTATAAGTACCTTGTAAAACCTTTTAAAATACATTGTAAAACCTTACAAAACACTTGTAAATACTCTGTAAAACCTTTAAAATACCTTGTAAATTTTTCCCGCCAAAAATTTTCCCGCCAAAAAAAAAAAATTGCGGAATCACTTTTACCGCAAAAAAAAATTTTTGGCGGGAAAATTTTTTGGCGGGAAAAAATTTTACGGGAAAATTTTACAAGGTATTTTAAAGGTTTTTTACAAGTGTTTTGGCGGGAAAATTGCGGGATCACTTTTCCCGCCAAAAAATATTTTGTATTTTGTGGACCTAATTTTGTTTCAAATAAGGGTAAAATGGTCATTAAAAATTAAAAGAGGGCAAACTTAAAAATGGACTCTCAAAGGGGGCATTTTTGAAAAGGGGTATTGAAAAAGGGGCATTTTTAACAATTTCTCTATTAAATAACCTTATGAAGAGTAAAATATTACAAAAAATGCCATTGGTTTTTAGTGTTTTTAAATAACTTCATTAAGGGTACAATAGTAATCACAAAATTAATATATTTAAATAAAAAATAGTTTAATTCTTTAAAATATTTATTAATTTCCAAAAAAATAAACTAATTTTCTCTCTCTTATTAATTATAAACGAAAATTTGAAATTAATTTTTAAAAAATTGTTAACCAATAAGAATTGAAAAACTAAGATTTGATATCCAACTAAGATTTTATCTAAACCAATCGTAATAGACTATTCTATATCAAAAATAAAAAGAAAAATAATATCATTTTAATTCAAAATTAAAAACACTATCGTTTAAAAGATTTATCAATGGAGGACTTTAAGATTAAATTTAAAATTTCGTAAGAAAATTAAATACAAATATTTTAAGATTCAGTTTTGTTATAATATTTTCACAAATTTCAAAATATAAAACAAAATTTTATTTCATAATTTCTAAAATACGATATTAGGTATTAACAACTATTAATATTTATGATGAAATAAACTCAAATAATAATAAATTTAAAATAATTATCATTATAGCCTTCGTTTAGAGCAAGTTTGATAAATATCTAACAATAGATTGTATATATTAATTTCTAAATTATTTTGCGTTTTATTTTTTGTTTTTCAACCAGATCTTCCTTAAATAAATCCCTAATATATTGCACACAATTTTCAAATAATGTAAACTAATTATATATTTTGAATTCAAAACAAATTATGCAGCAATAGCATATCCCTTTTAGAGATGTATATCAAATTTTTATTTTTAGTCCAAAAATCAAATTAATTATGATTAAACAATAAAAAGAAGAATATGCAAAATTTAGCTAAGGAAAGAAACATTAATAAATTTGTTAAAATATATTTGTAACTTTAGCAGCATATATATTAATCTGCAAAACTCACAGTATGTATTGTATGGTAGTTAAAAGTAAGCAAACAAGAATTTGGAACATGATTTTAATGGAATGAAATGAGAATAGGAATTACGAGACGGGATGAGAGGGGAACATAAACTAAAAATCAAACTAAATACCCAATTAGTATGAGTTCAGGTTATGAGCACTATATAAAATAAATTTGTTTACATACATAACCCTGTACGTACGTTTTCAGTTACACATATTCTATTTATGCAGGATACTGGACCGTCGTATTTTTATTTCACGTATACGAGACGGGTTATGGGACCAAGAATTTATGACAGATCAATTTATGACAGATCTAGGACGGGATAGGTTTCCCATTCTAAAATAGTTACGCCTAGCTAATATACATGAAATAACCAAACTCAAACCGAATCTATATCCTATTTAACACATGTAATCAAACTATTAGAAATGTTTTGATTAGTTTAGAAAATAAAAAAAAAGTAACATCATTTAACTTTTGCAACTAAATTATATCTTAGTTTTATCTTAAATATAATTTCGCACGTACGTGTAGGTCCGGATCTTAAAATATAACTATGCATTAACGCAACTGAATTTCGTTTATTACTCTAATTTTATAATATTTATACTATTATAAAGTTCACTAACACAACAAAATATTTTATATTTTGAAAATCTATATAACAATTTCTATAAAAATATCTCTACACGTACGTGTGAATCCAAATCTAATACACTAAAATATATATCATAGAAACAACGAAATAATCTATATTGAATTAAAATTTGTTAGAACTTTTTAAAAAATATGAAACCCCGCACGTATGTGCGGGTCATGATCTAGTTATTGGTAAAGGACAACAACTCGCAAATAGTTATTTTTGCGAATTTTTTGTAGATTGTGAACCTCAAGGAACAAATTTTAATCTATCAAATCTGAAAACTATTTTTTTGTGGTTTACTTGTAAAAGTTGGAATACTTTTATGAAAAAATCATATTATTGATGAAGCAGCAACAACCCGTAAATAATCATCTTTGCGAATTTTTGTAGATTAAATCTTACGGAACAAATCTTAGAATCTATCAAATTTAAAAACTACTTCTTTGTGGCTGTTACCACTTTAACAATAATCTGATGTTTTTATAAAAGTGTACATTCTGCTTATAGATCGCATTGATGTCAGTCAGATATATTGGACCAAAACCCTTGAATGAGTTGCTAATTGCTATTGTCGTCATTCTTCTAAACTTCAAAAACCAAAGGTTGCAAAACAGGGATTTTCTTTTTGGTTAAATATTAAAATAGACGAAACGACGCCGTTTAGGCTGTTGTTACAACGCTGCGTTTCAAGCGTTTAAACGACAGCGTTTATTAAATTGCTCGATAGCCTTTTACTTTGTAATCTCATTTCTCTTTTAACTGAGACGAAAAAGATTCGCTTCTCCGGCGAACAAACTTTCTCGGTAATGGCGATGTCTTCTGGAACTCTCAGGATCTCTGCAACCTTAGTATCTCCTTATCATCACCACCACCGTAATCGCCTCTCAATACCTTCTTCTTCTTACAAGGTCCGATTTCTTATAATTCTTACTCTACGATTCAAATTTTCTCTTCACTGCAATTTGGGATCTGGGTAAAATGAAATTCGCCACAAAATGTCCCGATTTCGTTCAATTTGTGAGGAGAAATTAGATTACTAGCTTCGATCTTTCGTTTCTATGTCTGTGTGGTTAGGAAGAATCTGAAATGCGTCTTTTAGCGGAACAATTTCACAATTTCTCTCTAGCTCTAGATTTGCTTGTTCATCGCCGAGCTCTTGAAAGTTTATCATTCCAGTTTCTGTTTTTATACTTTGGCACTTGGAAAAATGCCAGTGAAGGCCATATTAGATGTGTTTGATGATAGGGTTTATAGTTCACTTGTGTTGGTAAGAAAACCAACTACTCAATCTCCATGACCATCCTCTGTTTTTGTAATTTTGATGTGTTTTCGGGCTATGGCGATGGTGCCTAGGATTACGGAGACTAGACGGGTCTTTTATTAGACATATGCAGATGTTTTGTGGTACTGTGACCTAAAGTTTTGCAAGTTTTGTTACATAACCATGTCATTAAGTTTAGATGAGCTTGATGTTACAGTTTCTTTACCTAAAGATGTACTACAGTAACTGAATTTTCAAATGCAACTAGTCTGAAATTACAGTCTCTTTAATGCGGGTGGTGGATGTGTAAATTTGCAGGTTGATTTCACGGGATTCATAAGCAATGGCGCAAACAGTTTGGAAACTCAGAAATGTACTCCCGGACTGGCAATCAGCCGCGAAAACACACGTGGTCATGTGAAGGTTCTTGCAAGAAACACTGGAGATTATGAACTATCACCAAGCCCAGCTGAGCAAGAGATAGAGAGCTTTCTCTATAATGCCATCAATATGGGTTTCTTTGACAGGTTAAACTTGGCTTGGAAGATAATATTCCCATCACACGCATCAAGAAGAAGCTCCAACGCAAGAATCGCAAAGCAGCGGCTCAAGATGATCCTATTCTCGGACAGGTGTGATGTCAGTGACGAGGCTAAAAGGAAAATCGTCAACAACATTATCCATGCACTGTCGGATTTCGTAGAGATAGAATCAGAGGAAAAGGTTCAGCTAAACGTTTCCACGGACAGTGACCTTGGGACCATTTACTCGGTCACGGTGCCTGTTAGAAGGGTGAAACCAGAGTACCAAGACGTGGACGAGGCTGGAACCATAACCAACGTGGAATACAAAGATACTCGTGATGGTTCTGTCGATGTCAGGTTCGATTTTTATGTTCCAGAGTGATGAGAAGGCGCAGTCTTAGATTTATTTCCTGGATAGTATCTTGTCTGTTTTGTGTTGATGTTCTTCAAGTTTAGTCTGGAGGGAACAAAGACAGTTTCTTGACACTCCCCATGTATATATATATGCAACTTCTCTTTTCTTAAAAGTTCTTTACTGTTTTTGACACGAGTTGGTCAGTTCACTACAAGAACCTATCTTGGTTTCACATTCTGTGAAGTTAATCATATTCTTTTTTTTTTTCTCTAACCACAAACTAAATACGTTAAACTCAATCAAAATATGGCAATGGTGCCCACAATATAAATGGACTCTGAAGTAGGAATGTTCAATTTGGATGAATGGACACTAATCCAATCTTTTATTTCTGTATAACCGAAACCAAACCAAATCAAACAAAAAACGATCTAAAACCGAAACTTTTTTTAATATTATAATTTTGAAATCGCTCAGGTCTAGAAATTTGAAATTTGGAATTCGAAATTCGGGATAGTCTTCTCCTTCTTCTTCATCTTGATTTGAGATCCGTTGTGCTCCAAAATTGTTTGAGGAAGTGGTTTTGGTGTTTCTTTCTTGGTTTGAAACATGAGCGGAGATCGACTTCAATTTGAAAACCCTATAGAGGATGCGATTTCGAGGCTCAGATTCTCCCCTGAATCAAACAATCTCCTCGTTGCCTCTTGGGATTCTGTAAGTTTCTTCTCTTCTCTTCCTTTTCTTGGATCGATAGAATTGGTCTCAGAGACAGTGACGAATTGTTGCTTGATTGTGTAGTATCTGAGATTGTATAATGTGGAGAGCTCTTCGCTAAGTCTGGAATTGTACTCTCAAGCTGCTCTTCTTGATTGTTGTTTCGAAAATGAATCAACTTCATTTACCTCTGGTTCTGATGGATTCATCCGAAGGTTTGCAATATTTTCTCAACCAACATTTACAGAATTTCAATATGGGATGCTTTTGCATTGTATGAAAGATAGCAAATTTATTACCTTTTCATGAAAAAGATCTGATCTTGTATAGGATGATAACACCTTGCTTGTCAGGTATGATTTGAACGCTGGAACAGTTGATACAATTGGAAGACATGATGACATTGCAACATCCATTGTCTACTCTTATGAAAAAGGTCAGATTTTTACACTTTAAGTAGTGATGATTGTTTTTAGATATGTTGAATAGTGTGATTTGGTATCTGTATTTTACCAGGATTTAGTTGGTGCAATTAGTGCTTAATTGTTGTCAATTTTGATCAGTAGATTCTAAGTTATACACCTATCTCCAGCCAAAACACTGCCCTTATATGCTGAACAAAGGAAAATTGGCTAATTTGATAGATATAGATTATAAGTATGTTTGCGCTGCTACTAAGTTCAAATAGGTTCGTTCGTCATTTGTAAATGCACATTTCTTTGTTTTAGGTTTTGAGTTTTAAATCAAAGACTTTGGTAACGTTATATAAACTGTCTTTATACTAAACTGCAAGTGGTTTGATGCGGCTCAGGTGAAGTTATCTCTACTGGGTTTGATGAGAAGATCAAATTCTGGGATACAAGACAAAGAGAAAGTCTTGTGTTTTCGACTGATGTTGGTGGAGCAGTGGGTTGTATCACTGTATCTGGAAACAACTTAGTTGTTTGTGTGGACGCATCGATGCATATATACGATTTACGTAACTTAGATGAAGCTTTTCAATCGTATTCATCCCAAGTGGAGGTGCCAATCAGATGTATCACCTCTGTACCTTATTCCAGAGGTAAACATATATGGTTACAAGAATCTGTGATTTTGGGGTTATGTATGTGGCCATAGTTTACATTTCCACTGAGGAAAGATTGATATCTTACATTAATTAGGGTTCATGTTTGGTTTGATTTCTAAGGTGTTCATAGTTGCTATCGAGCAGGATATGCAGTTGGGTCAGTTGATGGACAAGTAGCCGTGGATTTCCACAATACATCATGCTCCAGTGAGATTAAGTAAGTCCACAATATGAAAGTTGAAATATAAAAAATGATCATTTGGTTATCCACTGGTTTGGATTCAATATTTTCTCTAAATGTTTTGTATTTTTGTATCATAAATTAGTGACAAATACAGTTTCCGATGCCATCCCAAGTGTAGGAACGGCAGACTTGATGGTGTATGCATAAATGCAATCGAATTCAGTCCATGGTATATTTCTCTCATTCACCATGTAATGGTACACATGATTGATCATCAAACTGACTCTTTTCTTGTTGCCAGTGGGTCAGGGACTTTCGTAACAGGAGACAATGAAGGCTACGTGATCTCATGGAATGCTAAAAGCAGAAGAAGACTCTTTGAGGTTTCAAACATTACAAACATGATTTTTTTCTCTTGTTCTCCTCTCTAATCCTTATGTTTGTTTAAAAAAGTTGCCAAGGTACTCAAATAGCATCGCATCTTTAGCATTTAACCACAGTGGAGAACTCTTAGCTATTGCATCAAGCCACACTTACCAAGAAGCTAAAGAGAAGTAAGTCCCACACTCTTCTCGTTTCGTTTCATCATCACACTCTCACATTACATAACAAAAACACTTGTATCATCGATATATCTCCTAAATGTTTTGCAGTGAAGAAGAAGCTCCTCAAGTGTTCATACACAAGATTTGCTAGCTTCTTGAATCTCTGTGTCTCTACTTGTATCTATATCTATTTTGTTTGTGTGTTTTTGGTAGCACGTTTAGCTTGACAAGTCAACATGTAATGATTGTATCTCTCAAGTCCTCTTATACTTGTTCTTGTTCTCTAAACTTGGTTTTGACTTTTAGTCAACTATATGCTTGACTTTTAAAATAATCCAATTATTTAAGATTTAATTAAATAGAGAATCTAACAAGTCGCGTAATATTTACGATCTGACTTTTATTTATTTATTGAAAAAAAATAAAGTCGCACGTGTAGGGTTGCGTGCAAATGAGACGACACGTCAATAAATCTAAACCGTTGATTTAGATTAAGAAGCTCTAAATCCAGCGGCTGAGAAATACCAATGTGAATACGTAACCCTACATCTTTCTCTCTTTCGCTTTCTTCAGTGTTCTATAAAAACTGAAACTCCACTTCGCTGACTTCGCAAGAACAACACTTTCTCTAAAATCTCAATTTCGATTGAATCATGTCGGACGACGAGCACCACTTCGAATCCAGCGACGCCGGAGCTTCGAAGACTTATCCTCAACAAGCCGGTAACATCCGTAAAGGTGGTCACATCGTCATCAAGGGTCGTCCCTGCAAGGTTTGTCTCCGGTTTGATTTTAGAGGATTCGTCTTCATGGATTGTATTAAGCGGTGTTCCGTTACCTGATCGTTGTGATTTTTGAGGTTTAGTGATCTGGATTGTGTTTTGGTGTTTAGTGTTGTGAAAAATCTCTGTTTTTGAAGTTATGGATTTAGGGTTTTGTAATCTAGTTATGTCGATTTTGAATTTTCTTGATTCAGTTGGTATTTAAAGTTGAAACATTCTTTGTTGATTATTATGGGTTTAGTGCTGATAACTTTTGGAATTGCTTAATTCAATTGGTGCTTTGTTGGGTTTGTGATAGGTGGTTGAGGTATCAACTTCAAAGACTGGGAAGCATGGTCACGCCAAATGTCACTTTGTTGCCATTGATATCTTCACTTCTAAGAAGCTTGAAGATATTGTTCCTTCTTCCCACAATTGTGATGTGAGTCTTGTGAATGATATAAAACGTATACAAAGTCTGTAACTTTGACTCACAACACAAAGTGTTTCCTTTTATTGGCAGGTTCCGCATGTAAATCGTGTTGATTACCAGTTGATTGATATCTCTGAAGATGGCTTTGTATGTGACAATCTTTTTCATTACTTCAACTTTGTGTTTTGTCTTTGCCCATATGGTTGAAGTAGAGGGTTTTGTTCTTTAATTATATTTACAGGTTAGTCTTCTTACTGACAATGGTAGCACTAAGGATGATCTGAAGCTGCCAACTGATGAAGCTTTGCTCACACAGCTCAAGAATGGATTTGATGAGGGCAAGGATATTGTTGTGTCTGTTATGTCTGCAATGGGAGAGGAACAGATGTGTGCTCTCAAGGAAGTTGGTCCCAAGTAATAATAAGTAAGCATTCTCTTTTACAGAGGCTATGTATCATCAGTTTGACAGAGTCAAATGTTTTAAGAACAAAGTTTGGTCTTTTTTTTATTCTTCTTAGTATAATTTAAAGCCCATATGTGTTTCCATGCAAGACACCATTTTATCTATCTTACTATTGGTTTTGGTTGTGGAGAAGTTACTGTTGACAGTTCCAAACCTCTACTTATTATACTCTTTATGTGCTATGTCATAGTCTTAGATTCTAAAATATAAGTCATTTTGATTGTGGATATGTCATTGCTTGTGATCCAAGTGCTCTCTTTGAGTAAGTTGTCGCTGACTGTTCAACTGCTAATAGAAAAGACTTCAACAATCTGATTTTACTTGGTTATGCTATGGAGTGGGCCTGCCTACATGAACAATTGACAAAAACTTACATTCTATAGATATTGAACTTTAAATTTGGTGTAAGAAGTTGAGTCTACTATTGAACCCAAAGCGTTTTCCATTGATTGATTACCTTTCGATTTTATAGCACACAAACTAAAATTAGTCGAGTAAAAGAAATGAAACATAAAAAGCAAATTACTCAAATTCTTTTATTCAAAACCAATCAAGTAGTAATTGCCCCCACAACTTATAATTGCTTCCATTACCCACAGTTGACACAATTCACAGCCTCACAATTTATAAAATTTAAGTATCATAACTTCTGTGTCCATAAACTTTACTATTATACATTTATTTTGTAGGGAATAAGTTTTTATATAAATGAAACCTATTTATAGGTCAAACATATAAATGAAAGCTACAAAAACTAAAATAGAAATAGAAAGAAGGGTATAGTGAGTCACGGGTATGGGTAGAGAGACAGAGAGGGGCACGTGCCTGAAAGAAAAGAACCAAGCAAATGAGAACAAAGTCGCTCTCTCTCTGTATGTCCCCATCTACCATTTTGTTGTATTGTATTCCTTGGTTTGGAATTGGATCATTTCATGTATATCCTTCATCCTTCAAAATTTAATCAAAATTACATTTCATTATCAAAATTTAATATTGAGTTTGTCCTGCCCAAAAGCTGTTAATATTGTCCTATCTTTTTTGTTTATATTGACTTTTGTTGCTACCTCGGTTTTGACTTCTTTTCATTACGTACGGTGGTGATATCGAAGACATGTTTGTTACCGAAACGTTATTGTTTGAATTGTGAATTATAGAAATATCTTTCGGTATTTTGAGGATATTAGCAATTTTAGCTTCGCAAGCTTGGTATAATTCATACTTGAGCAAGACTCTTTATTGGTGCATATCTATAAATATATGCATAATTAACTAAACATTAATACTTACTTTTTTTGTATTCTGTTTGTTGGATGTATGTGTATGTGGAGGTTTTAACCTATCACAACTCACAAGTTATAAGTTAAGAAGAGTTTCTAAAAAATTTATCATATTTTACATAATTTCAAAAATTCTTTATAAAACCTGTAGCTTGTGATATTTTGAAATTTTAGAAGTAATTTAAGATAACAAATCATAAACCATGGTTTCTTTGAAAAAGGTATATTATTATATTCATCGGAATCGTTCAACGTTGGTTGCGACTTGCGACCGGATATCTCGATAAACGATCATCCGTATTCACCGGGAGTAGCATTCTTAGTGTATTATGTTAACAAAGACGATTTTTAATTTTAAATTATTCGTAGTATTAGTACTCAAAGAAACCCTATCAATTACGTTTTTAGGATTTTTATAAGAATGCTTGTCTCAACCTCATCGGTTTTCTTCTTTTATCAATACCAATAAAACTATTAAATTCCAATCTCTTATACCAAGAAAAAAAGAAGAATATGAACAAGGAAAACGACATACATAAAGAGGTCCTTCGAATTTAATGCTTCACATTTACTCCTTCACCCACACACCTTTTGTCCCTTTTTTAATGATCTTATTGAATTTTTATATTATTTCTTAGTTTAACGGAAAATATTCAAATAGAATTTCAGCTCACACATTAAATTATATTTTAATCTATTATTTTTCCTTCACGCATTTTTTTTTCTTTTTATGATTTTGCAAAATTAATATGTGTACGAATGAGTTTTTTTTTTTGCCAAGTTTAGAGAGAAAAAGTACAAATAACTCGAAATTTAACATGTATAACTTTATTTGCAAAAAACAAATTTATCAAAGCATTGCATTGGCTTCGGCCCGTTACCTTCATGGTGTTGTGTCAGAAGAATCGATACTTGTTTATACGAATTTCTCAATCAATTCAACGAAGACAGCAAAAACAATTCCACTTCCCTAAAAAAACAATGTATTTGCATGCAAAGTCGACGTATATTAAACTTTTTTAAAAAAAACTTTATATAATACACAAAAGACATGTAATGTAAGACATTGGCTTTCGATCCAAATGACCCTTTTTAAGAGAAATAGCAAGAAAAAGGTATCTAAAACGCAAACCAATTACACACAAAAAAAAGTTTTTCTTACAAAAAGTCCATTTTCTGACAATAGAGAGACCATAGGAGACATATCACCCACTAAAGCTTTTAAAAATCTAAACAAAAACCATAAAATTTAAAAATCAAATAACAAATCCTAACCCTTATAGGGAAAATTCATTAATCTTTCCCCGACCGTCGTTTTCTTGGTGCTTTGTTCTGTCACTCTCGAGCCTCGAATACTGAAAATCAAATAGACTATGGAGCTACTTCAATTATATTCCTTCCATTCAAATTATTTTTTATTTATAATCTTCCTTTGTAATGTTACTTGTTTGGAGTTCAAAATTCTCTTTAACCAAATCGGCTTTGATTCTTGTAACATTTTTGAACTGTAAAGTGTGCAGAGTAGTTACCAGTTTGGAAGACTCAACATTTAAGACCAAATAGTCATTTGGTACAAAACATTTATTACACAAGGACACATTGTAATTAGGTTAAATAGAGACATGTTTAGGCTACCTAATCACAATTAAACACTAGTTATGCTCATTTCATCACTACAAATTGAAACATGTCATGTGGGATTTGAATTATGAAAAGTGTGAGGGTGAAAACATAAAGGTAACAAAATAAGTGGGTGAAAAAAGTAAAAGAGAGTAAAATACTGAGAGAAAAGAGAGAGAGAGAGAAGAGTGATTGCAATTTAACAAAGGAGAAAGAAAACAAGTGTTACTGGATTTGCCAGCAACAGGACTGTGACACATGATTTGGCCATAGAAAAAAGGTAACTGCTTTTTCATCTCTTAATTATAACTCCTTTTTCTCTTCTCTTCTCTCTCTCTCTCTCTTCCATGGTGGGTTCTTCTTTTAGTAGATCTCTGCACCACCCAAAGCCCAAAGCTCAAAGCTTTGCACAGAAGATACAGAGAGAATCAGAGAAACCACAAACAAAAGAAAAAAGAGTCTACTTTTCTTTTTGTTTCTACTTGGTATTTATTACTTTTCACACACTCTGGTCAAATGTCTTCCTCTCTACTCTTCTTTCCTTTGGTCTGAGACAACAGTAGTAAGAGTCCGTGAAAGAAAAAACCAAAAAATGTTGGAATTTTGATGAAGATATGAGGGAAAAGGAGGCAACTTTATCTGTTTATTTGACTTGATTCTCTTCGATCTACATCTGGATTTTGCAGCATTCTTCTTAGAGGAGATATGAGGAAACATGGATGGCAACTTCCTTACCATCCTCTTCAGGTTCTTCTTTTGTTCTTACTGAGATTTCTTTGGAGGGTTTTGATTTTGGAGGTGAAAGTTTGGATTTTTTGTGGGTTAGGTGGTGGCTGTTGCTGTGTTCTTGGCTTTAGGGTTTGCTTTCTATGTCTTCTTTGCTCCATTTGTTGGGAAGAAGATTCATCAGTACATTGCGATGGGCATTTACACTCCTCTGGTAAGCTTAATTTGTTTTGAAATCAAAGTTGCGTTGAATAAACTTTGAATGGGTTTCAAGATCAAAATTGTGTTACTTGTTGGCCGTTTATGTGTTGTCTTTACTTTGTTGGCTTTCTCTTTTTGGGAAAATTCTTATCTTTTTCTGAAGTACATAGACCATTGGTTCCACAATCTAACATGTCTTTGTGAAAATTTTGTTACTTATAGCTAATTAGAGAAATGAGATTTACCTGGATCTTGATTTGGTCCCCATTAAACGATTAGAAGCTTTCTGCAAATGGACAAGTTAGCTCTAGATACTTTTCGATTCCGAGCAAATTTTAGGGGCTTTGATTGAAACTTTGATCTCCACAATCTGTGAATTTGCCATTTCTTCTTTTATAACTTGATCCATTTTGCTTTGATTTGAAGCTGCACTTGAGACCTTAGTCTTTGAGATTGTGTACACCTTAAGTCTTTGAAAATTGTGTTTTACTTTTTCCCTTTTTGGATGGTTTGGTATCGTCTTAAAGACTGCTTGAGTTAGTGACATCTTCTTTTTCAGATTACATGTGTGGTTGGACTGTATATATGGTGTGCGGCTTCGGACCCTGCAGACCGTGGAGTTTTTCGGTCCAAGAAGTACCTTAAAATTCCTGAAAATGGGAAATTTCCTCTATCAAAGGATACAAAAGATGGATGTGGATCAGCTACAGGTGGTGCTAAATCTCGTGATGGCACTTGTGTAGAGGATCCAGAAAATGAAACTAACAAGAAATTGGAGTCATCAGAAAGATCTTCTCTCTTGCGTTTGCTCTGCTCTCCTTGTGCATTGCTCTGTAGTTGTTGCGGTGGAAGAGATGAATCTTCTGAGCAAATGAGTGAGGATGGGATGTTTTATTGCAGTCTGTGTGAAGTTGAGGTGCGTGGAACATTTATAAACACAGGCTTGTCTTATTATTTCTTTTCATTGGCTTTGGAGTTTTCTTGTTTCACGGTTCCATATCAAGAAAGCATCACATATTCTCAGGAGTAATCAATAATTATTGTATTCCTTTTGCAGGTCTTCAAATATAGCAAGCATTGCAGAGTTTGTGACAAATGTGTGGACCGTTTTGATCATCACTGCAGGGTATTCAAAGGATTGGCTTACAAATTTCATGATTTATCTTAAACGTTTAAACCCTTCATTCTGTTTTAATTATTTTATCTTTGTTTGCGTATGACTTGTGTAGTGGCTAAACAACTGCATTGGCAAGCGGAATTACCGAAAATTCTTCAGCCTTATGGTGTCAGCTATTTTTTTGGTAAGGTTGTGTTGATCTTTCACGACTTCCTGAGAAAAAATATCTTCTGTCTATCTTTCTGTCGTGAAATGTTCTGAATTATTGTTCCTTGGTGGATG